TTAAGATATTTTAAATATTTATATAAATATAAAAGTAAAAATAAAAGAAGGTAGAAAGAAGGAGGTGAAGAAAGTTATTATATAATTAAAGTTAAAATAAATAGCTATATATAATTTAAAATTATAATTAAATTATACTATAAAAGTTTTATTATAATATATTCTTTATTTTTAAATTATAATTATTTAATAAAATAATATATATAATTAATTATATCTCTTTAATTTATATTTTATAAAGTTATTATTATATATTTTTATATTTAATATTTAATTATAATAAAACTTTTAATATTTTATTGAAATAATACTTTTATAATATTTATATTATAAATTATATAATTAATTAACCTTTATTTTATTTATAACTTCTTTAAATTACTTTTATTTTACTATTATAATATAATTAAAGTAAATATAATAAAATTATAAATAATAAATATTATAATTTAAATTTAATTATATAATTATAATATATTTTTATTACTTTTAAATATTATTATTATTATTAAATTAAATAAAACTTATATTATAAAAATTATAAAATATAAATTAATTTTATATTAAAGTTTTATATTATTATAATTAGTTATCTTATTATTAATATATTAAAATAAAGTATATTAATAAATAGAATATTATAATTAATATATTCTATTTAAGATTAATATTATAAATTTTTTTCTATTAATTATATTTGTATAATTTAAGTAAGATAAAGTTAATTAAAGTCTAAAAGTTTTTATTAATAAAATTTAAGGATATTATTTTATTTAAAAAATAAAATTAATATTTAATATAAAATATAAAATATAATTTTAAAATAAAACTTAAAGTTATATATTATATTAAAATATATATTATAAATTTAGTTTTTATAATACTTTTAATAGTTTATATATAATATATAAGTTATATCTTACTTTAATTATTATATTCTTTAATTACTTTATAAAGTTTTATTATAAATATATAAAGAGATTATATTTAATTATAACTTTTAATATAACTTAATAATATTAATAATTTTCTATATATTACTTATAATAAATTATATATAATATAACTTTTATTTAATATATAAATATTTTATTAAAATAATAAATTAATATTAAATTTAAAATATAATTTATAAATATAAATTTTTATATTTTTATATTAATTGTTTAATAAATTACTTTAAAATATAAATTAAAGTAAATTATTTTAAAATAACTTATTTATTATTTTAATTTATTAAAAGGATAATTTAAATATATTTATTAATTTATAAAGTTTACTTTAATATATATAAAATATATTTTTGAAAAATAAAGTTATATTATTTTAAACTTTTAATAAATTATAATATATTTTTAAAGAATTTATATAATAATAAAGTTTATTTATTTAAATTTAAAGTATAATTATTAATAAGTAGCTAATTATTTATAAAATTATAAATTATTTAAAGTATAATTATAATATTTAAAATAATAAATATTATAATAAATTATTATTATTTTATTAACTTTAAAAAAGAATATAATTAAATTAATTTATTAAATATTATAATAACTTAATTTATTATTAATAGATTATTACTTTTTAAATTATATAATTTATAATTAAAATTAAATATATAAAGATAATTATTGTTGGTACGGGTTATTATGTATGTATATGTAAAGAGTGGTTTGGTTGGTTGAGTTAGTTGAGTTGGTTGAGTTGGATTGTGTAGGAGGGAGGAAGCCAGGCCTGAAGGGCTGGCGACGAGTCCCTCGCTATGGTCTACCAACTAGGGTCACGTGACCCGAACTATCTACTGGTTGCGATTGCCTCTATTCCCACAATTATAATAGATTATAAAGTTCTTATTACTAAAAGTAATCTTTTTATTAAATCTATTAATAATAACGAAAAAATATAATAGAATACTAACTATTTAATAAAGTTCTTAAAGAATTTCTAAATAATATTTATATAATTTTAAAAGTTAAATTAATATATTATTCTAATAATTATTAAAAAATATCCTTAAAAATAAACTAATATTCTACTTAAATATAATATATAAAATTTTAAATAAACTTATAAATATATTTTTTTTTCTACTTATTATTAAACTACTAATTAATTATAATCTTTATTATATAAAAGAATAAAAGACTTATTTATAATATAATATAAAAGTTCTTTTAATAAATACTTATATTAATATATTTATATAATTATTAATAAACCTAATAAAGAATTAATAATCTTAAAATATAAATAATTAAAAACTTATAAATTAAATTAATTATTTATAATTAAAAATAAATTAAAATTAATTATATTATTATATAATTAAAGTTATATAATAATTTTATATTTTAATTATAATATAAAGAAACGTTATTTATAGTTAAAAGAAAGAGAGATATAATTATTAAAATTATATAAAAAGAGAATAAACTTTTATATTTTTTAATAAATATAATATTCTTTAAATAAATATTATAAAATATAGTAAAGTATTTAAATTAATAAGTTAAATATACCTATTATATAACTATTAAATTTAAATATAAATTTATATTTTTAATTTTTAAAGAGATATATATTACTTTTAATAATTTTTTAATTCTTAAAAATATAATAAGCTTCATTTACCGCTTAAAACACCTTAATACCTACTATATTTATAATAACTAGCATTATATATCACTATATATACACTTTATTATCTACTTATACAAGTCTTAAATTAACTTCTTATATTTTAAACTTAATTAAAAAGATATATTTTTATTTAATACTTTTTTAAAGTTTATTAACTTTTATAAATATTTATTATAAAAAGGGAAATAAAGATAAAGTAACTATCCTTAATATATTAATTTAAATTAAGACGGCACTACCTTTTATATAAAGGGAAAGGTTTAAAGGGATTATAAAGGGAAGGTTTAAGTCTTAGAGGGTGTGGGTGAATGGACCACACTAGATGACTACCTAGGTAAGCAGTAGGCAGCTAGTAGGGCCCCTAATCACCCACACACACACACTTATAATACTCTTTATAAATAAAAAAGTTATTACTTTTAAAAATAGTAAATTTATATTATTTAAAGTTTTATATTAATTGTTTTTATAAGAAATCTTTATTATTATTATACTTTTTATTTTTTTTAAAAAAAGGTAATTAATTTATTTATAAATAAAGTTTTATTTAAAATTATAATATTTTAAAATAAATAATAAATATTATAATATTTAACGTAAAGTATATTAATAATATTAAGTTAAATAGCTTTTTAAATTTACTTTTAAAGATAGAAGTTATATAATAAAAGTAATATTTAAGTTTATTTTATTTAATAATTTAATAAGTTTTTAAATCTTTAAAAGTTAAAGTAAATACTTTATAATTACTATTTTATATAAATTAATAGAAATTAAAATTTAAATATATTTAAATTTTAAAAGCTTTAATATTAATAAAATATTAATAGAAATTAAAATTAAAATATTTATTATTAATTAATAAGTTATTTATAATTATTATAAGGAGTTTTAAAAATTAATTATAAATAAAAATATTAATAGTTAGGTAATAAAGTTAATAAATTTATTTATTAAAGAATTTACTTAACGTATTATTTAAACTTATATAAAAGTTATATAAATAAAGATATAATAGTTATATAATTATATTTAAATATAATTTATATATTTTATTTAAATTATAATTTAAATAAATACTTTTATTATTATTTTTAAATAGAAATCTTTTAATATCCTTTATTATAAAGTTTAAATAACTTAAATAATTTAAAAGTAATATCTTTATTTATTTAAAAATATTAACCTATAAAAGTAATATAATTAAACACCCTTTTATTATAATAATATAAATATAATTATTTTTATAAGCTTAATAATATAATTTATATAGTTTTAAAATACTATACTACTATTCTACTTATTATTAAAACTTCTATTTAAATATTAAATAACAATATTTTCTAAAAGTTTACACTTAATATTAAGCTCTATAATAAGTGCTAGAGCCTAATCTCTAAGAGTACTATACCTAGGCTTTAATAGTTATATAATGGCTAATATCGCCCAGTGCGAGTGTATTCTAGGTGTTGACCACAATCGGGCCAATTTGTACGGCTGGTTCAAGCGGCTGCTTCCAGATACACGGCTAGAGCTCTCCCAACTCTCTGTGTCCTCGGTAGATCTGTTTCACAACCCCCCATACGGAGATCATAACTTCACTTCTTAGTGAGCGGTTGCGTTTCCAATCCCCCATACATATAAAATGTACATGGTGCCTTCATACAGTAGTGAGCGCTCAAGACCCAGCACTCAGAAAAAATACAATGCCAATTTCCATAAAAGGACAATACAGTATGCCTGTGGGCACATGGCCTAAGCTCACTTCTTAGTGAATCACGAACAATATGGAGCCGCACGCTCTCTATCATTCAGGACAATGGTGATCCTAAATACCACTATATTCCTTGGCAAATACTAAATTATTGCTTTGAGGAACTTGAAATCTCACCAACTGACAACCTTTGTGGTTGCCCCTGCTCATCACACGAACCACTCGGTAGGGATGCCCAAGGACTGCTGCTCAACAACCGGGTGCCCGTAAACACACGTCGCATCCGAGCAATCTTTGTCTGGATCTCGATCTGCCTTCCGGTTCTTGTAACACCGCCCAAGTCGTGCCAACGACCACAATGCGTCAAACTCCTCGTCTATAAGTGGCCGATGATAGTGATTGCGCTTGCACGAAGGCAGAACACATTCCCCGCGAAGGAAGAAGTGAAAGCACAAAGTCCCTTTTTTAAGTCTCTCAACAATTACCTAATTCACGTCCAGCGGTCTGTCAATTCAACGGCCACTTTGTTTTGTTAATACCGGCCCGAGTCTATCTGTCTATGCGAAAGGATTGTGGTGCGGCCTCTTCGGTATTTCTAGCTCCACCGGTAGTCCTTGTTCTACTATCACGAGTGTCGAGGAGTGGTTGCCAGGGTCAAGAGGACGTCCTGCCGCTGCAGGCATGGTACATTACAACGCTAATCCTAACGAAACGGCAAATGGCGTTAACCGCTTCATCTTGTTGAAAACCAAGCCAAATTTTGTCTTTTTTAGACCGAGATCCCTAATAGCTAGCAGGAATGTATTTCCCTCTAGCAGCGTAATGCGCTCCGCAACACGCTTGTTTCCGACAAACTATCCCAAAAACGGTGCGTAACCAGAATCGTGCCCACACCCAAGCACGAAATATTTACACTAAAAACTTTCCAGGAAAAACTCGATACTTTCTAGTATCACAAAGTAATTATGAGCAGCCGGTATTTAATGAAAATGGTGAAAGATGCAGGTAAGGGGAATAGTAAGGATAATAGAAATTGATGTATCTTACCTCGGACTTTGAGATCCGCCCGTTCCTTTCCGGGCCCAACATCCACAAAATCGAAAAAAGCCTGTCGACTGCTGAAACCAGCGGCAAACTCCCTTAACTGGCTGGCACTCTTCAGCCGTCCATCACGCTCGAGCGCCGCACCTAGCCCGCTCACGTTCGCAAACGCCCTCACCAAGATGTCAACCTCGTCGGGCTCGTCTATTACTCCTCGCACATACTGCTTCAATGCAGCGAGGAGTGCATCTGCCCCAGTTTCGCCGCCCTTCGCCCCACTCGTAATGAACTTGTCAAGAAACTACGACATTATAAGCTAAGCACCTGTTCCTGACGTTATACTGCGGCTCTACTTACCACGTAGTCATCCCCGTCGGCGTCGATCAACGCAACCACAAACGGCCGTCTGCGCTGCCGCTCCCTGCTCTCTTGGACCTCCTGCTGAAGACGTCTTCTCGCTTCGCGCTCATTGTCTAGGTCTAATTTTGTCTGCCGCAAGAGGGTTTTCGTCGTGTCCAATTCATTCAGGAGCTCCTGCCATCAGGTATATCAATACGTCATCCGCAACAAGCACCTAAACAGGACATACCTCTATCAGCCCTGCGCCTAGATCAACGTCTCGGGCGACACTCGTTCGAATGTCGGCGAAACGACCACGGTACGCTCCTAGTGCCACCTCCATCGTGATGGAAGAAGCATTGGTGTTCGAGGAGGGACGCGCACACGCAGGCCGGCCACATCAAATTTGCAGAGGTAGAGTTCGCTACAAGGGAAAGTATATCAAAGTTAGCCCCAGGTTCCTTGCTTTATTTTTACACACGCCGATGGCAAGTCATGACAAGGTTTCAAGGGGCAGGGAATTGACCCATCTTTGCTTACCAAGTGGCTTGGTCGTCGCACGTGAAGCGGCTTGCCCGCGTGGGGTTGTTGGTGGGATTTTTTGGGGAGAATAGTACTGGTGGCGGGGCCGAGTGGCCATCTAACATCAGACGTACACGTGATGGCGTTTGTACTACATGAAGTTTGAAAAAGCAAAAATACAGCGCACAAGCATATCGAAGTTCTCCCAGCCAAGATGTAAAATTATTTAGCAGTAGCTTTCGTCCCAATTCACATGTGAAGCTGTTATTTGTTGACGAGAGTAGGCGGCCACGCCATCAACTCAACTAGGATGGCTCTCACTATCCATCATCTACCGGAAAAGCTGTTTTGCAATGTATAGGAATCACAGACGAGGCTAAGAATCATCGCCATTGACGGCGCCGTTGACCAGAATCGTCGATATCAGTAGCCCATAGACGAACATATCATAAGTAAACGGATACAACTTCTTCAGAAGGCCAATGACTGCCCCGTAGTCCCTGGCACCATCCCGGTCGCGGAAAAGTGTTGATGATCACGCCCTGGAGTCCTCTAGGTGCTGTCGATTCGCAGAATCTGCCATCGATCTCAGCCCGATATTCAACCTTTTCATATCATTTTCCACCTGTTCGATGATGGGTTCAAAGAATTGATTGAGACTGCAAGAATGGGCGCGTGCGACTTTCCGGCGCAATATGCTGCCGGCTTCAGCCCAGGCGGGCGATTGCATCTCGCGGACACCTTCTATAAGCTCTGCCACACTGTACCCATGGAATGGCCGTGTTGGCTTTGGGAAGTAGAGGCCTTGCTTGATCATCGAGGTGAGAAGACTTCCCAGCAAAATCGAAGTACACTGAGATGAGCAGCAATTCCGAACCGTGAAGTATTGGACAAGACTGTGATATTTGGTGATGATGCATTGCACCGCGTCCTGTCGATGTCGATCGATCAAGTCTATAGTTGTTAGCCGCAGGGTCTTTCTCCTCATATATAAACGTACCAATCATCCTTCCGGGCAAGGGAAGATCAAGTGTCTGCAGAGGCCCACGTGCCTCCTTTACCACACAATGCAGCATTTCGTCAATAGTTGGGCCCTGGTTGAACACGTATGATATGCAAAGATGCAAGATCAAATCTCTGGAAAGTTGAGGGGAGTGGTGTTTCCAAGTTTGTAAATTTTCGATCCATGTGTCGGAGAAGAACTTGACCGTGTCATGACACTGATAGTAGTCGACAACCACAGCAATTTTTGCAAGCAGCTCAAGAGGTACAGACCGGGGTACTCTCCGACTTCTGCCGTGTATTATATCCATGATGATTTCGAAAGCGTCAGTGTCCCAGTCGCTAGCATCGAGGGTGTAGTAAGAACCAGATGTCAAAGTGCTTTCTTTCCACTTGCCGTCCAACATGGTCTTGAACACGGCAGAGGCTGATTTCAGGTGCTTGGAGGAAAGTCGATAGTATTTAGCCGAGCACGGCGCAATGTTGGTAGTCACCCCCAACGACTCATCTCCATTCGATTTTATACACCATTTACTCATTTACAGCTGTTATGATACTTTCCTCAAAGTCAAACATGTCATACGAGTTTGGGGGGGATGCAGGGTGCTCTCTGCTATCCCGCCGCATCTTTTAGAATCATGCCTGAACCCTCCTATAACCGCAACCTCCTTAAGGATCGAGCCGGAGATCAAAGACAGACTGAAGTTGTTCGAATACTTCATCGACCAAGGAGTTTCGGTGAGTCCTGGTTCGTGCCTTGCAGCACTCATTTGTGCGGGCGGCCGATCGCAACTTGTCGAGAAAATGGTGTATTCTGGAGCGGACTTGAACGCCTACAATTCCCGGTCCTTGTATGGGCAAATACCAGCCCTGGGCAGAGGACTGATGGATAAATGCACTCCTCTACAGGCCGCATGTGGTCGGGGTGACGAGCCTCTGGTTCGCTTGCTTCTGGAAGCAGGATCCAACGTGAATAGCCGCGCATGCGGCGGGGGTGGCAGTAAGACGGCGCTGCAAGCTATTTGCTCCTGGGACACTGCCACCGAGGAAGAGTACGACCGTAAAATAAGAATATGCAAACTGCTCATCAGCCACGGTGCAGATATCAACGGCGCTCCATGCAGGATTCGGGGATACACTGCTCTGCAGCACGCGGCAATGCTAGGCCATCTGGAGATAGCTGCTCTCCTGCTACGAAACGGCGCTCGCGTCAACGCCCCTCCGTGTGGACCAGGCGGAGCACTGGAACTTGCTTTGGATCTTGCAGCCCGGTATTCCCGTCTCGACATGGTCAAATTCCTTCTCAACGCCAATGCTCTAAGCAAATATCGCGGAAGGACTGGGTACGATGGTGCCATCAAAATAGCCGAGGGCAACACTAATACCATCCCTATAGCAAATCTGATTCGCGAGCATGCTGCCAACAACGTGGCATTGAATCTGATAAATCCCGAGGTCTTGAAACCACAGGAGGATTATCGCATCTATGGATACGTTACTCTTAGGGATTATTACTACCCGGAATTCGCGGAGGAGGACTGCACCATATCTTCTCTTTGCAGGGGATGTAGATGAGAAGCTTCAGACGGAGAGCTCACGGACGAGCCGAAGGCCCTATGTTATCAGGGTGATCTGGAACCTGTTACATAGTCGTTGCGTATTGCGGTATTGGAACTATATATTTCACTTCTCCGTACCTCGCCCTCGTCCCTCAAAAGACTGCTCAAGTACCTAGTAATACAAAAACACTGTTCATTACAAGATGTAAACGCTAGTATTGTGCCTGAATTATATATTCTATCGCCTCAATCCTCCACTGATGCCTCTTGGGGATCTAGCACACGAGTGGGGCCAGACTCGGAGTCATCACCTGAAAGCGGTGCTTCTGGAAGAGCCTCAGGCAGAGCAGGGTCTGCAGGCCGAGATGGCGGCTTGGATGACGGCTTAGGACCCAACTCCTGTATCAACTCGTTGATGTCACGCTCATGCAACCATGACATTCCCGGCAGTATGCCCCAGTCATCGATCCATAATCCCTCACTGACCCACTTGTCCTTGACCAGCGTGTATGCCTGGGTGTTGATATCCGCAGGATACTTCTTGACAGGGTCTTCATGCCCTGCCTCGCGTGATATCTCTTCCAGCAGCCGGTCACGCTCCCGAGACACCTGGTAGTTGAACTGGTGAACAGGGCGCGAGAGCTCGCGCTTCCGCAGGCGCTCTGCGCGCCGCTCAGCGCTCTGGCGCGCCTCCTCATCCGTCTTCTGCCGCTTCCTCTTGGCGCCGAACCGGAATTCCTCAGGGGGGCACAGGTCGTCGTCGTCGTCCTCCTCCTCATCGAACGGCACCTCGTGCAGCCACCGCGGGTCCATGAGGGGCACGTTCTGGACCTTGTCGCCGAACCGCCTGACGTTCTCCTCGTACCACCTGGGGTTCCAGATGCCCTGCTCGACCCAGCGCTCCCTCACCCTGTCGGCCGCCACGCCGTCCGGGCTGTTGCCCACGCCGACGTGCTCGCCCGCCCGCTCTATGCGCTGGCACTCCTCCCGCCTCTGCGCCTCGAACTGGCCGATGGTCGAGGACGCGTGCCAGTCGTGGTACAGCTTGCTCACGCGCGCGTTGTAGTCGTCCAGCTCCTCGTTTGCTGGCGCGGGGCTCGCCGTGCGTGTGGTGGTTCCTGACCTTGAGCGGCATGAGGGCGGACCCTCGCTGAAGCGTCGCTCTCTGTCTTGGTCGAACTGATCTGGGTCCTCGGCGAGTGCTGCGAGGGCACGATGCGCCTGGAAGAGCCCCTCGCCCCTCACCGATTCAGCGGCCATGAGAGGTCGTCGAAGGGCTGGTTCCTCTGGCTGTCCGTGGGTGTAAGTCTTAGTCGAGGAGATATGGTGATAGCCTGGAATCCTGGTGGGAAGGAAGTGGGAGGGACAAAATTTGAAGGCGAAGGCTTGCCCAGGTATGACGAATGCCCTCTTGGTGAAGGGTTCAAGGTTGCCGGGTCGCAGCCTGTTTGTAGCTGCTGTAGGCCGCATGCCAGGGGCCTAGCGTAAAACATGTGGGTCTGCAGCGCTTGACAGACCAACCACATCCCTCAACCCTCCCGTGTGGGTCCCGTCACCACTTACACGCCATATTAACCATTATGATAGCCACCTGCAGGTCAACATTCCCGGTCACCAACACGCTCGGCTAAAAATGGAAGTGTAGCAGACCTCCAGTATTGGCCAGCTGAAACTGCAGCTGTTGGTCTGACGGCTCTGGGCAGCCAGTGCTGGCCAGCCCTCCCATTCTGCCTCACATCGTCCGCGCCTGAAGTCTCCCGATGGGGGCGAGATCCTGTGCGCGAGGATGCCTCTGGCCCAGATAAATGTTCTGGGAGCCCGGTCGATCGTTCCTGCGCCGTAACATTTCATTTCCTCATTCCTGTCGAGTTCTGTCAGCGATTCCTCTGTTCTGCTTGATTCAAACCGTGTCAGCTGTCCATTTGCACGCTGTAAATAAACCTTCAAGTTGTCTTTGCCTTGTGATCAATCCCTCTTAGCTTTCTTCGCGAATCTTGATAGCCCCTTTCGTCAACATGTCACGGGCTCATGTGCTATTCTGGTTGCACCCAGAGAGTCCTGCTGCCTACGAAGTCATCAACGACCCGGAAAACGCATACTTGATAGATCGGTCCCACCCATCTCCTTGCTTCGCCATTGGGCATTTCCGGTCTAAGTGCGGGCGGAGAGAAACTCTGGTGACGATAGGAAGGCTCGGGGATATTGTACTCCGGAGCACCACATTCTCAAGGGAGCAATGCTCTTTCGAGATCGACCCCACTACCAATGTCATTATGTTTCATGACTCCTCCAGGGTTGGGACTAGCAATGTTCACGGCCGAGACTCGACCCCCTTTCGCTTTGGGTCTCCCAGGAAAGTCGTGGTCCAACAAGGATTGAACACATACATTGGCAGTGAGTGCAAAGCTATTTCGATACGCAGACTCGGCTTCCCCCCCTACCCACCTTGCACGACAGAAACTAACTGGAAGAATGATAGTGGGAGGTCAAAGGCGCGATATCGTCGTATTCCGGATGCAGTGGCCTCACGCCTCACCAGAAACCCTCAAGCTGGTGGAAGCGAGGGACGTGAGGGCGCTTGCAGTAAACCCCAGATTTTTGCGGACCGACTCGGGCAATACCGAGACGGAAGTGCCGACGAAGGCTCAGACAAGAGTACACTCAGCAAGACCGGAGAGGCCAATGATAAGGTGGGCCAAGATCGACGCGCTCGGGGCTGGAGCCTTCGGAGAGGTAAGTTTTCAGTCCCTAGAAAACGTTGCGCCCTTGGTTATTGTTCCTTATATTCGACTTACTAATGCCCTGTCTGCTTTGAAGGTGATTCGCGCCGTGGACGTGGACACCGGGAGACTGGTGGCAGTCAAGACCGTGAAGATACGACAAGACCAACATAGAGACGCTTCCTTTGCGACGCTAAAGCGAGAGATTGAGACTATTGGCAGAATAGAGCATGTGAGCACTTTACCCAGTGAAGCAGTAGAGAAGTTTGCATGCTCTGCTATGGTGCGTGTAGGGGCTGGGCTAATATGATCACCAGCCATTCGTCGTAGACTGGATATGCTCGCAGGCCAGCATAAACTCCCCGGAAGCGCACATCGTCATGGAGTTGATGAAGGGTAGCCTGTATTCCCTTCTCGGCGGGCAGTGGCTCCCAGTCGAACAACTGAACTCAGTCACGAACCTGGTGCTCACCCACATGCTACAGGCCCTGGTAAGCCAACACGTCGATGGGGTGAAAATGAGCCGGAGGCACCCCGTGCGCAAAGAATATATACCCCTAACGCTGACTTCTCCCCCCCCCCCCCGAACAGGACTGCCTAGCATCGGAGGACATAATCCACCGCGACGTCAAGCCAGAAAACATCCTATACACGCACGGCCCAGACGGCAAGCCCGTCTTCAAGCTGGGCGACTTTGGCGTCTGCAACCACGCCGCACAGGCGCAGACACAGAGCGGGACGGCGATCTACATGGCGCCGGAGTTCTGGTCGCCGCAGGGGCAGGGGCAAGGGGAGAGGGCGCAGACGACCAAGGCGGACACCTGGTCGCTGCTCGTGGTGCTGCTGTGGGTGTACGACTTCAGGGGGTTCCGGCGCGAGGCGTACGGCGCCGGCTTCAACCTCTCCACGGTGCCCCAGCGCGCCGCGGAGGCCACGGCGCCGGGCCAGCGCCTGCACCAGCTGGCGCCGATGGCGCGGCGCGACCCGGGGCGGCGCGCGTCGGCCGCGCAGATGATGGTGCTGCTGGATATGTTCTCGCAGGAGCCCAAGGCCATCCTGTGCAGCCACGGCAAGGACCCAGGCAAGATCCCGGCGCTGTCTGCGGACGAGACGCCTCCGCCTGTGCATGTGCCTGTGCCTGTGCCTGCGCCTGTGTCTTCTTCTTCTTCTAGGCTTGCTGGTCGGCGCTCGTCTGGGATGCGTGCTGGTCATGCTTTGGTCCAGACCATGGATCTGGATTAATTACTGGAGTCCCACGGTTATGAGGTTCTCCCGTAAGAGGCTATATCGCCGGACACTGGCTTCTAGGACTCGGAGGTGTTGACATATAGGGGATTGTCCCACGGGAGGTTGGGAGGACACCTGAGCAGAGCTCTTTGTTGTATATTCGGTGTCACTCCACGAGCTTTGCTCGAGTGAGCACCACTCACCATGTGTGGTGCACATGTGGTTCAGCATGAGGGTGGTCCATCGCTCGCTATAATTATCCAACGTCAATGAACACTTGGATGTCTAGCGGCACCTGCTGCTATATCCTATGGTAGGTGACTACATAATGGGACAACTAACGTGCAACAACAAAATGCACAAGCCGTCGTCGTTGTCATCCCTGCAGGAATGAATCCCTGTGTGCTGCATCAAGCAGCTAGAGAGTCACATGGGAGGGAACTTGACACGTTGTTGGTGACCCTAAACAACAAGACAGTGGAATCCAGCCAATTGGTGCGAAATATATCCGCGCTGAAATCAAATGTCTTGGGGGTTGCACATGTAAGTGGTACACGTGCGGTCACGCCCGCCTTTTTCCCACATGCACCACGGACGACATGGACCGGCGGCGGGCGACGAGGACGAGGACGAGGACGAGTTCGATTGGAAAGGAGGAGCCTGCGAGGACAGGACGTGACGTTCACGATCAAAATGGCTGGTCTTTTTCTGGTGAACCGTGTGATTTTTGGGAGGGTGACAGGATCCGATTTGACCGCGTCGGCGCATGTACCAAGCGGAGATTTGGGAGCCTCAAGTCCTACCTGAGTGGGCCCGTCTAATGGTCCCTTCGCATGTGAAATATCCGCAGCGGCAATAAAGAACCTTTCCCATCTTTTTCTTATTTTATTCCCTAGTACAGTATAACGCACTACTTCCCTGGGCAGGGGCAAGGGGGGAAGTGAACAAAAGGCATGACCCGTGGATGCTAGTATTGGGTAGCGGCCTCGTTATGGTAATCTGCCACGCGGAGGTAGCAAAACCAAGGGGTCCAAGTCCTGCATCTTTTTTGTTTGTTCGGGCCGACGTGGTCCATCTGGCAGTTCTGGCAGTTCTGGAACAGAGCTTTCCCCCCCCTGTGGGTCCATTTTAGCCCCCCCGCCGTCGCGAGTGGGAAGGGGGAACAGGAGGAAAAAGCTGGGGCAGGCCGCGGGCGGTGGTGATTGGCGCGGGAGAATGAGATCATGGGTCGGGGTTGAAGCGGCCGAGGGGACAAAGTGCTGCCCCTCGGCAGCTTCTCCCCCAGTCCCCCCTACACTCCAGCACTATAGCAACACGGCTGCAGGGCAGCAGGTGACAGCTTCTGGGGAGAGAGGGCCGCTTTTGTTACCCCACATTGATATAACACAACGGCGCCTGCGGGTAATTCGCCTGACTGGCTTGCTACAGTGGACCTTGCTTTGTTTGTTGTATGGCTGACCTGGCCCCGTTTCCTCTTCTCCCCGGGCCTGGAACATGGTGCCGGCGGTGGCGGCTCGGGGGGGTAGTCACGACCCCATACTACTTACCTCTCCGTGCTACTATCGCCGTGGGTTGACGGATAATACTCCCAGAACTAATCAGGGCCGTCCAGTCCCGCCGTTTGACTCGGTGCATGTACTTCCTATATAATAAAGCTACCCACGCGCCCCCGTGGATGATGTCCACATGCATCCTGCGCGACGCAACCTGACCATCTCGAGTTGACTGTCGACCTACCCGTGGTACTCACTTATTAGTTTACTACCCTTGGGCGCCACCTCTTTTACCGGCTCCTGCCCCACCTTCGCCCATCGTCATCCAAGTCTGGTGTCCGACTCCCAGTCCCTTATTATTAGGCTGCTCCTTCGTCGAGCCCGCCTTTCTCGGCACACTCTCTCATATTCTCCCTGCCTATATATATCTCCCCCTACCGCACCGGCGAACTACACACACACACACACACACACACTACACACACAATGAGTCCCTCGGCAACAGAGGGCGGGGCGCAGAACGGGCACACCAGCGTCATGGCCTCCAAGGCGAACATTGGCGTCTATACCAACCCCGCTCATGACCTGTGGATAAATGAGGCCGAGCCGACACTGGAGAGCGTGCAAAAAGGCGGGCAAGACTTGCGACCAGGACAGGTCACAGTGGCTATCAGGAGCACGGGTATTTGCGGGTACGTCACTTGAACATGAGGCGCGAACTACATATATATTCAGACGAGGCACATATATATATGCCACGGTGCTGGGACGAGACGTGGCGCGCATCTGCTGACAACACGGCCCCCCGGCCACACAGATCAGATATACACTTCTGGCACCACGGGTGCATCGGGCCGATGATCGTGGGCGGCGACCACATCCTGGGCCACGAGTCGGCGGGCGAGGTGATCGCGGTGGCGGCGGACGTGACGAGCCTCAAGGTGGGCGACCGCGTGGCGGTGGAGCCGCAGGTCATCTGCGGCGAGTGCGAGCCGTGCCTGACGGGGCGGTACAACGGGTGCGACAAGGTCGACTTCCTGTCGACGCCGCCGGTGCCGGGGCTGCTGCGGCGCTACGTCAACCACCCGGCGGCGTGGTGCCACAAGATCGGCAGCATGTCGTGGGAGAACGGCGCGATGCTGGAGCCGCTGAGCGTCGCGCTGGCGGGCATCAAGCGCGCGCAGATCACGGTCGGCGACCCGGTGCTGATCTGCGGCGCGGGGCCCATCGGGCTCATCAGCCTGGCCGTCGTCAAGGCCGCGGGGGCGTGCCCTATCGTCATCACGGACATTGACGAGGGCCGGCTGGCGTTCGCGAGGGAGTTCTGCCCGTCGGTCATCACGCACAAGGTCGAGCGGCTGTCGGCCGAGGACTCGGCCAGGGCCATCGTCGATTCCTTTGGCGGCGTCGAGCCGGCGGTGGCGATCGAGTGCACGGGCGTCGAGAGCAGCATCAACGCGGCCATCTGGGCCAGCAAGTTTGGCGGCAAGGTGTTCATCATCGGCGTCGGGCGCAACCAGATCAACATCGAGTTCATGCGCGCCAGCGTGCGCGAGGTCGACATCCAGCTGCAGTACCGCTACTCCAACACGTGGCCGCGGGCCATCCGGCTCATCGAGAACGGCGTCGTCGACCTGTCCAAGCTGGTCACGCACAAGTTCCCGCTCGAGGACGCGCTCAAGGCCTTCAACACCTCTGCCGACCCCAAGACCGGCGCGATCAAGGTCATCATCCAGAGCCTGGACTAGGATTCTGTAGGGCGGGCGGTGGCGTGTGTTGTAATAATGAGACAAATTAGATCCAAACACATGAATGCTGTACTGTGCAATCTGAGCTGGGTTGGTTGTTGGCAAGTCATCATCTCTGTTGGCCAAGCCTCTGTGCACTCCGAGTCGTTGGCAGTTGCACAATGGATGAGTGACTCGAGCATCGGCAGTCAAGACGCCGAGTTCTCTCCGGTTGCCGAATCGAAACCCACTCATACACTGTCAGTAGTAGTATAGCTAAATAAGTGCCACATCGCATTTTTTACTAGAGTACACTCACACTAAATTATTATGACTTGATATTTACACCCTTAGTTTTAAGTATACATTAAAAGACTAACTCTAATCCTAAATAAATTTTCCTTCTTCTTATCTTTTTATATTCTACTGGTATTATATTTAATATATGTAAATTAAAAAAATTAAAAAGTATCATTTTATAATATGAAGAGAGAAGAGAAGAAAAAAGAGGGAGAGAAAATAGAGGGAGAGAGGGAGAGGAGAGGGAGGGAGAGAAGAGAGAGGGAGAGAAGAGAGAGGGAGAGGGAGAGAAGAGAGAGGGAGAGAAGAGGGAGGCAGGGAGGCAGGAGAATCGATGCAGCGAGCACTTGATTGCAGTTTTGGTGTAGTTTTGGAGCCATCACAGCATCAAGGTCAGATAGATGAAGGCAAAGGAATTGTTAGGAAACCAGCATTGCCATACAGACTCCGTACTAATAAACAGATGACGGCCTGGCGTGCTTAGGTAATACATACAAACCGTCGACCGCGGTCCCAGCCGCTCGGCAAACCAGGCGAATGTGAATCAGCCGAGGCATGGCGAAAGGCCGGTCACAGGCCGGCCCAAGTCTAGACTAGGCTGTCGACGCAACATCCCTTTCGAAGCCGGCACTCTACACTTCTGGCCTGGCACCGCATCTTTTCCTACACCCGAGTGACTGACTGACTGCACCGCACTGCATCTTGGGGAATGCCCGAGGCCTGATTTCTCCCCAGACTCTCGCCGGTTCGTGGCCCACAGCCCACGACAAAAGAGGTCAAGTCAAGCAAGCACAACAACGAAACAAACCGGCAGTAGACACTTTGGACAACGCAGCCAAGCAGCCCCCGGTCCACCCTCCGCATTCCCCCTCCCTCCAGTCCCATCCTTGTCCGGCCGGATCCAAGTTTGCGCATTCCCGCCGACAGCCCCGACCGAGCCAACTTTTTCCCTTTCAATCCAGCAGCAGCGCCTTATCACCTGCCTCCACCTCCTGCATTACTCGCCATGGCCTCGCCTCCAAAGCCGTGGGAGCGTCCTGGAGCAACAGCCGCCACACCTGCCACTCCCACCTCCGCCGCCACGCCCACCTCCTCCTCGACGACCACATCCGGTGCTTCTCCTGCGATACCGCCGCGGCCCGAGTCCCTGACCGCGTCAGTCAACCAGAACGCCGCTGCCTACAGCAGGATGGGGTCCACCGGCTACGGCTCATACGGGGCGGGCGCCTACCCATCCACCTACTCGTCCTACAGCTCGCCATATGGCGGCATGGGTGCCATGGGCGGCTATGGGGGTTATGGGGGCATGGGAGGATACGGCGGCGGCATGTACGGCGGATATGGAGGCTACCGCTCCATGGGAGGCTACGGTGGCATGGGCGGATACGGCATGGGCGGCATGCAGGACCCCAACAACCCGGAGAGCCTGACCAACAGGGTCAACCAGAGCACCCAGGCCACCTTCCAAGTGCTGGAAGGCATCGTGGGCGCCTTCGGTGGCTTCGCACAGATGCTGGAGAGCACGTACATGACGACACATTCTAGCTTCTATGGTATGTCCTACCATCACCCAACTCTGAACAGCGACAGAAACTAACATCTCGACGCAGCCGTGGTCGCCGTGGCAGAGCAGTTCGGCAACCTACGCGACACCCTCGGCCACGTGCTCGGCATATACACAATAATGCGCTGGATAAGGACACTGATTGCTAAGATCACGGGGCGCCCGCCACCCGCCGACGCCATGTCCCTGACACCAGCCTCCTTCGCCCGCTTCGAGGGCCGGCACGCGGCGGACGGCGCGCCAGGATCACCAGCGAAGCCGTCCCGCAAGCCCCTGATCTTCTTCCTCCTGTTCGCCTTCGGCCTCCCCTACCTCATGACCAAGATGATCCGGTCGATGGCCGCGTCCCACGAGGAGGAGGAGCGCAGGCGGCTGCAGCTGCAGGCCGGGGGCCAGCAAGGGCAGCCCATCGACCCGTCCAAGCTCGAGTTCTGCCGCGTGCTGTGGGACTTCTCGCCCGAGGCGGGCGGCGCCGGCGGCGACGCCGTGGTCAAGGGCGTCGACCTCGAGGTGAGGAAGGGCGACCTCGTCGCCGTGCTCAGCAAGACGGACCCGCTCGGCAACCCCAGCGACTGGTGGCGCTGCCGCTCCCGCGACGGCCGCATGGGCTACCTGCCCTCGACGTTCCTCGAGGTCGCCAGGAAGCCCGTCGCCGCCATCAAGGCCACCGCCTCCTCGCTCGACAGCAGCAGGGCCAACTCGCTCACCAGCAGCAGCGTCGCAAGCCCCGTGGCCCACCAGAAGCCCGAGCCCGAGAAGGTCCCCGTGCCGGCGGGCAAGCCTGGTGACATCTCTGCGGAGAGCTTCCAGAAGTCGCAGTTCTACAACTAGGAGCGTCGTTGGGCTCCCTACCGCCGTCCTGTTTCCAGGTCAATTGCTCCTCAAACGCCCTGTGTTATGCAATCGGGACTCGTGACGATGGAGCGGAAGACGCAGCGGTTGTAAATTCATGCATGTCCTTTTTATATCCTTGGTTTCTTTTCATGACGGTCCTGAGGCGCAGTGCCCTCACTGGCTTCGTGGACTTCAAAAAGCTCGGAGTTTCGGCGAGGGGGCATACGGGGAACTCGGGAGGTTACTTTCATTTGTCAATGGGTCTTTGTAGTTGCCACGCTATGAATCGACATTCTTTGATGGCATGGTAATGCGTCGTGAAGCGCATGGGTATACTAGATTCAGCGTCGGACATAAACCTTGCTTTACTAGGTCTACATTCAATGCATACTGTGAAGTGAGGCCTCACTGTGGATGTCTTCGGTTCCTTGGCGGTGCCCGTAACACCGTCAAACGCTGAGTGCAAAACGTAAACATGTGAGGGAGCTGACGGAGTCCATTACTACGTGGGCAGGTGGGTTGGAAAACGGGTGGCCCGTGCACCCTCACTGCCACTTTCCCATCCCAGGCACTTAGCCTAGCTGGGCCCAGCCGGGTGGGCGATGACGTTGCAGGGCCCTCCCGCGAGGTATGACGGATTTCACCCAGGCCAGCCCAAGCTTGCTCAGCCGGGAAGCCAGCCAGCCCGAACTGGCCACCTCTTTCAACCGGAGCTCCCCTCCAAGCCTCGTCAACCTCTTTCCCTATATCTTGCAAGACCTTGGATCTTGGCCACCTCTGACCTTTTCTTCGACATTACAAGCAACCGCCGACTGCACGACTGACTTGCTCTCCCCAAGTCTCGCAACCACCCGGAACCAACCAGCCCACCCTTTCGAAGCTCGAGGAGCTTCGCAACAAAGCCGTCACGATGACGCTCTACTACACACTGGTACGTTTGACCGACCTCGACGTAATGTCTTTCTCCCTGCCACAAGAAAGAGAGAGAGAGCTTCAATCCTTCTCGTCCCAATGGGCAATGGCACAACAGCGCGCTGACATGGTCCCTCCCAACCCCGCAGGTGTTCATGCTCCTTATGGCGGAGATGGGCCTGTTCATGCTCCTCATCGTCCCGATGCCCTTCTCCCTAAAGAGGCGGGTATTTACGTACGTGCTTGCCGTCCCCCGGCCCCCTCCCCTCGAGCCTGGAAGACTCGCCCGTGTGTTTGTCTTGCTAGGGCTGGAAAAGGGAACTGACGGGTTATGTTGTCACAGCTTCATCTCCGAGAACCCCCTCGTCGCCAAGCTGCAGTACGGTCTGAAGATCACCTTCATCTTCATCCTGATCCTCTTCATCGACAGCGTCAACCGTGTCTACCGCGTCCAGGTCGAGCTTGCCTCCGTTACAGACGGGGGTAACAATGCGTATGTGCTCCCAATGCCCTCGGGGCTCTTATTCCCTTCTTTTTTTTTCTCTCTCTCTCTGGTTTCGTTTCAAAAACAAGCCCACTTTGTCTGCCCCGCATGCTCCACCGTACAGCACAGCACAGGGCAGACGATCACATGCCCAACCCGCACAACAGAGAAACAACCAGCGCTGACCCGTGACCCCGATCTTCCCCCACCAGCAGAGCAGCCGTCATGGGCCACGAGCGCCTGGAGGTGCAGGCCCGCAAGTTCTACTCGCAGCGCAACATGTACCTGTGCGGCTTCACGCTCTTCCTGAGCCTGATCCTGAACCGCACGTACATCATGATCCTCGACGTCCTGCGGCTCGAGGAGAAGCTCAAGCAGTACGAGGGCACCGACAAGAAGGGCGGGAAGCAGGCCCAGAAGCTGGGCGAGGCCGGCGGCGCGGGCGAGATCGCCGAGCTCAAGAGGCAGCTCAAGAAGAGGGACCAGGACATCGAGACGCTCAAGAAGCAGGCCTCGGGCCTCCACCGCGAGTACGACGAGCTGGCCGAGAAGGTTGGGAACTCGGACGCGCTGCCTAAGAAGGATAGGTAGAGGGTTTGTTTTTTGGTGGGTGTGTGTCCTCTCCCCCCCCCCCCCGACGGACGCCGGGCTTGGACGGGCTGGGGTATATTTTGATCGTCGCGGGATCCTCTGCTGTTCTCCGATGTTGATCCCGTAGGCACGCATTTCCCACCTGAAGGCTGGGCTTGGACACGACTATTGTGGCAGAGTTCCAAAGAGACCGAGTTGGGACGTTTCTCGCTTGATCAGACTCCCTGTGGAGGGGTCAGCAAGCAGGGTGTGTGCGACAAGAGCATCAGCATTCTTGGAAGGCATGATGGGATTCTCATGGATGGAGCTTGGGTTGGGAGCAAAAGGAGAAGGAAGAAAAAAAGAGTGACATGACGTCCGGGTGCTTCCCGGCGACTTGTTGTCATCGACAACGTAGAATGATGGGAGTTTACATGCAGGTTTTGACAGTCCCATAGGTGTTAGGGAACGCGTGCTGTATTTCATAATGCATTGGCTTTATCACGTGCGTAGAGAGCCAGCTCGCTGCTCTCCCCTCGTCATCTTGTGGTATTTGTTGGAAAGGTGACGATCCCGCTGGGGAAGAACAGTTCACATTCGTACAGTGGCCGACAACAACGTTTGCTCGCCCACGAGCTCTGCTCATATGGGCAGTGCGCGTATGAGCTCTGCCTGTGGCAGACGACTCATCCTCTGCCAAATGGCGTCCGTTGCGGCCGCCCAGCGGCCGTTTTGCTCACTTGTATGCCCACACCTTGACACCCTGCTGTTATAGTAGATAGAGCCAGCCAGCAAGGTACTCCAAGTACTCATATTGGGCCCGAGGTGGTGGGTCAGGTTCCGCGGGCTAGCTAATAGGGAGGGCCTGGAGTTCCCGAGCGGCCGATCGGCTGCGGGGGTGCTGGCGGGCGGATCTACACGGCCGGGATGGAGGGATTGCGCCATTCGTTCGACGGCAGTCGCAACACCATCGATGAATACAATACATACGTAGTCCTTATTAGACTCACAAAGTCAGTGCACATACCACAAGCCGCCTCGTCTCGATGTATGCAAAACACATCTGAGTTGAGCCGCCTATCTGGAATTAGTTCTTTTCTTTTGGCCTCCCCGGGAAGGGTGGGATTGGTTTAAAACACCCAGAACATGTCCTTCACATCCATCCCCGTGCTCGACCTGGCCCTGGCCGATGACCCGGCCACCAAGCCGGCCTTCCTCGGGGACCTACGTGCGGCCCTGCTGGAGGTCGGGTTCCTCTACATCAAGAACGTGGGGATCCCGGCTGAGCTGTTCGAGAGGGTCATCTCGCTGGGCAGGGCATTCTTCGACATCCCGATGGAGGAAAAGTAAGTGGACGCGGTGGGCGCATGCATATACATACGAATTCATTTTCAAAGGCCTATAAATAATTGACATACATACATATACCCATGGATATGACAGCTGGGATGGATCACTAACTCACTCTTTTACTTATTGTATATATATATATATATGTGTGTGTGTGTGTGTGTGTGTGTATAATATCTAACACGACCCACACAGGCTCAAGATCGAAATGAAAAACGCCCCCTCCTTCCTGGGATACAGCCGCCTCTCGGCCGAGATAACAGCAGGCAGGACGGACCACCGCGAGCAGATCGACCTGTCGACGGAGCACGCCCCGCCGGGCCCCGGCGCGCCGCGGCACCACAACCTGCTCGCGCCCAACCAGTGGCCCGCCGAGGCCGCGCTCCCGGGGTTCCGCGCCACGTACGAGGAGTACATGCGGCGCATGGCGGACGTGTCGGTGCGCTTCACGCGGCTGGTGGCCGAGGCGGTCGGGCTGGCCCCGGGCGCGTTCGACAGGTTCGTCGCGGCGCCGGGGCAGCAGCACAAGCTCAAGATCGTGCGGTACCCGGACGCGGGGGAGCTGGGGCTCGAGGGTGGTGGTGGCGAGGTGAGGGGCCAGGGCGTCGGCCCGCACAAGGACTCGATGCTCACGAGCTACCTGCTGCAGGCGAGCCACCACGCGGGCCTGCAGGCGCAGAACACGCGCGGCGAGTGGGTCGGCTGCCCGCCGCTGCCGGGGACGCTGGTCGTCGCCGTCGGGCAGGGCATGGAGGCGCTGACGAGGGGGGTGTGCGCGTCCACGACGCACCGCGTGCTGAGCCCCGCGCGCGGCGAGGGCCCGCGCTTCTCGGTGCCCTTCTTCCAGGGCGTGGCGCCCGACACGGCGTTCGAGGACCTCGAGGGGGGCGGGGGCGTCGGCGAGGTGCCCGCCGAGGTGCGCCGGCTGCGCGACGAGGTGCTCGCCGGCTGCGGCGGGCGGCGGCTGGATGATGTCGAGTTCACCTTCCGCGGCGGGGGCGTGGCGCGCACCCTGGGCGAGGCGACGCTGCGGAACCGGGTCAAGAGCCACCCTGATGTTGGGGAGCGGTTCTATCCGGATATACTGGCGCAGATTAGGGAGGAGCAGGCGAATGGTGGTGGTGGTGGTGGTGGTGATAGTGGCACGGGTGCTCAGGCCAAGGCTGTGAGGGCGCACTAGTCATGGTATGTACGTGTGTAGGGCAGGCAAATGCAGAACAGGCGGCCCGGACTTGTGTGTGTGCATATATGGTTTTGATTATTTGTTTCCCAACCCCCCAAATTGCCAAAATCAATCAATGGTATACGCCCCTCGCTCTATGCTCGTAACTCCGTCGTAGGAAAGGCCTCACGGTCTCGTCACCGTCAGAACCAACAGCCACGTCACCGTCGCCGGCTCGGTTCGAAAAAGAACCACCTAAGCCTGGAAGTTGGGGAAGCACTCGGCGAGGGTTTTGGAGTGCTTGTTCGCGGCGTGCTCGGTCAGACTGTTGTTCCAGAGTGGTAGGTTAGCCAGATTGTTTCTTTGTCTGCAGGATCCGAGGTAGGTTCCGCTTCGGGACGACGGGGAGGGGGTGGGGGAGTGGGTTTGGCGTACGCAGGAGCACGAGAGGTCTTGAGGAAGGTCGAGAAGCAGACTTTGCACTGGATGTCCTTGGCCGACTCGTTGACCTTGAGCTGGGACTTGGCCTCCTTGCCGGCGTTCTTCATGGCACGCTCCCGCTTCTGTGCAGACTTGGCTCCCTGGGATATGAAGATGGCGGTCAGTGGAGTGCCCAAGAAAATGTAATCGGGAATCAGGCTGTCGCAGCGGGGAAGGGGGGAGCGAGGGGGAGTGAGGGGTGAGGCTGAAGGGGACTCACGTTGCCGCCACCCATTTTGACGAAGCGTTCTGGGGAGGGGTAGGTGGTGGATGTGATGGTTTTGATGGGCTGTAGCGAAGGATGCTGTGATGGCGCTGCTGATGGCGGTGAGGCTGAGACTGGTTGCGGAAGAGAAAATCTTAGATCGCAGGAGGGGAGTGAACAGGCACCGAGACTTTTTGGTCAGGCAGAATTCTAGAAGCCCCGTGTACCGTGCCCCCTCCCTCCCATTTGCAGGCCAGGCGGGCAGGCGGGCGAGCCTTGACCGTATTGGACCCTGGGCCCTGGGCCCTGGCTGACCGCTAAAGAGTCTCGACCATGCCAACTGCCACGCCTGCCCAGGAGAGAAACGCCCGAGGCGACGCACGGACCACAGCCTAATTGTTTGGGTCGGCCTATTCTGGTCCGCCCTAGTGTACTGTGTACGGAGTATTATGGTAGTACAAGGGTCCACACGCTTTCTGGCTCTCGGAAGGAGCCTCCACAAGGCCCAGGTAGGAAGGGACTGGCTGGTTGTGGTGGGTGGTGACGAGCCCGGGAGATCGACCATGCCTCGACCATTTGATTTCTGACCTCGACTTCAACTTCGACGTCAGCAGCTGACAGCCGTGATAACTCTGGTCAAGTCTTCGTCCTCAAATTTGCATTCACAGACACAGCCAGTCGTACCGGGGCCCTTCAATTCGATTGATAGAGGCCAAGACCAGCCACCAGTCAATCAACCATCCCTCTCTCTTCCCACTGACTGCATTCACACGGATCAAAACTACTGCCTCGCTCGTTACTTCACTGCTTCGTTGGCCAATAAATCTCACCGTGTGCGGACCGCCGAGCCGTCTCAAACCTCCAACCTTTCCGCCCTCTTGCTGGCAGTCGTCGTTGTTGTCCTGCAGGGCTCCCAATTATTTCGCCGAAGCCCTGCCTATCGCGCATTGCCGTGCAGGGCAGTACTTGCCGTGCAGTGCCGTGCCGTCCTGTGGTACGGCGTGGCTGATGACAAGCAAGCACGACGTGCCCCATTGAGACCACGTCGAGTCCTCGTCGAGCCCATCCGTTCGCCTCGGCTGCAAGCCCGCAAGCCCCCCGCCCCGTCCTGTGCTCACAAATGACGAGCGTGCTGGCCAATATGGTGGACACTGCTGCTTTCCCGAGCTCGGAGGACATCACCCTGCAGGAATTCCGCGATGCCCTTGCAGAGTATGACCAGCTCATCGAGGCCGTATCTGCTGCCAAAGGAGGTAAGAAGACTTCCAGCTCCTCCTCGGCCCCGACTCAATCCCGGCGTGGCTTGATGCTGATAATTCCGCAGCCAAACCCGGCCAGAAGACTCTCAAGGAGCTAGACCAGTACCGTTACGTGGAGGCCCCTGCCCTGTTCGCCCCGACCACTTCACGGCGGCCGATGCAGCTTGGGGATGTGCAAGCCTTGGTCGAATGGAAGCTGTGCGTCTTACCTGCCTAATCCTCCGGTTCGCTTGGGCCTATTCTCTTTTCGTCGACCCACCGTCCAACGCACCCTTGGCTGCTGGAAGTAGTGGGGAGCGCGACTGATCTGGACAATATTGGGCCCGCCATCTGACCTGTCAGCAGCAAGCATGGGAAATTCCGCCCGACTCTGATGAAGCTCGTGTCCTCAAATGACCAAGCTTTCGTCAGGGACTCGGCCGAGACCGCCCTGGACATTTACAGCAAGAACCCCGACGCGTCCGCAGCCATCGACGCCCTGACGAAACTCAAGGGCATCGGCCCAGCCACCGCGTCACTGCTCCTGGCCGTCCACGATCCTCAGAACGTAATCTTCTTCGCGGACGAGGCCTTCTACTGGCTGTGCAGCCATGGGAAGAGAGACCACATCAAGTACAGTGCTAAGGAGTACAGGCAGCTTCTCGAGAACTCGCAGAAGCTGGCCCGACGGCTCAGCGTCAAAGCGATCGACATAGAGCGAGTCGCATACGTCCTGTTAAATAAACCCGCATCAAGTCTGCCATCCAACTCGACCAAGCCATCAGCAGATACTCCGAACAACGCAGCGGCGGCCCCCGAACAGACCACGTCTACGGCCTCCAAGAGAAAGCAGGAGGGTGTCATTGAGGCATCTTCTGCACCTCGTCGATCAAAGCGGAGTAGACGACCCTGATGGCTGCTCCGCAGAGTTCAGCAGCTGCTCCATTTTTCTCGGCCCGCACCGTAGTGTCTGTCGTCCTAGGATGGGGTCGCCGCACATCCGCCACTGAGAGTTGTTGGGGAGTACTGGTCTGCTTGGTGGACTGGCCAGCTTTTAGGGTGTTGCCTGCGAAGCACCCGATTCGACTGGGCTCGGGGCCAGGGAAGGTCGTCTCGCCCTCGGTTGGTGCTTCCGGCTGAGGAGGCGATTTTCGTCCGGGAGGCAAGTGACGCCACGATTGTACGGATAGCATTGACCGACGGCATGGCTTTACTGTCCAGATGCTGTCTGCTTCTTGACCCTATCTTATCTGGCTTGCTCGACTTTCATCCGCGTAGTGCAACTCAAAGCTTGTAAGTCTGGTTCGCTTTGTGGCCCGCAGCCTTGACCGAGTCTGCATACCCCCCGATCGGCCAAGAGGCTCCTACGCCGGCTTCGTCTCACAGCCAGGGGCCACAGCATTGCATCTTCGGTTCTCGTATCTTGGTAACGCATGCAGCAACCCCCAAAAGCAAAGCAACATTCGTTACTACATCGAATTACCCAACAATAACGGTTTGCATCCGTCTGGGACATAGTGCTTGTATCACAGCTTGGGCTTGGCTACGCTGAAATGGGTTGAGCTTGCATGAGACAAGCATCACAGCCCAAATTTTGGCTTCCCTCTGGAGCCGGATCTTCGCAACTCATTCCGGGCCCATGAAGCCCTCGATACACCGGTGGCAAGGCGGAGGTGCTGGAACGTGTCCGATGCTGTCTGTCTGCCCGTCTGGCTCGTCTGCCCACAGCTGGCCCTAGTCGCCGGAGAAACCAACATCCAGCGACACCCTGGGTCAGGATCTTTGACCTTGTTCCGTCTACGGAGTGTAGGATTGGAGCGCTACCACTCGGATCCGACACAGCTCATCCCGACACCTCACTTGCCGATCAGAACAAGACCCACTTTGCTACTTTTCTCACCGTCAATAGCCTTCAATGAAGCTCTCATTTGAGTACAGTTATCAGAAGAGGGTTCATCAGTGACAGGAGGTTGCCCAACGAGGCGTCCCGCCCTTCCCGGTCGACACTCCGCGGCACGTTACAACGCTACGACGAAAGTTCGACCATCTGAGGCTGTTGATTGGCCCGACGTGCCAGAACCACTCGCTCGCGGCTCAATTTATTAGTTTATTTCAACATTTGAGGCCAGGTAGCCCACTGTCTTGGCAATGTCGGCGCCACAAAGCATCCCAAACCCATGTTTCTGTAACATGGGAGTGGCGCCCTCCAAATACCACGCAGTTATCTCCCGTGCCAGGTGTTCGCAGCGGGGTACAGTACACGCATCTCATGCTCGGTCTGATGTGTTTTGCTGAAGCCGAGGTACCGCTCATTCGCGTACTTTGTACCCTGGGAGTCTCATTTAACAAGCATTATTCTCTTGTTGGCCACATCGTTGCAGGAGCAGTGACTCGACTGAATTGACAAGCTCGGCCTTGTCCTTTTGCAATGGTCCCCTACTAGCGCTTTTGAACGGCATTGAAAGTCAATATCGCAACGGCGGCTCTCCAGTGTGACCGGTGGTCCCGAATTCTACAGCGTCGTAGCACAATCGGCCAGCAAAAGTGATCGATCCGCTGGCTTCAGGAAGCTAAGGGCACTCGGTTGCAACAGCAATGGGGCCGAGAGTTTAAGCATGTTCTGGCTAAAAGCACTTGCACCCATGTGTAACATAAATCTACAGCGACTCAGGGACCGATGAGACCTCGACAATGCGCCAACGCAGCACGTTTATTGTGCTGAGGATCGGTCTGGTCGAGCCATAAGAGGGATTCCAGCCCTACGCTATGGACCGCACCGAATTCTCCCATTGGCTGGTTGGAATACTACGTGGAGAGGTTTCGCGTTCGGCGTTGCGGGCCGCGTTGGCGGCTAACACGGTCTGGCTACAGAAGCTGTGCAACTCGCTCTTCCTTCCAAGATCAGCCTGCTTCACTCAAGTGAGGCTCCAGTTTTATACCGACCGGTGTAGAGTTTATGGGAAAAGTTCACATGCCTGTACGCCGCGGCTTCACAGAATGCATGCAACCAACCTACCTTCCCCTCCAAGGGCACGTAGGAGGCGGTACGGAGTACTCCATGCAGGCAAGAGCCCGACCGGGAGGGCATAATGCCAGGGCCCAGGGGCCCGCAACTGTATAAAGGATGCCGGTCTTCTTTAACAAGAGACCGTAACATATGCTCACTATGAGCACTACATGAAGACCAATCGTTCTCGAAACTTCACCAATGTCGCAAAGCATGGCAGTCAAGTCATCTACGCCTGCCCACATTTTGACGGGCCTGAAGGAGGCTCCTCACAAGAGGATCAGGGTCGTCCCAATGTCTCCCCCGAATGGAATCCCGTCCCTCCCCAAGCGATTCGCGCAGGTCAAGGCCGATCTGGTGTCCAGCAGTGAGACAGCGATTGCAGAGTCTTGGGGCCGGCTCCTGACGCAACTTCGTCAAGAAGTTGCAGCAATCGCAGAAGCAACTTCTCCCGTCATACCTACCATTGACTTTCAAGACCTTGACGCTCCTACCAGAAGAGATGCTTTCTTGGAGGGCCTGAAAATTCGCGGCTCGGCGGTGGTCCGAAACGTTGTCCCTGAAAACGAGGCACTGGCGATGAAGAGAGATCTTGACACATATTTAGCCGACAACCCTCACTCAAGGTCGTCGTCACCGAATGACTCTCAACTGTACGAACTTTACTGGAGCCTCGCCCAGCTCAAGGCTCGGGCTCATCCAAATATGCTCAAGGCACAGACCTTTGTCATGAGCAGCTGTTGGCACCACTCAACCCTGGCAGCAGGTTCGTCGGGCGGAGACAGCCGTGACGGCCCGGTGGACTCACGGACACGCATCACGACCAATTTCCCCGTGGCTTACGCCGACCGAGTACTCCTTTTCCACCGAAGCAGCAGCGCTCAAGAGACCCCAAAGATCGAGCCCCGTCTACCTCTCAAGGCTCACGTCGACGGCGGCAGTGTCGAGCGATGGGAAGCAGACGGGTATGGGGGTCGATCCCCGAAAGGGACATACCGCGAGATCTTTACTGGTCACTGGGAGGACTGGGACCCCTGGGATAGCAGCAGTAGGCTGAACGCCACCAGCGACCTGTACAATGGGGCCAACACCTGCAGTGTCTTCCGCATGTTCCAGGGCATCTTGTCTCTAGGCACAGGCGATCGGAATCAGGACTCGTCATCATCATCATCACCACCAATGGCCATCTGCGCGCTGCCCGTGAGGCTTGTGACGGCCTACTGGCTCCTCAGACCTTTCTTCGCCCCCAAAAAGCCCTGGGTTGGCAAGGGGCAGCGTGCGGCTGACTTCCTCGACCCCTCTAATTGGGAACTGACACCATCGCAAAGTCCCATTCTACATGGAGCACAGCCATGCCATTCCCAGGAGCTCAACGCGCTGCTTCACCCGCACCTCCTACTAGACAGAACGCTCGTCCCGGTACCACCACTACGGCCGGGCGACTATGTCCTGTTCCACCCCGACGTGGCCTACTCCATGAGCCCGTCGCTGCCCGTGCCCATGTGCACACCCGCGCAGACACCGCCGCCGACCCCGCAGCACTCAACAGGGTCATCACCCATCTTCTCACGATCGCCATCGCCGTCCTCGCCGTCCTGGTCCTCATCGCCCGCGACCCCTTCCTCCACCACCACCCCGTCGTCATCACCAACAGCGGCGGCGACGACGCTCCTCTACATCCCGGCCTGCCCGCTGACGCAGACCAACGCGCTCTTCCTGGCCCGGCAGCGCAAGGCGTTCCTGCTGGGGTTCCCGGGCCCGGACTTTGCGGGCGGCGGCGGCCCGGGCGGCGGCGGGGGCGAGAGCTTCCACATGGGCAGGCCGGGCGTGCAGGAGGTCAACGAGGCGGGCGGGGAGGCGGCGCTGCGGGCGACGGGCCTGCTGGCGTGGGACGAGGACGATGCCACGGGGGGAGAGGCGGAGCGGCTCGTGCTTGCTGCTGCGAATGGGATCTTGTTCCCTGATAGTTTTGAGGTGCGGTAGGCAGGGCAGGGCAGGGCAGGGCAGGGCAGGGCAGGGCAGGGCGGGGCAGGGGGTGGGATCCTGGGGGCGGAACTGTGTGTAACAGTAAGGCCTGTCGGTCGTAAACACGTTTCTTCTGCTATAGGGCCGTCTAGGTGCATTTTTGTGGTAGTACTTGTATTCTTCTTTGGGGAATTTAATGTGTCATGACCACCATCTATTCCCCAGACTGGTTGTTGGGTTGTGAAAGGGTCCTTTGTGGTTTTTTTGGTCATACGTGGATGGAACGGGTGCCTGCACGGTGGCGGGGGTGATCACTGGTGGAGGAGGAGCAGGGTGTTGAGTGAGCCTTGTCCTGTGGGCGCGTGCCGGACAAAATGCTGGCTGTCTTGTAGAAGGCTGTCTGTCTGCTGGGACGAGCGGCGTGGGAGGAAACATACATATAATCCATATCATATCACATGATGATGACTTGATGTGTTTAGATCTCATGTCCCTTGTTTAATTCATAATATGTTCTGGCCCCATCAGAGCTGACGGTCGACGGCGTCGTCCTTGGTTGGGTATTATGCCCCCTTTTTTCCCCCTATGAGTCCCCCCCACCCTCTGCTTTCTGTCCCCCAATTCTTCACTCATGCTATGCTGTCTGTCCGCCCCTCCCCCCTTCTTTACACATACAGCGAATAGGCCAGCCAGCCATCTGGGTGGTCACTTTAACCCTACTGCCCTGAAGCGACGGGTCTTTATGTCCCTCGCTGAGCCACACGTGTCTGTCTGCCTGCGCAGCTGCTCCCGCAGACGAAGGGGGTGGGTACAATTTCCTCTCCTTCCCTCCCGGCGCCGCTGCTCCGTCTTCTCCGGGACGATGGAACATCGCGTATCGCATTTCCCCAGATGCGGCCCCGGGCGGCATTGGGTGCGGGCAGCCCTGCCCATCCAGACGGCGGTCGTTGTGCCACGCCCCCCCCCCGGCTGATGGGCCCCCCCATCCTCCTGGGCTGCTGCAGAGATATGCCATCACCGGAGGGGAATGAATAAATCGAATCTCATATCCTGCGTCGTCAAGTCTGGATGGAATCTCTCCCTCTCTGCTTGTCTCTGTCCGTGTCTCTCATGGGGAGTTGGGCTTCTGCGCGAACAGCCCGACGACCCGGTAGAACGTGTCCTCGATGGGCGGCATCGCGAAGGCGGGGGCGGCGTCGAAGATCTCAGTCAGCCTCTGCGGCGCGACCACGGCGGCGTGGACGTCGTCGTCGTAGTCATCGTCGTCTTCATCGTCGACATCCATGGCCTCTTCCTCCCCACCGGCCTCGCTGGCGGCATCGTCCTCGCCGTTCAGGACGACCGCCGCATCCTTGGCCTCCTCCTCGTCCGCCGCCGGGACGTCGTCGAGCCTGAGCTCCGACAGCGGGCGCGCGATGTTGCTCGCGTCGGCGCCCTCCGTGACGGGCCAGATCTGGGCGGCCGAGTCGACAGCGACGAAGCCGCCCGAGGCGCCCGGCGCGGGCAGGACGGCGGTGAGCAGGTGGGGCAGCTTCTGCATGAGCAGGGGCTCGCTGTCGTCGAGGCCGAAGACGGCGACCTCGGACACGGCGCCGCGCGACAGGCGGCCGTTGGCGCCCTTGAGGAAGGGGACGGCGACGGCGAAGGTGCGCGTGCGGCCGTCGACGGCGAGGTGGGTCAGGCGCGCGGCGGCGCCGGGGCGCTCGCCCAGCTTGACGCCGTAGCGCAGCTCGTCGGCGACGAGGTCGTAGACGGCGAGGTCCTGCGAGAGGATCACGAGGCACGACGCGAGGAGCTGCAGGGACCGGACGGCGCCCCTGCACATGTCGTGCAGGGTGGTGCGGACCTCGCCCGACTCCATGTCGATGATGTAGATGACCACCTCGTCGTGGTAGCCGTACGCGGCGAACAGGATCGAGCCGTCCTCCGAGAAGGTCAGGGCGCCGCTCCTGGCGTGGGCCGCGCGGCCGCCCAGGGGCAGCAGCTCGTCCTGGGACTTGATGCTCTCGCCGAGGGCGACGGTGCGCACGCAGGACCAGCCGACCAGGGCCTGGCCGTCGGGCGCGGTCGTCGCGAGGCCGTCGCGCTCGCGGAGCTGGGGCGCCCAGATCCGCACGACGCCGTCCTCGCCGACCGTCGCGAACCTGCTGGACACCTTGTCCGCGGCGATGTCGAAGACGTCCTCCGAGTGCCGCGTCGAGTGGGGGCCGTTGATCCGGCTCGCCAGCTCCACGGACGTGCCGTCCGCCTTGGCCTCCCAGAACTTGAGGTAGATCTCGCGCCGCTCGCGCGAGTAGTCGAGGGCTGCGGCGCTGGAGCCCTCGGTCAGTGCGGCTGCGTCCCGCTCTGGCGGCTCCCACTCGTCGATTGTCGCGAGCCACTTCCCGTCATGTGAGAACGCGAGCTGGCATGCTCGCGGCTCGACGATGGGGTGGCCGTTTGGTGCGGTGTACAGGTCTGTGGTGTTTGTCCGCGTGAGTGGTTGTTTCGAGATGCTCTGGAACGAGCCGAGGTCGAAGCGCTGCAGGAAAGGTGTCACAGGGAGAGGCCCGGTGCGGCTGGCCTGCTGGCTGCTTCCCACGCAGATGAGCAGCTGTGATGGGTCCTTGGGGTCGATCGCCGCAGCTAGCGGGGCGTTGATCTCACGCAGGCCCTCGAAGACCCTGCCCACGAGTTCGTCCTTTGGTTTTTGGATATCGAACACCAGCGACTGGAGCCCCGAGACGTATGTGGTCGGCTTCATCTCGGCCGTAGAGAGGACCATTGTTGAGTTGTCATCCATGTGAACAGCATAAGAGGAGCCGCTGGGAGAAACAACGACGTTCTCGATGCTCGCTGCCAGGTGAGGGAGGAAATCGAGTTTGTTGGTATCCACCTGCCAAAGCACGAGCACTGACTCTGAGCCTCCAGATATCAGATAATTACCTGGTGTGGGTGGCGTTAGCGGCGGCATTCCAGCAAGAGAGGGAGCCTGCTAATAAACCTACCGTCTGGGGACCAAGCAACACTGTGAACGGCCCGCTGGTGCCAGTGCTGCTTCTTTGGTGTCTCGAGCCCTTTTCGGGATTTTGCTGCCCCCCGTAATTGCGAGAGCAAATCTGAGTATATGTAGATGGCTCCCCGTGCGCCTCCAACCGCAATGTCGAGGACATGGTCATTCAGGTCCTGCAAGGCCTTCTTCTTGGAGCTTAGTTTTTTTGGTGCGAGCCTCACGCCCAGGCATGAGACTTCGTCGCTCGTGTTGATGGAGTAGAAGTCGTAAGAAAGGTTCTCAACGCTGCCAAAACTCTTTGGTTGCAAAGCGCCCACCATCAATGAATTACCCGCAGCGGCGGTGAGAATGCTGCCTCCGTTCGCTGTTCGCAAGATGCCCCATTTGCCTGTCTGGTTTTGCAGCACCTTGCTTTTGGGCTCGGCCAGGTCAGAAGGGTCGTAGGCGACAATCCTGTAGTTGTTCTTCAGACTCTCGGAAACGTATAAGATGTCGGAGGCCTTCTTGTTAATGGTGACCGCACCAAGGGTCATGTCGTGTATGACGCCTGCCCCAGTCCGAAGGCACTCCTCCGAGCCGGACCCTGTCTTCCAATTTACCCTCCATATCCTGCCGTCGGATGATGCGAGCCACACCAGCTCTGGCGTCACCTGGGAGAGGGCAGTAGCCACAAGGTATGGTGCGCCATTGTTTGCGCCGATCAGGGGCAGTGCGATTCGGCGGACAAGGAGCGAGTCGGCGACGGAGTAAACTTGGAGGGACGTGTGGTAGGCAACCAGAAGGAACCTTTGATGGTCAATACAATCGAACTGAAACCCACCAGGCAGGGGACTGGACTGAAGTGGGTGGTTGGCTCACTGTTCATCGGCGCTGAAGATGGGATCTATGTCAGACATTCTGCCACCCATTGGCTCCGAGATCCTCCATTTCTGCAGGGCCTTGGACTTGTTGCTCTCGCCGTTGGACTGGGACCGGGGCTTGTGCTTAGAAAACAGGTTGTTGAAGGCCGAGTCCTGATCTGGGGCCTGCTGCTCCTCCTCAGCAACGGGCGCCGAAGCTTTCCTCTTGGACGATGCTCGTGGGGTGGCCTCGGGGGTGTCCTCGTGCTGCCTTTGCCTCCTCTTCTTCTTGTGTGACGAGTCCTCCTGGTCAATCTTTTCCCTTTTCCGCTTGTCTGCACCCTTGCTGGACTGTGACTTTGAAGAAGCCATGGCGGATTGAAAGACAGGACAATTGGTGCTGGGCTGGAGCAGCAGCAAGGAGAACGCAGGCAAGCATGGCTGTCTGCAAAAACTCAGGTACAAGGGTGCTGCTGCTGAAAAATATCACGATAAGGTTCCGATAAGAAATTACGGTGGGTCTAGCCCGTCCCGGCCGCTTTGAAGAATTGCAGTCTTGGGAACATTCACGTTCACAACCGGCTCCCCAACGACGCTGATCAATCAACCAAAGCGCATCCCAGGACCTTGGACCGGCATCGAGAACCAGAGTTCGCTTCTTTATTCTCATCGACCCCATTCAAGATGATTATTCCGATCCGCTGCTTCTCGTGCGGGAAGGTTGGCCAACCCTCCCAAGGCAACAGACCCCACGACAGAAGAGCTGACAACGGCACAGGTGACTGGAGATCTCTGGGAGCGCTACCTGGCCCTGATCGACCAGAACGTCCCTGATGGGTGAGAATACCCTGCGATACGATGGGGACTGTGTTGCGAGACCGGCAAGAGCTAATGCGATGCGATGCGATGCGACAGAGATGCCATGGACCAGCTCGGGTGCAAGCGATACTGCTGCCGACGTATGATAATGACACACGTCGACCTGATCGAGAAGCTGCTCAAGTATGCGAACAACCTTGGCCCATCCATAGACTACATTCACGCTCCGGAGCTGTCCACTGACAGGTTGCAGGTACACCCCCGACGGTCGCGAGGTCAAGAAGAGCAGCCTGGCCCAGGACAACCCTCAATAAAGTCGAAACCCCCGAGATGGAAAGCAAGAGTTTTTTATTACACTGCGTGGCGTTCAGGAAGCACGGCAGACTCGAGAGGATTCTATCGGCTCTAGGCATACTTCACGCCACAGCGACATGGAAGAGCACAGCAAGATCTGCCTGCGCCCGGCAATGCGTCGTATCGCGTGGAGGAGCCGCGACCAAGGCCGCGACCACAGCGGTACGACGACCTGGCGGCCATGGCTATGCCCATGTCCTGGGAGTAATGGCTGTATAGATGCCAGGCCGGGCTGGATTAGAATCACTACAACAGACGAGGTTCACGCCCTGGAGGGTATATGTAACAGCCCAGTGCCTGTGAGGCTGGGCCCCCGGTGAGAGGTGGCGGGTGCATCATGGTTCGGCGTTTATCATAGACACTGGTAACACATACAAAAAAACAAAAACAAGCCTACTGGGTCTCTCCCGCGGTCTCTCTGCCCTGCCCCTGCATGTGGCCGTCTTCGTGGCCGTCTTTTTGACCATACAATTGGAACAACAGACGCGGTCCTGCAGGGCTTCCCGACTGGATTATCCGCCGGCCCACCGGTGGCTGGCGAACCCAATATATTGCTGAGGACATGTTTTGTTTTTGGTATATGCCGATCTAACTCAAAACCCTTGTGCCTACCGCGACGAAGGATCAACCGCGACGCGACGGCGTCAAATGGACAAGGGCCTGCAGCCCTTCCCAGCGGCTAAGGTGCAGGCCAGATTGGAGGCGAGCACACACTGCGCAAGCGACGGAGCGGGCAAGGCTTGACCGCTCAGCCAGGCCTCGGCAAGGGAGCTCTAAGATCATCCAGGAGATATTGGCCATATCAGGAAGCCGTATGCAGCGCGTCGGCCCAACGTGCAGGAAAGGCGTTTCACGCGCTCGAAGGGCCATGCTCGCGTGCGGCGCAGGCGCAGATTCAAGTCGGGTGCTACTCCACGCCGGAATGAATTCATGCAGCATGCAGGTTGTGGACTTTTACATTGTCCCCCCACCGCACACGTCAGTCAGTCAGTCAGCAAGCTGGCAAGAAATAGGATGTCGGCATGGATTCTTCAGAGTAGTCGACCAGGCCAATTCTCGTAGGGCGACCAAACAGATTGTCGAATGGGCTGGTGTGACGAGGTGATGGGCAGAACCTACACTGTCAGACGGCAATGGCAGATGTACGGAGTACCGGTGTGCCTGAGCAGTGGCCATCTCTGCAAGCTCACTCGTCCTGCCAGTCCTGCCCAAGGCCGCTGGTGTGCGAGGCAGGGGTCAAGCTCTTGCGCTACAAGGAAGAAGGGTGAGTGACACTGGCTTGACCCACAAGCACCGTTGACCAAAAGAGCAGGCGGGGAGCACTTGTCCTTGGCTCCTCCCTGGAGGCCTGGGCTGCCTGGCAGGGCTTGGGGCCGTGGCCGTCTACACTAGACAGAGTCGACGGATCCGTGCTTTGTGATTCCAACCCTGGGAACCCAAGCCACACACACACGCCTTGCCCTGCTCATCGACTTACCCCAAGTGGAAATTTTGTATTTTATACGTTGCCTTCTCCTCGCCTCTGCAGCCTTCTCGGCCATCGTCAACCTGGTCAGCTGGTCTGGTGTCAATTGATCGGCTCGATCGGGCTCAGACCCTCTGCAACTGTACAATCACTACACAGTACCTCGACCCTCGCCGTGCTTCTTCGCCAGGCAGTGGGGTGGTGATCTGCCCTAATGGCCCCAGGGTAATCAGAGTGAGGCCCAAATATAGGTGTACGCTAAACTCAGAATGATGCAGTTCCCAGGCCATCGGGTGCGTAGGATGCGCCGGTACTCTGCGGGCTTTGAGACAGGCATTCAAGCAATCAATCCAGCACCAGCGACGATCCACAAGAGGGGGGAGGGGCCGTTAGGTTGTTGCAACGCAATCAGAAATATCCCCGAGTCCAGCCAGCCCTTTTTCTCCCACCCTCTCTGGTGTGTTGCGTTGCTGCAGTCCCGGAGTGCCGAGGTCCTCCCTCATCAGGATGACATCGATGACATGGAGGCCGCGGGGCGTGAGCATCGAAGGAGGCTCAACTAGACATTACGTATCGCGATTGAGCACCGCTTAGGCATCAGCAGCCACCTTGTTCGGGACTTTTGTGTTGTGCCACCCGTGGCGCCCAACATGCTCCCGCCCACCGTCATGTGGTCTGGCCATTCTCCAAGACCGTGGTCCCGGCACGAGCCCCGGTTCAACTCGAGCGGCAGAGCGGTCAGTCGTCGTGCTGTGTTGTGTTGTGCCGTGGTCTGCTCTTCTCCGTCAGTCCGTCAGTCCGTTCGTGCCATGACACATGGCAGACATGGCGCACACACGCATTCTGCGCAGTAGCTCTTGGACAAGATCATCCAAGCCCAAGCCCAGGCCTGTCTCCAGCCTGCCAGCCAACCAGGTGCGGCTCGTGGGCGTCTGTGTAGCCAACATGCATAGCTCCATTGGCTGACAGGCCAAGATAGGGCCATGTCTCGGTCGGCATTGCTCCACCTCCATGCCTATGCCTGTTACCCGACCGGCTGGGACCTTCGCACCGAGCCAGAGACGGTGATGGTTCGGCCTGGTGCCTTTTGGGTTCTCAGGAAGTGCTCCGGTGCCCATCTTAGCCACGAGTGCAGCATGCTATCGACAGGGGTGGCCCAGGGACAGCAGATGTGACTTGCTGGATGAAGCGAGCCCACCCAAGCAGGACCGGGCTAACCACCACCTCTAAGCGCCCACGCCTGTCGTCTCATGCAGCTCATAAGTGGCAGACAACCTTGGGCCTCCACCACATCGGCACATTGCCGGCTTCCTACTGGCTGCGCCGCCGTCCAGAGGAACTCGCGGCATCAGGGCGAACGGAGGCCGACGCGCACCTGCAGGCTGGAATGGTCAATTCCCACATTGAACCCATCGTTAGTCTACCATACCACAGCTTCGCACGGCATCGCACCGCACCACGTTAAGGAACGTCCTCGCTGCTTGGACGGGCGCTGCGGCAGTGTGAGGCCGTGGGTGACTTAAACTTCTCACCCGCTTCCTTCCACCACACCTCGCGACATCGAGGGAGCCTACTAGTGACTGCAACGAAACTGCTGCTGTGTGTAGGAGTCGGCCGCCTGGGGAACATCGCGTTCCTGTCTAGCCTCGCCAAGTTTGCAGTCGAACTAGCTGCTGAGACATCCTCCCGCCATCCGAGATACCCCTCTCACATCTCACACCGTCACAAAAGAGCTGGGCTCCGAGAAGCTGTTGACCCTCTCGTGTGTGGCCTCGAGCTCTCCCCGGCGAATCACACTGGCAGCACTTCGACGAGGCTCCGACTGCCTCCCACTGGTCGAGACTCAAGCAGCCGATCCTCTGACAGGATACCCGCGCATACAACAGCACTTGCTGCAGATACTCGCGCAAACCTAATCCCAGAACGCCCACGCGCATGCGACGGAGATTATCCATCTTCCTTCGCAGCGCCCCCAACGACCACTTTACTTACACAGCACTTCCTTTCTGTCGCAACCAGAGTGTCTTTGTCCACCTTCTGCTCTGTTGCTTCTCCAGCCCTCCACCACCTCGTGCGGACCTGCCCTCTTGGCCAGTCATATTGAAGCAAGACCCGACCAGACGGAGCCAGGCCCCGGTTAAGATACACACCCCTTCCGCCTGGTGCAGATCTCTGCGAGCCCGGCCATTTCATCCAGTGCTTCTCTCGAATTCTTCTCGAAGGCCTGTTGCCTGTGCCTTTTTTTTCTCTTGTTTTTCTTTGGACACACCCATCAATCCATCCTCGGGCTGTACTTGGTCTTTCTGTCCCATCGCCTGCTCGGCTTGGAGCCTTGTCCCTGTCTAGCTGCACCTCCCTGGTGCTAGCAACCCTACCTTAACATCGACGGCTTGTAAGCTCCCATAATATCTACCCACCTGCCACCTGCCTGCCCCTCCCCCGGGTCTCGTCCTTCCCCAGGGAGCTTCCACAGCAGGCGCGCCGTCACCAACTGGGCAAATTTTGGTGGCCAACACCCGGCGACCGCCATCACCACCTTTCAGTCTGCCTCGCTTCGCCCGACGGCCGGTTTCCGGGGCCCTCGTCATCGCCGCCTCCCAGCGCGGTCGCACCGTGACCGCTCCACCCTGGATGTCGCATTGAGCACCCTGGTCTGTCCCACGACTCGGCTTTGGCGACGACACGAGCTTCTCAGCCTCGTCCGGCACCAATTGCTCGGAGCCCTGGCGATATCCCAGTCATGGCTCTCGAGGCACCACTCAGGTCATCTACGGGAAATTTAGTCTCTCCTTTCTCTCCGTTCAAAAATATGTCAGTGATACCTGCTCAAGCCGTTCTTCCAACCTCCTCCTGGCTTGCCTCTTTATGCGATCTACTGGCTGTGTCTTTTGTTGCTTGCCAGCGCTGACTATGAATCGCCGTCCCAGGTCGACTCCGACTCCAATGGACTCCCAAACTCTTCGGCCCACCTCTTACGTGAGGCCGCACTCGGCACATCTTTTGAGCCCCACCAGTGATATTGTTGGCCCCTCCCCCGTGACCTCGAACGGCACAGAGACAACAGAGATCGACGATGAAGCACAGTCGGAGACCAGCGACCAAGTCTCGGTGTCAGAGTCCGAAGGCCCGCCTCAGGTATGGGACTGTGTGCACAAGCCATGCGAGTCCATACTAATTCGCGCGTAGCTCAAAATGCTCAGGACAAACCTCCCGGATGCCATGCGAACAGGCTCGAGTGACGAGGCGGTCTCGGTCATACACGCTCCGGAGAGCTTTCACCAATGGGTGCGTTGAGAAGAAGAGGATGCAGCTGTCCAGAGCTAATCATGGAGATAGGCGTCGTCAGACCCAAATAAGCCTGGCGAGAGACCGAAGGACCTGCTCAGTCCTCCCGAGAGCGAAGCATCTGTCAAGGTAAAGTGAGCTATGCTTGTACCGCCAGCCGATGGTGCTGACCAGGTGCTCTCAGGACAATCATCTAGGCCACCCAACGCCTCCTCCTATCTCGACGAACGTGAAGCCGTCAAGATATTCCTTGGACAACGCCACGCCTCAGGCTCAAAAGCTACAAGATGTCTTTGATTCATCTCGGTTACGATCCAGCAGCACGAGCAGTCTCGAATGTAGGCGAATGTGACGTATCTTCACCGGGCGAAGGCTGACCCCATGTGCCAGTGATCCCCGAAATCCACGAAGGAGACACCGACGCCGAACCAGATTCTGCTACCAGTGAACGATTCGTAACGCCACATGTTATAGAGGAGGAACCCGAAATCAGGGCTCTACGAGCCGCCTTGGAGGAGTGTTGGACGTTGTGCAACACGTTGGCAAATCTCAGCTCCATCCACAGAGAGCGGGTCTTCAACAGTTCCGGAACGCCGGATGCACACGAGAAAGCCTGGAAGAGCTGTTGGAAGCTCTGCCAGAAACTGTATAACAGCCGGGACGAAGCTGTCGAGCAGCTCAATGGGCGGGCGAACTTGGACCTGTGCCGGGACTTCTGCCAGTCGCTGTTTGATGTACGGCAACGGAAGGACGAGGTTGGCGACTCTGTGCTCAGAGTCAGTTTTGAGCTAAATAACCAGTGAGATACCCCACCACTTTATGCGTCTTGATCATAGCAACTAACACTATGCCCTTAGTCTCTACAGTGCCCAGGACAGCCGAAACTTGCCAGAAGCATTCCGCGAGAGGACATTGGACTTCTATATCACCCTTTGCCACCGCCTCATGAAGCAGCGGAGCGAGCTGGCGGAAGAGACTGATTCGCTGCTCCGGGCGTGCTGGTCCTTGGCCGAGATGCTGTTCAGCCTGCGGCAGAACTCCCGTGACGGCAAGGCACCGGATGAAGAGCTTCTGGGGTCAGCAGTGCAAGCCTGCTGGGAACTTTGCGACATCTTCAGAGAGGGATGGACGCAGGTGAGGCCAGACCGAGGCACCCCACGACCGAGCCAGATCAATTTCTTCCAGGCCTCTGATGTTCGATCGACCACGAGCCGCTCGTCCATGCATTCGAAACGCGACAGCTTGAAGAGCATGCCCGATGAGCAGCCACCACCGCGCCGGACGAAGCAGCCACCACCCGTGCCCGAGACACCAGTGACCGAATTCGAGGACACGGGTGACACGCCCATCTCGCCGGGCAGCGAGAGCCCGCAGATGCCCAACATTCTCGTCCTAGGCACCAACCCGGAGGGCGGCAGCCAGGGCGGGTCGCGAGGCGGCCGGTGGTCAAGCAGCGCGAGCAACCTGTCCAGCTACTCGCAGTCGAGTGCCAGGACGAGCAGTACGGCGACGACCACGGCGACGTCGGCCGAGGACGTCAACGTGACGCGGATCAAGATGCTGATCCTCAAGGCGGCCATGAACATTGGGTTCAGCCGCGAGGGCGGCGACAATGGCACGTCGTCGCTGCAGGCGTTCGTGCAGAAGCTCCCCACGGGCTCGTTCGGGTCCCTCCCGCAGCACGCGACGCTGCTGCAGAACTACAAGAACCTGGTCCTGGCCGACACCACGTTCCGCACCGCGGCGTCGCTTCCCGGCCGTGGCAAGCGGGTCAGCGCCACCGACGTCGCCAAGAGCGTCGGGTGGATGACGCTGCGGTCGGGCCAGTATGGGTTCCTGAGGGATCTGTTCCGGCTTGTCTATGGGTTCCCCTTGGAAGAGGCGGACAATAGGAAGAATGTTAGCATCGCTGTGTGAGAGGGCGCCGCCCCATCCCAAACGGTGCAACACACGGCGCAAATCAAATGCTCCGGAACAGCCACGCCACAGTTGGAGGGACGACATCCACCCCACGACCCATCCACCATACACTTTACCTTATTTACAGCAGTCGGCGGCGGATATCTCGCGATATATTTCTAAAAGTTGCACATTTGGAGCGGCCTTCTTAACGATACATGACTTTTCTTCATCCTCCACACAGGCGCGGGGCACTCGCGGACAGAGGCACACAATACTCGACATGACCGCGTGTGTCGCGCAGCCTGACCAGCGACCAACCAAACCCTTCTCCCCCAACGTTTCCATCTATATCTCCAGCCAACTCGTTTCTCGACTCCAAAGCACGATACCCCCTTCTATACGGATGGCTCAATTGTCCTTGATGATGCTTTCTTGTTTTCTTGCTTCACAGGTGTAAAGGGGAGGGGGAGGCAAAATTTGCTCTTTTGCTGTTGGCCTACGTTTCTACACATATATCTATCTACCTACCCCTATTTTTACTTGGAGGCCTTTTTGTATGGGGTTTCGAGCTTTCACGCAGTACAGCACGTCAATACATTACAGAACATTAAAGTCTCTCGCTTGAAGCCCAACAGGAACTGGAGCGGACTGTGACATGCTTCTTGTGTTTTCTTTGGGGGCTCGCTCGCACTCGAGGAAGAAGGTCCGGTTTGGCACAGCATGACTGCCTGCCACATACTGTACAGGGACATGCTGCGAGCTGTAAGTGAGGTGGCGATTCGACGGCGTCCCTGGGTGGGTGGAGACACATTCGTCCTCGACACTGTTCACATCTGGCGTCTGGACCCCATCGGCCCCTGCGCATTTCACACGGCAACGCCACAAGCAGGGGGGGGACATCAACCTGGCGGACATGTTTATCTGATGGGCTGCTGTTTCCGTGATGGGCTGTGACAATATCTGAGTTCCTATTTGACGCGGCCGCTCTTTCCCAGCCATAGCCCAAACATCCGATCGTCCTCCCACCTGCATGCGCATTTATTGTCTTCAGCCAGCGCGGCTACAGGGGACGAGGACGAGGTCGGTGTGGTGTGCATTACCTAGGCAAGTGATGCCCGCCGGGTCTTCCAGTTTTCCTTGTTGTGATGCATCGCTAACAAACCCCCTAAATCATCGATCGTGTGTCCTGTCACGTCCATATCAGCGAGTGCGTCTCGTCAAGGGGCTGGTGATGTCGGGGCGTCGGTCGTACCTCTGCCCCGGGATGTTGATATTACCCCCTCCCCTCACTTGTATGCCTTCAGCGTGTCAGGCTAGGTCCTGACACACACGCCAAGGGCTGGGTTGGGAATCGCGGGTTGTTGTTACACTGGTGGTCTGGTGGCGGAGGCTGCTTCGGACTGCACGCCCCCGTGCGAAGATATAGCCTTGCCTTCCTCCCTCCCTCCGTCCTCCCTCCCTCCTTCCGTCTGACGACGACAGGTGAATACAATATCAATCAGTTTGACGGTCCCGCGGCACCAGTGCCCTGGCGGGCTGGTCTGCCATCCCGAGGGGTCGCCGTCCGCTGTCTCGTGCGGGCCTGAGGGGGAGGAGGAGGAGGAGCAGCCGTGCCCTGGCGCGAGGGCCTCGCGCTGCTGCTGCCCCCGGCACCGCCGCCGCGGCCAGACAAGCCATACCGCACCACGCGCCGATGGAACGGATCATAAAAGCTCCCCGCGGGCAGGCCCCGGCCGTTGGCCGCCAGCTCGGCAACGTCAGCCGGGTCGGGCACGCCGAACCCGCCCTCGCCGTCGTCATCATGATCATCCAGCACGGGCGCGGGCACGTGCAGCCGCACGAGCAGCGCGGCCTGCCGCATGAGGTCGCGGGTGTCGACGGCCCGGCCGTCGGGGTGCCGCAGCCCGCCGGCCGCCACGATCTGCTGCGCGGCGGCCGCGACGCCCAGCATGAAGCCGACGCCCTCGCTCTGCCGCATCGCCAGCAGGCTCATGGTCGCGCACGCGTCCGTCGCGAACCAGACGCCGCCGCCAAAGTCGTGCCGGTGGCCCAGGCGGATCTGGCACGTGTCGTGCGGGTCGAAGTACCACACCCCGTGCGGGTCGTCGCGGGCCACGGCGCCGCGGTTGGTGTAGGGGTGGGGGAAGAGGGGCTGCGGGCTGGGCGGGAGGGCGAGGCCGAGGCCTGGGAAGGGGGCTGGGAATGGCTGCTGACGCTGACGCTGGGGGTGCTGGGGCGTCGGGAGGCCTGAGCCGGGCGCGTTGGTGCTGCCGCCTCCTGGGGCGAGGGACCGGTGGCGCTCGATGGACTGCAGCGGGACGTTGGGGTGGATGTCGAGGTAGTTGGGCAGGGGGGCCAGGCCCAGGCCGGCGCCGTTGCCGTTGCCGTTGTCATCGTTGCCATCGTCGTCGACGAGCAGCAGCATTCCCGGGCTGTTGGGGTCCAGGCTGGCGGTCCTCGGTGCCGGGCCCTCCTCGGGGGCCACGTCGAAGTGGCCTCCCAGAGGGTCAATGGGGTTGGTCGTGCCGTGCAGCACGTGGCCCTCACCCGAGGCGCCGCCCTCGACAACGGGCACTGGACCCTGGGTCCTCTGCCTCTTGCGCGACGGCCCGGCTGCGGGGCTGGCTGGCTGTTCATGCGTGGGCGTCTGGTTCGTCGGCGTCTGCCAGTAGGGTGAGGTCTGGTTCATGGGCGTGCGGTCGCTCGCCGAGCGTTTCCGAGCCCGCCCGGCCGCCTGCCTGCGCCGGCGGCCGGCCGCGGAGGAGGAGGAGGATGAGGAAGCCGGTTGTGGACTCTCCTCCGGCTCCGGCGATGGCGTGAATTCCGGGATGGGGCCGGTGTATGTCGGGATCACGCTTTTAATTCATGTTGTTAGCAAGAAAAAAAAAAGAGGAAAAGAAGGGGGGGGAAACAAAAAAGTCACCGTCCGCATCAATATACGAGGAATGTGGAGCGGCTGTTGATTCAGGAGGAACTTACCCTGGCGCCGGCTTGTAGGTGTTCTTGATATACTGCACCTGCTTCCTGGTGAAGTTGCGGCTGGCCCAGTACTCGCCAAAGTGCTGCTTGAAGGCCTTGGCGATGGTGCTGTGGTCCCACCTGGCCTGGTCGCGGGAGACGACGAATCTGATCTCCTCCTCGTTGTATTTACGATTCTCCACCATTTTGAAATTTGGGGCCGACATGGTGGTATTTCGTGTGTGTATGTGTCAGTCTGGACAGTAAAAAAATGATAGTCAAGTGACAATGATGTGTTGGAGATGCCAGTGAGGGTGCTCGCTGGCCCCTCGAGCGGTATGATGTTGTTCAGTCTTGAGCGATGGATTGAAGGCTCAATTGGGCCGCGATTTGGTGTCCAGGTAGGAGAGAAGAAGTGATTGGCAGGACAATTGGCCCTGGGAACAAAGAGTAGTTATAGATGTTACTTGATGGCAGATTCACCCCGGGATGGGTGCATGCAAGTGATGTGTGTACGTGATTCAGTGACTGGCGGAATACAGTGACATGGCCTGTGAACGGGCGTGAAAACCAAACGCGGCCCTCCCTCTAGCGTGATGCCCCCCAAGAGGTCGGACGGTTTTGTTTGCTGCCAACGGTTAAGGTGTTGAGCATGTGATAGGTGACAGTATCCATATGCCGTGGCGGCTTCGCAACTGTTATAGGTGCAACAGGTTGTGGACGATATCTGTACCCGTACTTCCGGAACTGATCTTGCGCTGTGTAGCTGGCTGATGAAGTAGATACTCCTCTGGGCTGGCGAGAAAAGACTTCTGCTCGTCAAGAATTTGATAAAATGAATAATATTTCACTCCGTCAGGAGTGAATGGATTGTTGGATTGGATTGGATTGGCCTGACCCGGGAGAGGGCATCCGAAGGCCCAGAGTGTTGTGATAGTTCAAGAGATGGATGGGGGTCTGGATATGAACGGCCAGTCCGCCGTTCAAATAGAGCAGAGAAGAGAGAGCCCAGACCATGTCTTCAGCCAAGACAGTGAGTTACCCTGGCCGTCTGAATGAGCAATGAGGCCACACACCACTGTCAAGCAGGTAGTGAGAGGCTCGGTTAGGGCAGTCACTGGTGTGACTGGTCTAGAGACGAGTTCCGGCAGCCTGGGACGACGATATACGGCATAGAAGGCAAAGAACGCCAGCCGAAGGAACAACCCGTGATCAAAGGGGAAGCTTCAGGTGGTCATAGTATCAATCATCCTTTCCTGGGATATGATTCAGAGGGTTGCCGCAGGAGAAGCGTCAAGTCTGGGCACCTAGGTATCAAATTTGAGTTGCACGAACGATGGCGTATTTCAAGGGAAATGACGGGGAGACAAGGCCGCCGATGCGGGAAAGTAGCTGCAGGGTCTGTAGCAGAGAGCATTAGCTGGTTTCGCTTCTATTCCGCACACGTCCGAGGACACACATGTCGCCTTCATGCGGTGGTAACAGCTCGAGACCACATGCGGAATTTGAAAAACAGATAGTGTCGATAACAGTGGTGAAAATACGATAGATGCATGTAGCCTCAGCCTTGCGACGTATAGACAAAGCTAAGGGGCATCGTCTTGACGGCCACGTTGACTAGAATGCCAGTAAATCTCAATTTATACTTATCTGATTCTGCCGCGGGGTTTGAACTCCAGATATCTAGACAGATGATATGATGACAGGCACGCAAATGCATGTGACAGGCACGCAAATGTATATGACACACATGTGCACACAAGTATGATTCTATTTCATGAAGAATGATAAGAGTAACATTGAAGCACTTGAGGTCTAGTTAGCAACCATCTGCCGTGCGAAGATGCCCAGCCAACACTTGACCTGGCCGGCTTCTTCGTCTTCACTAGCACCCCAGTCGTCCCGCCCCGCTACGATGGTCTCCTCAAGGCAGACGAGTGGCGTAGACTTCAATGTCATCTCGTCTCGGAGTGCGGCAAGAAGCCTGGCTGTGACAGCGTCCCGTTGCGGGACCATGATCATGACTCTGGCACTGCGGTTCAGGCTGAGCTGGTCATCGATGGCACCAGCGAGGAGTCCGGGGTGGTTGTCATCATACAGCGGGTCGGCGACGATCACGGCCTACACGTTGGTCAGCTACACGATATCATTTCCCTCGAGGTCAGCACAAGACATGCATCGAAACTGTTCTTCGCGGAGAGTAGGGCAGGGTCAATCTCGTCTTCGCCCCCGCCCCACGTCAGAGCCCCGGATGCAAGGCTGCCGCCTCGTCCCTGCACCATGGCCAGGTTCTTGGCGACATTGTGGGCGAGGTTAGGCACGATCTCGGGGAGGTCAGTGAGGATGACGTGGGTCCGCCAGACGGCGGCTGCCGCCAGACCAAGGAGACCGGTCCCCGACCCCAGCTCGAGCACTGGCGGTCTCGGCCGCCCGGCTGTTTCCCCGAAGAGATGTGCCAGCGAGGTCTCGCCGATGGTGTGCAGCATCTGGGCGAGGACATATGATGAGCCCCAGGTCTTGAGGCCGAGGTTGTCACCCGTCAACGCTGGCTCGCGCAGGATCAGGTCGAACGGGCCGTACGCCTCGCTCTCGAAGGGCCACCGTCGAGTAATCTCCCCCATGGCTAAGCCAACAAGGCCGTGCATGAGCTTGGCGTCCTCTCATGGTGTCTGGGGAAGGGCGTCGGACGTACCGCTCCGTCCACATCGCTCCGAGAACCGCCTGCTCGCCTCGTCCCATATTGCCTCCCGGTCGTCCTCGTCCACCAGCCAGCTGAGTGGGCTCTTGATGATTGTGGATAGATATGCAGCGATCTCCCGTGGGTCCTGGGCCACGGTTTCCTGATGCTTATGCTTGAGCATTTCAGTGCGGGAGGCTTTGAGGTTCCATACTGGTGGATCGACTCGAAGTCCTTGCAGTGCCGCTAGCAGGACAGGAAAGGCAGGCTTCTGCCAGACCTGAGGAAGGTCTAGTGGCGATTCAACCATGGTATCTGCTGAAGCAATAAGAAAGACTTGGCTCCACTGATCACAGCGACCAGGACAAGAGTGAGACTGTGTGAAGGGACAGACAAGGCGAGAGAGACTGTGCTGGGTGGACGAGCACTACGGACAGAGGTAGTGCTATGGTTAAAGAACAGGCATCCTGATACGGGCGTGCTGTGAGATGTCTTGAGGGTCGTAACGGTCAACGAGGTTGAATATGGTCTAGAACAAACCGTGCTCAGTCAGGCGACGACGGCCGAAAAAAAGATCCAAGGGTCTCGCAAAGATCTAGCGGATCTTATCGAGTCATCGGGAAGTCTAGATCGATTTTGACCCAGGGCTGGGTGGCCAGGGTTCTGGGGACACCAACCCTTGCAGGTACGTCGCTACCTAGGTACGTACCCACGCAGTGATTGGCTGCTAGACGCTAGGCCCTTTTAATGGCCCCACACCAGGAGCCGCACGTCAGACTTATTTGAGAGCTTGCCAAAATTTCAGAGCTGTGACTCTTCCTTCTTCCTTTCCTCTCTTCAAGCCCACCGCCCTCAACGCTACCCTTCTATGCCACAAACAGAGAGATCTGCGCAAGCAGCTTCTCTCGAGCCTTTCGCGTCTTTTCCCTCGGGGGGAGTTCGCTGGCAGCCACGTCGCATGTGAGAAATTCGGAGAAACTCCCGACGGGGCACAGCCCCACCAGCCCGACCGCCTGCGCTCCTCTGGGGGTGCGGGTTGATGACGGCCTGCCGGTGACGGCACGAGGCGAATCTGCCTCCGCAGTTGGCATCAGAAAAGCAGGGCGCTGGCCGCCCCTCCCTCCTGGGGGAGGGCTCCGGTCCAGTGTTCCTCTGGGAGAGTCACTGCCGGGATTGCTTGGACACAAGCTGAAGTGCGATGGGTGGCGTGTCGCCTGCTTCTCACCTCGGTGGGGGGCGGGCCTCATCATTCAATTCCGATCACTCTCTGGGCGGTGGGCTTCACTCTTTTTTCCTCCTAGGTCAGTTGTATACATCGCCTCGTATTGCATTCACTACAAGAAAGGATACTACTAACAACCCCCCCGAGACACATGAACTCACGGTCAGGTGGACGATTTGCCCTTCCAGCCGTTACGGTTATCTGGCATTTCATCTCGATCTCGCCCTACGTCTTGCTACCCGTCGTTTTGGCTGTCACTACCAGAACTGCTCGAACTACTTGGTGGAGGCGGGACATAAACGCCAGCTTCCGCCATTCCCCTAGCAGCCGAGAGCATAATTTCTTCGATCTCCGGCCTTTCTGCTGGATCTTCATTCAGGCAGCGATCAAAGAGGTCCACGAATCGCTGTTTCGACACCCTCAAGTCTTGCACGACTGGCTGTGCTATGAGAGATTCGGCCACATCAAGATACCCGCGCAGTTGCGGTGCTTTGAATTTATCACCGCACACCTCGAGTCCATTACCTTCGAGGGGCATTCCACACCTTCTGTTACGTGGAAGATATCGCTCTAGGTCTCGCCGGAGCTTTCGCGTCTCGAGTGCTGTCAGATTGTCCTGCGTATACCGTCTGTGACCTGACCTCGCGTCACTCATCCCGCCGAGCTTCTCCTGCAATACAACAGCCAGGCTGAATATATTCGACTTGTAGGAGAAGTGCCCTACTATGGGATCGTCTATCCGCTCCCGGAGGGGTGTCTCTGTGTCTATTTGTGCTTCCTGTTCAAAACCAATGTTCAGCAGATTACCCTTATGACATCAACATGCCGATTCGTGACAGCAACCTACCGGCAGTCGTTCCGCGGCTTCTTTCTGCCAGTCCAACTTGAGATGCTCCAGGCGGAACGCGGCCTTCGCTTTGGGGCTGCTGGGCACGATGATACAGAGCCCGAAGTCTCCAATCATGAAACAAGTCTGGTGTGCGCACGTATGCGACGGAGAGTCTTGCCGCACGAAGATGTTTCGCTCGCTCCAGTCAAGATTGACGATTTCGTTCCACCCGTATACTCTATGCGACGGCGCCGGGTCCTCGCTCCCGTAGGCCATCACGGACAAACCTTTACTCAGGCAGAGGATCGACTCCCACATCAAGCGGATGGGCACCTCCCGGTTCGACACCAGATCGAATTCTTCGTCAAATGTGCGGGCGCCCGGGATGTAATCCATAGTGCAGAGCGTCTCGTCCTGCGGCGGATCAGCGAGCTTCCACAACTTCGGAAAATGTGGCGAGCCGGTCATATCCAGCAGCTGGAGGATCCGGTTCTCGATGCGAAACGTATCAGCGGAATCAATTTTGAGCGCCTCGTCAGACCTCGGTCTTTCAAAGTGCATATATCCTGAACTGAGGCTGCCGCCACTCGACCGGCGTCCTGAGCGTGCTGTGCGCGCTTTCGAGCCCGGGGTCGGCGACGACGGGCGTGCCATCTCTTTGTTGAACTTCCTGATTTTTCCTGCCAATTCTGCCCTCCCCATTAATCTCCTGACCGCTCTCTTGGCCTCTCTGCCCCCTGTTGACGGCGGTGTTGGTAAGCCTGTGGCCTGCGCTGGGGTTGAGGGACCTGACGCTGATGACTGCTGAGATCCCTGGCTATCGGAAAACAAATCGGCGAGCACTCCAATGTCACGGATCACAGAAGCCAAGATTTCCACGAGGTCACCATCTATATAATTGAACTTGGCGACGATCTTGTCGTCGTCGCTAATGTCATCACCCGCGGTGAAGCCGCGCGTGTCGTCCACGTACGTTATGACAACACCGTAGCCACCGTTGGCGAGGATCTGCAGGGGCCGCCAGCGCCTGTACCGGTCCCCTAGCGCGTCGGGCTCCGCATCCTCGTCGTACACATAGAGGTACGGCAGCCCGTACTCGCCGTTGAAGTCCCTCGAGGCGTCGCTGTCCTCGCTGCGCCTCCTCAGCGCGTCGGTCAGGTTCCCAGACTCCTCGTCCCAGTCTGGCACGTAGCGGGCGACCTGGTCGTCGCCGAACTTCTGCCTCCACAGGGCCTGCGGCGGGGGCAGGACCTCGCCGTCCTCGCGCTCGACGTGGTAGAAGCACTCGAGGTCGCCGCGGCCGCCGCGGTTGGCCCGTCTGGGCAGGTTGGATACGAGCCTCCCGTTGTAGCGCTTCCATTTTGGCTGGGGCTTCTTTGGCTTCTCGATCTTGAATTTTCCGTTGCGCGTCCCAAAGTTCACTTTCACTATGACCTTTTGTACCCTCGGCCGGGGGTAATATTTGGGGGGCATATTGGGCTAAATATCTCGGGTGGTTGGTTACAGTTTGCTTGAGTCGAGCAAGCAGCGTTGTACAGGACGGTTCTGGCCACAAATCGTAGCTGTACTGGAGGTTGAGGCACTATTTTAATCTTGACCCCATGGAGTGAGGATACCTTTATGAAGGACTCTTCATTGATTTTTCTTTTTGGCCATATCCTGCTTTGTCATTTATCGCTCCGAGGACCTGTGTTGTTTTGCCGCATCTGGCAGTATGCTGGGAAGCAGACAACAGGCACGGAACGGAACATGCTTCAGACAAAGATCAACCCAACAGACAGCATGGCCGCAAGGGCAGACAAAAGCGCATACCCAACTCCTCAACAGTACCGGCCACGAGCTCTCCCACAGGCCGACCACAGGCGTCCGGGCCTAGTACTGCGCGCCACCACCGCCCTGGCCCTCCTGCGCGCCACCCTCAGGCCCAATCTTGCCGCACAGCACCACCATCTCCCGCATGGTCTCGACCATGCTCTCACACGCCGCGCTGCTCCCCAGCGCCTTCCCGCTGACCTGCGCGACCCAGCCGCACTGCGCGAGCAGCTTGTCCGCCACGAGCGCCAGCCTGTAGTGCTCGTCTCCCTCGTCCTCATCTCCGTTCCCAACTGCCTCGCGCGCCACCGCCTCCCGCGCCCGCGCCGTGTACCGCCTGGCGCGCGGGACCAGCGTGTGCAGCAGGTCCTTGTGCACGCCGTCCGCCTCGAAGCGCGCCTCGAGGAGCTCCCGCCACAGCCGGTTGCGCGTCGCGTGGCCCGCGAAGGGGGCCGCCGCGGCCACCTCCCTGTGCGTCCTGAGGCACCCCTCGCAGAAGGCTATCGCCTCGCCCAGGAGGTGCGCGAGGCCCTGCGCGATGTGGGACAGCTTCTCGGGCGGCGTGGTGGTTGTGGTCATGGTGGTTGTCGCGGAGGCGGCTGCGGAGTCGCGCTTGGCTACTGTGCTGGCGGGTGGTGGTGGTGGTGGTGGTGGTGGGCTCTGGTCGGCGGCGTCGTCGGCGGTGGTGATGTCCCTGCCGCCGCTGCCGGGCATGTTGATGTTGGCCGCGGCCGGTGGGAAGTTGAAGGGGAAGCGCGGGTCGCCGCCCACCGGGTAGACCTGCACGGGCAGCGGGGCGGGACCTGGGTAGAAGAAGTTGCGGTAGTCGAAGTTCCCGTTGCGATCCATGGCGGCTCGGACTGCGAGGATACGAGAACTGAGTCGCCGAGACTGGTGGATGGATGCCTGTTAACGGTGATGGTTGAGGGCCTTCCAAGCAAGGATGGTGCGTGGGTGCGTTGTTCCTCGTGGGAAAAGGCTGCTCTTAATATCCCCCATAGGCGGCGTTGGATCTGACAGGTGCTGATGTCATTTTGTTGTGGTTTCCTAGCAACGTGAAGGTTTGCAAGTCCAGCTAGGTGCGAGTGCTTGCTCTGACAGCTAGAATCAATTCATTGCTTGCTAGGGCAAACCACGAGGCAGCCCTCGGCATGTATCGCAGGCTCAGTTGTTGCCTGGGTGGCCCCTTTTGGGAGTCAGCGCATTCTTCTCTGCCACCACACCCAAGACAACAAGGCATCTAAAAAATAACCCAGGTCTGTCTTTCTCCTGATATTGAGTGATGCGTACCGAAGCACAACCGTGAGCAGGGACCTGGGCTACGGGTTGAACTTAATTAGACGCTCATCCCGCTGAGTGGGCCTGCGGCCTTGTGGAGTTGTCACTTATATTCCGTGGTTCCGAAGCAGAGACCAAAGTGAAACTGATCAAGTCAGGATAGCTACTACGACTTATCGACTTCCGTTGCGGTATTTGCTACCCCTACAAAGCGTGTGGCATGACGGTGGCTGTCATTATCAACGTATTCGGAATTAGACGAGCTGACTTCTACCTTTTTCATTCCGAAATCCCTTTCCTGGGCCATTTTGAGCACGCGACCTCCAACAGTGAAGAACCAACCCATCGACCCTGTCCTGACTGTGCACTGATGATTTTGTAATCTGCCCGCTCTAGGACCGGAGACTCGGGGTGAATTCCTTTGCTCCTGCCCGTCCGTTGGAGTCGGGCCAGTCCCATTCTGTCCGAATCAGTCCGGTCCATCACGTACTGTATTCTCTTTCCACTGTAAGGCGCCACGTACATTTTACATGTATGGGGATTAAAAACGAAACCACTCGGAGATTAATAATGCAATCCCGCCTCTTTCGAGTTCCGAAAAGGATCATTGTTTTCCGTGCAAGCTTGTAGGCCAGGGTCGGACGCCTTGAGGCCACTCGGCCAAGTTGCCTTATTCGAGGTCGTTATTGAGGGGTTAATGGAAATCAAGTAGCACGCCCAAAAGCATTGCATATAAAGTTTTCCCAATCCAGCATCCTGTCTGGGCTAAGAAGCAGTACTACCTAATGACTAAGCGTTCAATCATTACAGCTCGTCGTGAAGCCTACATGAGACCGTTCTCAGCGAGTCAGTGGCGAACCCCCCGGGTGAACAAAACTACCCAACGGACGTCATACATCCCAAGGTCTTCTTGTGTTGGATAGGGGGTGTGGATGGCATAATGGTGAATATAAATGCAGTTTTGCACTCTAGTGAAGTCCACATCATCATTATCCTCCTTAGTACCTCGAAACGCGTCCAATAACTACCATCTCAAATTCCATCCTCTCTTTTTAACTCACAATCGTCAAACATGTCTCTTCAGGCTTACATCCAGGCAGCTCTGGCCGAAATCAAGGCGTCAGATGTCACAGCAAAGCCGATGACGTATTTACTGGCCACGTTTCTATTCGTCCTCTTCGTCTACTCCCTTGACAGTAACCCAAAGTCCAAGGCGCCCTTTTTGAACCCGCGACGGGCATTCGAACTCACCGCTGAGCGGCCAAAGGGGATATACGTCCGAGGCTGTCGCTCACTGCTCAAAACCTGGTTCAATACCCATCCCAATGAGCCGGCGCAGCTCATTACGGATTTTGGCAATATGACAGTACTCCCGCCGAGCATGGCGAACGAGGTCCGGAACGACCCCAACCTCAGCTTTAACGACTTCATTGGTGATGCAAGTATTCCTGGCATGTTCTGTTTCATGGTGCCCCATCAGTTCCTTGAGTATTGATAAATATGGTAGCAAAACTGACAGTGACCCGAAAAGTTCCTTCAAGTTCAGTATCCTGGCTTCGAGGCATCAGTCCAAGGCACGAAAGACTTCATAACACTGCCTGTGATTAATAAGGATCTGACAAAACATTTGAGTCAGTGAGAGCATCCTAGCCTTGCAGAGGAGAGCTTGGGATATTCCAAAGTTGTTAACTCGCTTCCACCAACAGGCAAAATCACCAAGCCCCTGGCGGACGAGACAGCACTCGCCGTCCCCGATTTGTTTGGGGATAGCAAAGGTGAGACAGAACGGGCCCGGCATAATTGAAATAATCTCAACAGATTGCAAAACCTGATCGTGGCACAGAGTGGCACTCGCTGCCGTTGAAAGACACGATCCTCACACTGGTCGCCCGGATCTCATCCCGCGTCTTCCTAGGGGAGGAGCTCTGCCGCAACGAGGCGTGGCACAAGATCTCGAGGGAATACACAACGACGGTGTTCCCCGCGGCCGATGTCCTGCGCGCGTACCCCGCCGGCATCATCAGGTCCATCGCCGCCCGGCTCCTGCCCATCTGCAGGGCCGCGTCGGCCCAGGTGGCCGAGGCCCGCTCTGTCCTACGACCTGTCCTGGAGAGACGGGCGGCAGCGAAAAAGGCCGCCGCCGCCGAGGGTAGGAAGGTCGAGTTCAACGATGCAGTCGAGTGGTTTGAGAACGCCGCCGCCAAGGCGGGGGCCGACTATGAGCCGGCGGCGATGCAGCTCTTCCTGTCGATCGTGGCGATTCACACTACCTCGGACCTCCTGACACAGGTCATGGAAGACTTGGCAGGGCACCCTGAGGTGGTCGAGGACCTGCGCACGGAGATCAAGGAGGTGCTTTCTGACGGTGGTTGGAAGAAGACGAGCTTGACGAACATGAAGCTTCTGGACAGCGTCATCAAGGAGAGCCAGCGCCTCAAGCCTACGCAGCTAGGTGAGTCCAGCATCCTGGTGTCCTCAGACTGATGGCCTCAGAAGCACATTTTTAAACGAGCGTAAGGGATGATTTGTACTAACAGACTCGTGCTACAGCCACCATGCAGAGGAAGGCTAGAGCGGATGTCAGACTATCTAACGGCATCGTTGTTCCCAAGGGAGGATATACCGCGGTATCTACCCACCGCCACTGGTATGGCTCTTGGCTCTTGCATTCAATGGCGATTGATGGATACTGACGAAGGATCAAGGGACGACGAGGTATATCCAAACGCAAATGAGTGTGAGTTGTCTCCTATGGACCCATCATAATGAGCAGCCGAAATTCACGATGTCTCGATGCCCGCACTTCAATTTCTCGCTTACTTTCACCATTTCTTCTGTGTTCAGCTGACATCATCCCAACGTAGGGGATGGTTACCGTTTCTACAATATACGGCGCAGCGGCGAGCCCGGCAAGGAAAACACCTCGCTGCTCGTCTCAACGACACCAGAGCACATGGGCTTCGGGCACGGTATCCATGCCTGCCCTGGCAGATTCATGGCGGCCAACGAGATCAAGATCGCCCTGGTCTTCATCCTCCTCAACTACGACTGGAAGCTGCCCGAAGGGGTGAAGCCCAAGACCCACGAGTTCGGAATCGCCCTGAACACCGACGCGGCGGTGGAAATTCTCGCCAGGAAGCGTGAGGATGATTTCGACCTGTCAGGAATTGAGTAACGAGATAAAGAGGGTGTTAATCACTGACCTAGTCTCGCCGTGTGACTCCTTTCGCGGCGTTCTAGTCAACGCCGCCGTCAAAACGGTGTGCCCCTTAGCCTTGTGCCGTCAAGACGGTGCCCCTTAGCCTTGTCTGTGCGTCACAAGGCTGGGGCCACAAGCACCTATCGTATTTTGACTACCTAGGTATTGCTATCGACATCATATGTTTTTGTGCTGGGTCTTGAGCGTTTTCCACTGTATTAAGGCGCCATGTATGTCCTCGGACGTATGTGGAATAGAAGCGAAACCACATAACCCGCTCTCAAGAGATTGGCTGGCTGAAAAGACGCATTACAATTTGCTCTGCATCCAACTGACTACCATATTCACACAGAAATCGCACGTGGACAGACAGTGATAGATAGAAAGGAGAACCATCAGGGTGATAGGAAGTCAGCACAGCATGTTTGATTGACGACTCAAGAAGTGAATAGCTCTCACGTGCTGGTGACGCATTTTCAATTGTCAGGACGATCACGTATATACAACCAAAATGAAGATTGAGATTGACTGACGAGAAAACGGGATAAAGCGAATGGATTTATGGTCGCGCAAAGGTGTAAAACTTTATATACTATAACTATTGGGGACCCCTTTCTCAAGACAACACATTAATGGGAACTAAATAATCCCCAGTCGACACAGGAACAAAAACATATAGACACCAGTCTTCCGCCTAGTTCTTAGGGTCACCGATATTGCCAATCGCCTCGTCGACGTTCTTGATCGCCTCGCGCAGCTCCTTGACCTCGTCATCTGCCTTCTTGCGCGCATCCAGCGCTTCCTTGTGGTTGATAGACAAGATGAACAAGGAGCCTTTGGCTTTACGGAGCTTTACCTTGGTGGCATTAACGCGCGACTCCAGCTCTACCTTCTCTTTCTCGAGCCCATCGAGGTCCCCCTTAACCCTCTTGGTGTTATCCTTGGCGTCCTCGTACTTGTCCAGCTCCGTTGCTAGTTTCGACTCCGCCTTCTGCAGCTCCACCTGGGCTTTCAGGAGGTTTTCGGTGATGTCCTTGCGGCTCGCCTCCAGGTCCTTGAGGATCTTCTCCTTGTCCTCCGGGTCTTGAGCAGCCTGGATGAGAGCGGAGACTTGATTCTCAATGCCTCCAGTGGTAGGCACGAGAAGAGTTCCGGAACTTTCGTCGCGGGCTTTCAAGGGTCCGGACTCGGTGGTCTCGAGGACCCGCCCGCCGCCGACAGGATGGTGAATAAGAAGAGCCTGCCCTGCTGTTGCGCACAGCAGTACAGTGGGTGTGGCCAGCGATAGCTTCATTTTTTAAAGACTTGGGAATGTAGGATAAGGAATTCAGGGTGATGTGGTGAGGTTGATCTGTGGTTGACGAAGCCTTTGACAAGAGGACCAAACGAAGAACACAGGAGTAAAATTTGAAACTCGAATCTTTTGGACATGGGGCTTGCACATCTGTATTTAAATATTTGGCGGCTGGCCCCAATCGCTCGATCGACTTCTCGTCAACCCAATCTGACAGTCCGGCTGAGGCGCCGGTCGCACACATGGCACCATGAGCTGAGCGAGGAGGTTCGAGACACGTTGATAAAGGAACCATCGCTTATTAGAAAACTTAAAGTGGACTGGAGGACGCACCGGCGCGTAAAATGTGATAGTGAATTAGGAAGAAGACGTGCGTCGCCCGCCGGTGAAGGAGTGTGGATTGATAATCTGTTGATGTTGTGGGGGAGAGAAGTCCCCCCAAAAAAGGTTAGAGAAGGCCTCCCTTTAAACACCCGGCTGTCAACCTATCGCACCTTCCTACCCAGCCCACACAAGCCTCGCCTGTATCGTGGAGGGGTAAGCCATCCTAGTGGCGGTCCGCTTCACGATCGCTCCTCTTGATAGAGATTTGGCGAGTTCGTGCTCCTTAGCCGAATCTCCACCCTCAACAAATTTTAGTTTCTATTCTCTACTATGTAGGAGCACACAAAGTCACGCAGTTACTTTGGATGCAAATGGCGGATCTTACTATTCCAATGATGCCATGCGATTGACGTTTTCATGACCACAGAACAGTCCAAAGATGTCAGGAATCGTGGTTCATTGCTCAATAGGCGCATACTAGTGTGTCTTGACCAAACTTTGATTTAATAATAGAAATATAGATCTTCAACAGTATGAGTACATACGAACAAGACCTGTGTGGTTTCGCTTCTATTCCGTATATGTCCGAGGATAAACATGGCGCCTTCATATGGTGGTAAGCACTCTAGACCCAGCGCTTGGAAAGAATACGATGTCGATAACAGTAGTTATAATACGACAGGTGCTTGTGACCTCAGCCTTGCGACGCACAGACAAGGCTAAGGGCACCGTCTTGACGACGGTCTTGATCGTGGACAGAAGTAGCCCACAACACCTATCGACATACTAGACAATAGGGTTACCTGGGTGCACAGTGGTTGCCCAACGATCATCAACCTACAAGACACATGAACACAGACCTCGGGAAGCTGACATTGGCGATCTCTTCCCAACGCCACCAAGCCTTGGAACCCCACAATCGAGGACGGTGTGGGCTGTGGGCTGGAAGGTGCGATAGACTGACAGCAGGGTGTTAAGTAGGAGGCCTTCTCTAGCTACTTTTGGGGGGGCTTCTCTCCCCCACCACACACACACGAGTTATCAATCCACACTCCTTTGCCGGCGGCCGACGCACACCACTTTTGCTACTTTCAAAGGCTTGCCCAATGGCGATGACAACAAAGACTAAATGCTCAAAGTCTCACGCCGTGGGAACGCCAGGGCTGACCATATTCACTGGCAGGATATTTCGCGTGTAGCCCCAAGCTCGATTACCTAGGTAGGATGACCCCTCTGGCACCTGGGGGCATTCTGAAGTTTCGCGCCACCAACAACCTCACAGCCAACGTGAACGGGCACGCCATCGACGCACACGCTGGCGCGGTCGCCATGATCGAGGGGAAAGTCGTTCAGTTTATGTAAAACTTAGCCATGACTTATAACGCTAGTTCAAGCATGCTCCAAATCATCGCTGCCCCCCCTCCCCCGCCGCCAGTAACGCTACGTATTATTTGTCCCCCGTGTGAAGGCGCCATGTATGTCCTCGGACGTACACGGAATAGAAGCGAAACCAGTTATTTGTCCGCTTGGGCCGCTCGGGCGTTGAGAACACAGACGCTGTTGTCAAACGGTTGCTTGGTTATTACTATACCTGGCGAGGGTAGATCTGGGTGGCTATGTGACGAGTATATTGATAGGAAAGAGCCAGCTTGCTAGGTCTCACATTATGGGATTCTTCTTCTTATAGGGGCCATTTTAAGAGACTATTTTAGTCTCGCTATATAACTGCTTTACTGGCTATTAGCCCTTAGGCTACTTATATCAACGATTCTAGTACGGCGCCGTTGGGAGCGATGCCTTCCAGCCTTGTCTGTACGGTACGAGGCTCAACCACGTACCCACAGACGTACTATATTCTCTTTTTACTGTTATTGGCACTATATTTCTTTAGACGCTAGGTCTTAAGCGTTTACCACTATATAAAGGCGCCACGTACATTTTACATATATGGGGATTAAAAACGAAACCACTTGGTTATTACTATGAGCTTGACGAGGAATTTCAAGGCGGAAGTCAGCCTGTCCTCCACAGGTCGATGGACGGAAGGTCAGTCGGATATGGAAACGAGGATTGGACTGCTGCGTATCTGTGCAGCGGCCCCCATGCACACCCCCCACCCCCAAGAGAAATCTTGGCATGTGCACACACCAAGTGCTTTGCCCTACTCTTGCTCCTTGAACAAACCACAACCGCCTTTATAAACTACTCAGCATTTAGTTGTAGTACATACCAAGCCTATGATTGGATGAAATCATTATCAATCACGGTCTTGGCAATGTAAATGGAAGCACGAGATTGCTGGACCTCATTCAGCCCACTTCAAAGCTGAACCATAGGGCTCTCTAATCAGTCAAGGCGGTGATAAATGATTGGCCAGATTCTGACGATTTTCGGTGAGCTGGGCTGAGGTTTGAGCTGCGAAAATCTTGAATGGGTGTGCTGTGCTGTGCTATGGGGCGGTCCTAACGCACGTGGTGGAGATTAACTGGCACGGAAGGAAGCTGACTGCATCGGCAGGACTCTCTTCTGGGAATGGTCCCCGTTTTGTCTACAAAAATAGACCAGCGGGACTTTTGAAAATCCACACTACTGGTACTAACAGTCAGCTTGGTGTGGATGCAACAAGGCTGTATGCCTTCAAGGCAACAGTTCAATGTTGCACATGATGAAAACAATTTACCAGAGTATGAAAACCCATGCCGTCGTCACCATGGGTGGCCACTCGGGCACAATCCCATTCTTCAGCGATATTCTCTGGAATTACTTTGACTTGTGCATCCTTTGAACTTTCTCTTGTTTTTTTCTACCTAGGTACCTTTGGAGCAGATCATGGCGAGCATTAGTGTGACCAGAAGAGGGCATGACCCGCAGCATAACAACAGCCAGATCTCTTTGCAGTCTGTTGGCCACGAAGAGTTTGACCCCTACGAGATGCGACAGGATGGAGACGAAGAATTCTGTCAACCAACACGAGCAGCCCAGCCTGGGACAAAAGCCGGAGTTTACGAAGCCACATACGCCACCAAGCCCGGCCACGGAAGAACTCCGAGTCGGACGCTATGGACAAGCAGAACCACACATGAGAAAGTCCAGCGCAACCTCGAGAAACGATTCCAGAACAGATGGAGCTTTTACCACATGCGCAGGGTCCTCTGGCCCAGGCACGAGGTCGACGCCGACCCAGAGACCATCATCCGCAGACAGGCGACCGAATTCGAAGAGGCACATTCCTGGGAGGACCCCAAGGGCGAGGTGGTCAAGACGGACGACGGCAAATACGAGTACCGGAACGGGTTCCACCAGGTCCGGGGCAAGTTCAGGGACACGGCCGTCTACCTCTCGCCGACGCGTGCCCTGCCGCGGCGCCTGGTTGTACAAGCGACGGGGCTGGTGTTGGCGCGTGCCGGGGCCGGTGACGACACGGGCGACTGGATACGCACCAACGTCAAGGGAAGCGTCCCGACCGTGCTAAAGGTCTCGGAGTGGGCCCTCAGGCCTCTCGATTCTGGGAGGTGGTGGGACAAGATCCACGCTGCCCTGCGCATGGTCGTCGTCTCTGTCCCGTTACAGCTGATGCTCGCCCTGCCTTTCTCGGATTGGGAATCAGATAGCGAGATGGCATCCACCTACACCGAGTTCCAAGGGTTTCACTGTGAGTATTGATGGTTCTTGGCTACCCGAAAAGCCTAGTCTGTCTCGAGTGATGGGAGAAACAACATGCTAATGCATATCTAGGGGACTGGCCGAAATACTCCATCAACGTTCTCGATGAGGCTCCCGGGCCAGATGGAAATCCCAGACGTCAAGGTGAACACGAGGTAGACGTGCGGAGGAGGTCCATGCGGCCTCACAGGATCGTTGTCAAGAAGGGGGATGAGTGGGTCCTTGTCGACGCGAAACAGTACCCCTCTATCCGATATGTATTCATCAGCTACCAGTGGAAGCAGTTCCAGACTGGCCCGAACGGCGAGGCAGACCAGGAAAAGATTCTACGGATGGCCAGACAGATCGCGACGGACAAGGGCTACAAGGCATACTGGTTGGACATCCAGTGTATCACCCCGGAAAATGGACTTGACAAGGACCACGACGTCTACACCATGTGCGACATCGTGCGAGGCTCCGCCTTGGTAACCATTCTGCTCAACGAAAACACGGAACAGGCGCGGGTCAACTGGGGCTCTCGCCTGTGGACTCTGCCCGAAGGGATGTTGGCGCCTGGGGATAGTGTCGTCTGGTGCCACGAGACTTCCCCAGGGACTCTTCACCACGAGGAGGTCCACAAGATCGAGATGACTTCCACATTCTGGGGAGAGCCCGACGAGCATCTGTACGAGGGCGGCTCGCCGATCCGCAACCTCGCAGAGCACTACTCGGGCCTCCTGACCCTGAGCCGGCTGGAGCTCCTGCCGTCCATCATCAACGCGCTGGCGGCAAAGGGCTGGACGAACAAGCAGGAGGGCCACTCAGACCTGGCCTACGCGGTGATGGGTTTCCTCCACTACCGCCTCGAGCGCAACCCGGAGGACACGCTCTTCCAGAACCTGGCCCGGCTCTCGCTGGGCAACGACTCGGACCAGATCATCGAGCGGATGATCTCGATCCTGCCCCAGGAGCTCCAGGCCCACACCTACCTCCCCGACCGGCTCCTCGACGACAGCGACCTCTTCCGGGCACTCGCCTTCCCGGACCAGTTCGGGACGCGCCTCCACGGGGTCACGCCTCTCTGCGACGTGGTTGGCGTCGCACACGCGGACAAGACAGTCGTCATTGACAACTGCAAGGCCATTCACATCCGATGGAAGCGGTTCCCCAGGCCCGTGGTGGAGCGGCGCAAGGGCATGAAGAAGATCATCGCCGCCTTCTTCGTCGCTGCCGGGCTGTGGTGGCTGCTGCTGGGCCTCCAGCTCGCCATCCAGTGGCTCCCCTTCTGGGCGAGCTGGGCCGGCGAGGGCGTCAAAAGGGAATACCTCGCCTGGCTCTGCAGCGGCTTCCTCCTGATCGCGGTCCTGCTGTCGACGGCGGCGCCCATCTCCGTCAGGCGGCTGTTCGGCGGCACGGTGGAGAAGAGCAGCCCGAACCTGGTCGCCTTCGAGGGCGTCATGCCCATCGGCGAGCTGGAGAAGGTCGTCTTCGGCAACGACAACGGCCGCCTGACCTACGCCCCGTCGTCGACGCCGCTCTGCGCGCTCCCCTTTGCCCGCCACCCCCGCGAGAGGAGGGGCCAGGAGCCGCACTGGATATCGCACCCCGAGACGGCCCAGGACTACCTCCACGGCGCGGTCCCCGAGGGCCACCGCCTCTTCACGCTCGTCGACATGGGCGACCTGAGCGTCTCCGTCTTCTCCGCCGAGCGGCCGCCCACCGTGGCGCTCCTCTGCGGCCGCGAGGGCGGCATGGTGCGCGCCGTGCTTTGCAGCTGGAGGTTCGAGAACGACTGCCTCTACAAGGAGACGGTGATACGAGTTCCGTCCACCGTGCATGAGGCGGCCACGCCAAAGGGGTGGTTGAAGCTGTGCCTGCAGACGCAGAATCAGGCTAGGTGGAAGAGAGAGACGAGCGTGAAACAGCCACAGGTCAAGCAGGAGGCTTGATCCAGAAAAAGAACATAGAGGAACTACAAGCTTAATCTATAGTAAAATACTATTAATTTAAATAAATGATATTGAAATATGGTAACCTAGATATTTGCGGGGATGGACTGCCTGGGGCCTCATGGAATAGGCTCGGAGCAAACTCCGAGCACTCAGACCCGCGAATTCCTCCGAATTCGCGTTTGCTTCGGCGCTTGGTCACGTCAACCGTGGTGCTACTTAAGTAGTAGTCCACGTCATAAACAGCTCCTAGTCCGCAGTAACCTAGAGTTTGATTCACTATCCTACAGGCTTTAACTCGAATACTCGGGGAAAACACCCAAGTACTGATCCATGCTGCTAAGTCCCCCACCTAGAGCAATTTCGTTTCCGATTCGCTCATGATCTCCACTCTTGAAGCTGGATGTAGGGTCGGGGTGGATGCTCTAGCGGCTGATGGGAGTCGAGTATACGGGTGGTGTCCTCTGTTTCAGATGGTGTTTTATCGTTGCGACCGGCTGGGAGGTTCTGGTATGATTTTGCCTTGAAGCTCCCATATTGCTCGGTGTGCTGAGTTGAGCCTGACCTAAGGGACGTCCAGAAACGTGAAACTTGCGGTGCAGTAACACTGAAGGCATGCCGCAGTGCTGGCATGGAAGCACCGATGAGGGCCACAGTTGGCTCAACTTGTGAAGGAATCCAAAATGTCACACCATATGTGTCAAATTGCGGCGGAATCAATCTGCTCATCTCGTAATCCATCCCTATCCGATTATTCATGTCATCAATGAACGATCCAGGCAACACAAGTAAGTATCATATGGAATTTGACGTACAGTGAGGATCGATGTGAGTGAATCGGTACATCTCGATAACATATATTGCCAGCTTCCAGGCGGCTACTACGCTGGCGCTGAACAACCTGTTAGGGCGCAATCACTGCGAGGGAACTTGGTAGGGACTTACGCAGCGCCCATCATGAAAACCACAGCGATTGATAGTCGTCGACGAAGTGGCATTTGCACTATAGGCAGCGATGTCAGCAATGATAGATAGACAACCAACGGGGACAATCCGGAATGAACAAACGTTTCCAAAGAGGCCATGTCGGGAGAAACAGGAGAATGGCATCAAATGCCATGCTTGTAGCATATAGGGCTATCTGAGTGTAGGAGTAGTAGTAGTCGTCCATGTATTGGCCGCGCTCCAATGGATTCCAGAGTTTGTAAAGGGGACGCCCAACGAAAGCCGGAATAATTGAGTAGACAATCAGGTATACAACCTGTAAGACGAGGAGAACGTTGACCACTGTTAGGAATCTAGATCCCGGAGTCGCGAAAAGTCGGCGATAGAAGAGCAGTATAGAGACGCGTATCCAAAAGCTCATCGCAGGATACAGCCACATAGACCCAATGATACCCTGTCACGTTTTAGCTGCTGTACGCGGCGCCCTTCGCTGGCATGAAAAGAAGCGTATTTCGTACTTGGAACCAAATTGAGTATTCCCCAAGCGTGATTTCCCATAGTGACTTTCCCACGCCGGCATGAAGGTTCACGTAGATGGCCATGATTGACCAGCCCCAGTAGAAAAGCTGCCAAGGCGCATTATAGTCAGTTTTCCGCCCAAATAATCTCTCAACAGCAATCTGGACACTCACGGTTGCAGGAATGAATGCATAGTCGTCGAGGCCTAGTGTCTTACTCTTCCAACGGAACAGCAAACGAGCGAGGACGACCACCGTGGTGACTCCACACATGATACCGCAGCCGATGGCAATCGAGTACACTTTGTGAGTGTCGTCCACCGCGGTGGGCGGCGGAATCAATGTGGGTGCTATGCCAGACATGGCAATGGCTGGCTTCAGAAGGCGTGATTGAAGAAGGAAGTTTGGCAAATTGGCCTTTGGACAACGGTGACAGCACGATGAAAATGAAGAATTTTGAACAGCCAAAGACAGATGATGAGCATGGATTTGCTGACATGTTCTCCTCAAATTATTACTGCAACTTGATGGCAACAGATCATTGTGTGAAGGTCTGTCTCTACGCGCCGACCATGTTGCATCAGTGAATCGCCCTTAGAGCCAACGGTGCCTCTCGATCTCAGCACTTTGCCATTCGTGGGGCAGGATCCTGCAAATTTCCCGCATGTCATACGATTCCACAATGCACTGCTACTGTTGGCGGGAGATGTGTCCCGATGTCGCCTGCAGGCTCTGATTTTCCAAGCGGTCATGTTGGGGGCGGCAACCTGCAGTTGTGCCCGTGGGATTCTGGAACCAACAGACTGTCTAGGTAGCATTGCCGCTCAGCCAGTCCACTTGTGCACAGCCAACCAACATGTACATCTGTGCAATAGTGTACAGACTTGGCACCAACTGGTCCTGAGAACCTTGTGACCTTCCGCTTATCAATCATCGATCCGTCATTTTCGCGTTGCTACCTCAGCTTCTGTTTTCATGCATTCCTGGCATGCTTGGCGTCACATCTGGCCCAATTCTGTCCGGGATCCTCCCAGCCCCCAACCCTTTCCAAAGGCAGTTCCATCCTCGCTCTCCTCGGGCGACTATGTACACGCATACGAATCGATTCCTGTGTGGAGTCACGGGTGGTCAGCCGATTCCTTGGTTGTGGAATCGCAGTCAGACAGGAAGTGCATGTCAGTATGCACTTTGATGAGGAGCAAGGACTGAGGTGACCCGAACTCCACCAGATATCAAAAGACCGCGTTCCTCTTTTCTAGAGAGAGGCTCTGCGGCCTTCCCAATCATCTCCCCGTTTTGAACCCCCCACGCAGATGATTGTAACTAATAACACTCTTCCACGTTCCCTGAGTCGGTCAGTCAACCCTGTGAGGACAAAGGCGTACCAAATTCGCCAGGCTCGCCGCCGACCAACGCCCTCAATCTGAAGCCAAGCAGTTCGTAGGATGATATTGCAGGTCGGTGAGTTTGGGCTGCAGCATTAGCGTCGGTCTTCACCAAGTAAACAATATATAAATGCATATGCCATGTAACACTGGGTCTCCAATAAATCTGAAGATCACGCAAAGCCTCGGCACATAGTGGGCCTCGCAAGGTACCTAGGTACGTATCTACGGTTCCTTTGTTGCCGCTGATTGTAGAGGTACATTGCACAGGGCATTCACTGCATGTCACCAAGTGTTGCAGCCTCATCCAGACAACCATGGCCCTCAAGCTCTCCAACGTGATCATATTACTCACCTGTGTTCCGTGGTTGACGACTACCTCGGCTGAGCTTTCTTCTCAACCAGGCTCAAGGAACCCGGACAGATTCATCATGTCCGAATCACTGGAACCATTTGTCGAGTCCCTCGATCTGCCCTCTATTGAAGCTGAGCACTTGAAATCAACCCTGGCAAGAAGCACGAATGCCAGCCCAGCACATCGAGCCTGCGCAGCCGCCCAACTGCTTCTGGGATCTGATATTGTGAACACACCGCCCGTGGAACAATCCACCGTCGATGGCAGCTGGTTCGTTCATTTTCTATGCACACGATCTCCAATACTATACTAAAAAACGCGCAGGTCTGAAGCATGCAGGCTGTTGCCTGCCTGTGCCATTCAACCCAGAAGCGCCCAACACGTCGCCACTGCGCTGAAGATCATCAGACAGTTCAACGTGCCGTTCGCCGTGCGCAGCGGGGGCCACTCGCCCAACCCTGGATTTTCCAGCATCCAGGATGGTATCCTAATAGACCTCTCCCGTCTCGATGGGATCACTGTCAGCGACGATAGAGCAACCGTGAGCGTCGGACCAGGCCAGCGATGGGGCGATGTTTACACCGCCTTGGATCCATACCAAGTCAGCGTAATTGGTGGCCGCATGCCTAACATCGGGGTTGGGGGCGTGATTCTTGGAGGTGAGTCCGACACGATGCACATTCCCGCGTCGGGACATTGCTGAAAGATAGGATTTGTACCATAGGGGGCTATCATCACTTCTCTGCGAAGTACGGCCTTGCAGCAGATAACGTCAAGAGTTTCGAGGTATGCTCCTATCACTTCAGTCAACGGCGGCCTCCATACTCATTCAACTGACACGCCTCGAGATCGTTCTTGCCGATGGTACTATTGCAACAGCAGATGCAACGAAAAACAGTGACCTTTTCTGGGCTCTCAAGGGTGCCGGCCCGAACTTCGGCATTGTGACAAACTTCGAGCTTTATACCGTGCCCCTGAACAAGATATGGTATGAGGTTCTGGTTGTCAGCAATGAAGATGCACATGCTGTACTGGATGCATTCGTGACTTGGCAGAATACCAGCGCGTCCTCGGATACCAAAGGTACCGTCGGACTGGTCATGGCATTGCAGTATATCACGCTCGGGTTTGTGTATTCAGAGCCCTCAGAAAAAAGGCCGGCGACCTTTTCTGCCTTCGATGCCATAAAACCACTTTCTGTTGCCGTTCCACCAACGAATGGCACAGTATCCAGCCTAGGGGCTATCCTCGGCGCTATGAATGCACCAGGGCGGTAAGTCCACGATGCTGCGACCATCGATGTTTGTCTCTGGGCTGTCGCTAAGAAACTTCGTAGTCATGACTATAGAGCTGCCTCCACGAGGATTGACGCACAGCTGTACAAGGATGTCTACGACTTCTGGCTCGTGAAAGCTAGAGAAGTCAACAAAGCCACTGGGGCCAACCAGACTTTTGCTGTTCAGCCTGCGCCAATCGGGCTGGCCGAGGCTGGAAACGCGAGGGGTGGGAACGCCATGGGTATTCCGACACAAGATCACATGTGTAAGTGATCATTCATGACCTTGTCCACGCTACGCCAGTACTAATAGCTCATACGATAGGGTGGACAACCCTCGTTGACTGGGAGAATGCCGCTGATGATGAGACTGTCCGGAGTGCATCAATATCCACCACGGAAAAGTGGAGAGAACTGGGCGAGGAACGGGGGCTGCATCTCGACTTCCTTTACACCAACGACGCGTCGAGGGACCAGAGCCCAATTGCGACGTACGGTGCAGCTAATGTGGCCAAGCTGAAGGCAATCGCCCTCAAGTACGACCCCGATCAAGTCTTCCAGAATCTCCAGAATGATGGCTTCCTTCTTCGAAAAATCTGATAGTGCTGCTAGTTGTCAATAGTTATGAGTTGCGGTGATGAGACGCTTCGCTCAGAGGGCGACTGCAATTGGCCAGGATCTGAGTTACGTACTTGGGTTTTGCTTGCTTGCTGTCAAGTTCAGCAGATTGTTGGGGTCTCTCCTTGGACATGGTCAATTTGCAGTTCGGTAGCAAAGAAATGAAGTTCTCGTACATTCCCCCGGACGCCTGGAGTCGTGCATTTGCTTCTGTATTGACTGGCCAAATTGGGCACATATCGATTGCGATCCTCGTCAGATGCAAAACAACAGTCGATTCTCCATTCCTATAGACGTGGCCACCGCCAAGCCCGGCGATGAGCCATGCCTTTGACAAAGATTTAGATGTATGTTGAAGCTCTGCAACTATCATGTCTTCATTTACCGGAATTGATCAACCGGGAGACAATTCCACCCTGAATAGATCCCACAAGATTCGTAAAATTAGAAAAAGACAGTCTTGTTTTGGTAATTAAATACGACAGCAACACACACTCGCAGGTGAGGGAAGAAATGAAAATCAAAAACAGTAGAGAATTAGGTAACAGAGACACATGCCCCATCAATTTCGAGATCAAACTAAAATTTGAAAATCCGCATCTACCCTGAAGCAGTCCTCATGCAAGGGGAATGTCCTCAGATGTAAGTCCCACCCACTCGGCGCTCTTTCGCCATATTGCTTCCTGTTTTTCCTCATTCAGGCTGTCCAGGGAGCTTTCCGACTTCTCTAGAAGCACGAAATGGCCACGTTCGTTAGGATGAGCCTCGTTAATAGCCAGGCGGGCAACATCAGTACCGGCAACCGATGATGTGCGAATAGATGAATCCACAAGACGAAGTACCGGACGGAGGGGTTGTATGACGAGTTTGGATAAGAGTTGCACCGCGAAAGGCGTATTGACTCGCAGCGCCCTTGAGTCGCTTAGGCTGCCAGGATGGATGGCGACAGCAGTGATGTGTTTGAAATTTGGATCCTGCAAAACAGAAAAGTCAACAGCAAGTCCAAAAGAAAATCCATGGCGTGAGGTTTGTCTTGCCTTTTCGAGATGCCGGTTTAGGGCATGTGTCCACATGACAGCCGCGAGTTTTGCATTTGCGTATCTCTGAAAGCCGTACCCCAAATTATCATTTTTCGGGTCTGGTGTAGGATGTACAAGCAAGTCCAATTGGGCAGGAATAGCAGGTGGGATCTTTTCCAGCCCGTTCTTGCCAGGGAAGATAGCATCGGTAGAGAGTTGTACGATTCTGCCTGCCTGTTGCGGATGAAAGCTGCTAAGCAGGCGGAGTATCAAGGCGACGTGCGCCAAGTAGCCAATCTGGATCGTCTTCTCGAAGCCATCACCAGTCGTTTCCAAGGGGCGAGACAGGTTCCAATAGAAGGCATTGCAGACTATGCTCACAAGATGCGGGAGGTCGCCATCAGCGATTTCCTTCGAGACGTCCTGGCCGAACTTGCGCACTGAGGCGAGATGGGCGTGATCCAGTTGTCGGATTGAGACTTTAGTTCGCTGGGGACCTTGAGCGACCACATCGCGCAGCGCACGAGTGTTCTGGTCCCCATCAGAGGGATCGCGAACAGTCAGCAACAAGGTGTAATCCGGCGCGTTTTTCAACAGATGGCGGACAGCATTAATTGCCAATGAGCCATTGGCACCAGTGATCAGTATCGTCCCAGCCATGTTTAGCGGGGTCTTGGTGTCTTGGGCGTGTAGACTTGCTGTTCTAGGTGTCAACGGGTCATGCGAATGGCCTTTTGGAATGAGCAGTCGTCGAGGTGGACGACGCGTGGTGAATTTTGGGGGAACGAGTAATCCCGATCCTCGGCCAGCAACCTTGTCTCTCTGCCTCTGCAGGGCAACTCGGCCAGGGCTTTTGGCATCCGGGGTTTCACCCGAGCAAGCAGGCTGCGAGCTGCGATGCGACAACACTATCAGACACCCTAGCCTACTACCTTGAACTGTTCAGGCCGCTCCGCTTGGCGCTTATGGAGGTACTGATACAATTGATGTGAAATGTGACTCAAGATGCATGTATCAGAACAAGCCAACGGCGCAGTGTCGGCGACTGAGCCTAATGGGAAAGGGACACTCTCAGAGTCGTACGATAATGTTGTATTGGGGGGAGGGTCGGCAAACTCGGCGGCAAAGCAAACCCCTCTTCTGCTACGTAATATACGATTACATGCATGCGGCACAGCAGAATGGGGATCACAGCCCCGCCAATCTGCCCCAGCCGATCTCGTCGATGTGCAACACAATTTGGGGGCGGGTTCAGGTGGAGCTAATTGGTTACCGGCATACTGGAACGGCCCGCGTTCCACTCACCGATCCTACGTCAAAGTGGGCCTAAGAGTGGCTGAGCGCAGTGTTGGTTGCTCTGTCTTTCTCGGCCTCGGACCTGCATAGCGAGTGCGATAGGTACAGACAGGATTATCCATGTAATTCACGAGGGGGACACAGCGGAAGGCGAAGCTCCCAAGTCTTGCTGAACATTGTGGAATATTGAATAATCCCGAGTCTAGCTAAAAGAGGAAGGAAACAGGAAACGAAGCCTCTAATAAAGTTTAATCTATAACCCTAAAAGGCCACTAGTAGTCTATATATAAGTAGCACCTCCTAGTTACTAATACTTACTAATTATTTTAATTTACTATAATTATAATATATATAAACTTAATTTTTAAATAAGTTTAAATAAATAATTAAAATATTATTATTATAAGTAATATTTAATTTAACTTTAATATTAATATTATTAAAATAAATTAAACTTAATTATTATATATATTATTATAAAAGAATAATATTTATATTTATTAAAAATAATTTATATTCTATTAATATTTATAAATATATATATTATTATTTATTATTATAAAATATAATAGATTAATAATTAATAAATTAAAAATATTATATTAAAATAAAAATAAATTTTATATATAATTATAGTTCTTTATTTAAAGTATTTATATATAATATAAATATATTTTCACTTATATTATATTATTAAGTTAAAATAATAATAGGTATTTTAATATATCGGCCGTTATATATAGAACTAAACCTTTTACAAACTCGCTCCTAGGTAGTCGTCCTTCTGACATCACCCGGCTTTGTCATGCCGGAAGGTCTCTGTATTGACTATGTACCTAGACCGCTATGACAGCTAACTATAGTGATGCCGATCCTGCGCAGGGCTGTGAAGTTTGAAAAATCGTTTGTGGCGGGGCTGCTTGGCATGCAAACCCCCGATCGCGTTCTGCTCTCGTTGTGCGTCCCAACTGTGCATGGCTGTTCTCGTGCACGAGTGCGAAGACAGAGTTTTCTTGTCCGAGCCACATTATCTCCATGGCCAACACAGCGTAACATGCATGACGACCGGAGAGGACCGGCTTATGGGCAAGGACAAGCATGCATCGAAATGGAACATGGAGACCCCGTGAGAGCCTTGTGACAGCCAAGCTTGTCAGGCACAAGTCGCGCTGCCGCGGAATCCATATCTCGGCCGCCACTGAAAGATTGGACTTGGTCGAGGATCTCAATCTCACTCCTTGCACTTGCATGCTGCGTCGTGGCCAAGCTTCTAGTGGCCGGGCCTACTGCCGTACGAGCTCTAGTAGACGCAGTGTGACAGGGCCGATGTAATAAAAATAATGAAGAAAACCGTAATCATTCTCCACAAAGGTGGGTTGGCGCTTGCAGAATGGAACGAGGCTATCGTATTGAAGAACCAACTGCATAAAACCAGCCTCTGAGATGACCAGTGAATCGGTCTTGGAAAGGGACCGGAGTCCCGCGATGTCACCATAGCATTCACGAGAGAGGGGGGTTCCGTTATACGCCGCAAGGACGCAGCGAAATACTACCCTGGAAGTCGATACCCGTGCCACTCACAGGAGTTTGCACTGTACATGGTCTCATTCCATGGCTTTCAGATCTTGTTGGGCTCCCACGCGGGAGGGCTCCAGGGGACAATCTTGTGGGCAACGGTGGGGCAACATAGGCCACCAGCTCGATCACAAAGGTGCAGAGGAGCAATCTAGATACCGAGAGGTCGCCTGATATTCATTGATCCATGGCCTGAATTTCAAGGGTCGCCAGTTGTGCTTGTCAATCCACCAACAGGCATTGCGAGGCCGAAATGAGTCGATTAGTGTTAGCGCATGCAATTCCCACGCATTCGTGTACGTGGCACCGCCTTGTCGACACCCACTCAGCTCCATTTCCGCGGTAGAAGGATGAGGACGGGGTTTTGAGGAATTCAGCGCAGCGAAGTAAACATAAAATGAAAGCGTAACCTAGGGTATGGGAGAAACCGAAGGGGTATTTTCTTCGGCCAAAACTCCTGATCCAAACAATTTGTCCCGGGCCAGAATGGCGACAATGAATCAATCACTGAAGTCTGTTCTCTCTTTCCTGGCCCTGACCAATTGGTTGTCCACATCTTCTGCTTCTATCGTAAAGGGTGCAAAGAATTCTGCTCAACATGCATGCGATTACTTCAACGAAGCACTGCAGAGCATCACCACACTCCCTTCAGAGAGTAACTACGCGAATCTGAGTACCGAAAACTGGTCAGAACTGCTCGTCCCCTTCGTCTCAGGATTCCAGGCTAACGAACATAGGTCTGCAACGGCGTGGGCCCAGCCGGCTTGTATAGTACAACCTGCTTCGGTGCCTGATGTTCAACACGTTGTCAGGACTTTGACACAATTACAAGTTCAGTTTGCTGTGCGGTCAGGGGGCCATAATCCTTCACCTTTGGCGGCCAACATCAACGGCGGGGTACTCATCGACACGTCTGCCCTCAACGAAGTCACGTACGACTCCTCGTCAGGCACTGTACGAGTTGGATCGGGAAATACTTGGGGTGATGTCTATTCCGCTCTTGATCCTCTCAACGTCACCGTTGCTGGTGGAAGATCTGTGGGCGTAGGTGTTACGGGCCTCACTCTCGGTGGTACGCCTACCCGGTCTCCATTGCCCAGCGACTTGTTGTTTCTCTTCCACAAAAATGCTGAACTCGAATAATTTAGGTGGTCTATCATACTTTTCAGACCTGTACGGCCTTGTTTGTGACAATGTGGCTGAGCATGAAGTATGTACCTCTGCCATTCCGGTCATGAATTAGAAGCTAACGTTTTGGAGGTTGTACTTGCAAACGGATCTCTCGTGAAGGCCAGTTTGCATGAAAACCCCGAGTTACATTGGGCACTCAAAGGGGGTGGTAACAACTTTGGTAAGTTTGGTCTGCAAGTAATCACAGCAACCTAATCACATTCACTGAAATAAGTACAAAATTACTCACTTTTGGCTATCTTTAAAGGGATTGTAACCTCATTCAAGTTCTACACCTTTGCCAGCAACCCGGTATGGGGTGGTATTAAGGTCTACGGCCTTGAACAGCTCCCAACCATTTACGCAGCACTGGCAGAATATCAAACCTCTCCTAACAAAGACCCTTATGCAAACTTGGATCTTCAGGCTGCAGTCACGAACTCTTCTATTGGGGTCCTGCTAAACCTGATCTACCTAAAGCCAGTGGAATCTCCCCCAGCGTTCAAAGTCTTTTATGAAATCCCGACTCTTCAGGACACAACTAAGATCCAGACCATGACTGAATTTCTGACCGGTGGTGTGTTACCATATGTTCCTAGGTGAGTAATTCTACGTGAGTAATTTTAGATACAACAACCAGGGTCCTTGTTCAAGACATCGTTACCTGTGTTGTGATCAATTCGTTCTCCAAGTTGTCCCAAGAAAGTACTTACACTAACTTATCCTTTTCCGCCAAGATGGGAATTTCTCACGACAACCTTCACGCCCAGCACATGGCTGTATGCACACCTCAGCGAGATGTTCACGTCATCATCAGAGGTATCCGATTTTGGAGGTATAACAGGTGGTACGCTCGTAGTGAGTATGCAGCCCATCTCGGAGAGCCTGGTGCTTGCTGGCGAGGAACGAGGAGGGAACGCATTGGGACTCCAGCCTACAAACCAGACTTGGGGGATGTTCACCAGCGGCTGGTATTCTAGCGAAGACGATCCCGACGCTCACAGCCTTGGATCGTCTCTAAACAACCAGACGAAAAAGGCGGCTGTCAATGCTGGACAACATTTGCCCTACGTGTTCATGAACGACGCCAGCCACGACCAAGCCGTGATCGCAAGTTACGGCACCGAAAACGTGAAAAGGATGAGGGATGTGCAGCTCAAATATGACCCGGGCCAAGTGTTCCAGACATTAGTTCCGGGGGGTTTCAAGCTACCATGAAGACTTGTCTGTGTAAAGGGTAAGGGGTTGTTTGCGGGTTCATTTTCTCTTCGCAAGATAACACCTAGTTATTGAAGGACAGATGCAAACGACAGCTGTGGTGGAGGAGAGGGGTTGCAGTTACGAGTCTGAATCAATGCCACTCAAATCTTCCCGGAACATGACTTTGAAAATGTCTACATGGACAGACACCACTTCCGACTGCAATGATCACACAGGCTATTAGGTGATGTTAGGAAAGGGTACCTTGTGACTCAATCAGGAGGGCGCATTGATGTCTATGACAGGTCAGGCATACTTGATCGACTTCTCTGGGGCCGTCAAAAAGCCACGATCGAAAGTCCACACTAGATCGAGTAGGGTCAGCTTTGCCTACAGTTTCCTTGAGCGATCAGAGAACGCAGTCAGTTGATTGGATTCATACGACTCAGTGCGCTCTCTCAAGTCGCATGCTATGAAGGCGACATGTCAAATACCTAGGTAGGTCTCTTGCAACGCGAGCCTAAACTCCTCAATAAGATCAATGTGCGATTGAGCTGCAATTCATCCATGTTCCTGTTTAATCGAAACATCCGAATACTGACAAAACTTCTGGACACCAAAGCAGACGGCACACAGTCCCCAAGATCCTTCCTGGTGGCCTGCAGTGCTTCCTCGTATGCCGCTGCGTCATTGCATTATCTCCCCACCTCTGCCCTAGGGTACTTTTAGACAAACCTTGATCCTACCCTAAAGTAATCCCAAGTGGATAGCTGTACGGACTTGTTCCATGCTTCTCTCCGGGGGCCTGGCCCCCATGCTCTGATACGGCGCAAATTATTGACGCAGTCCTACCAAGAGTGCATGCACCGCCAGCGTTGCATTGTGTTGGTCGTGGGGCTCCGGGGCTAACCAAAGCTGCAATGCGGAAAAGAATCCAGCCTAAGCCGTTCTGTGCCGCTGCCGACCTACATGCCTACTTCGGCAACCGCTAGTGATGTTGAAACTTTGAGCGCACTGTGGTGGTATTAGGGGGGGGGGTTTCAGAGGAACTTAATAACTTATAAGGTAGAAGCAAATAATAAAATGAAGCTATAGTTTAATTAAACTTTTATTATTTTATATAAAGTTTAAAATATTAATAAAACTTATAGAAATCTTTTAAATAGTTTTACTTCTATTCTATATATATTTAAAAAGTTATAAAATACCTTTATATAATAATAAATCTTTTAAAGCTTTAATAATATTAATATTTTCTTTTATATTATATAACTATTTTATAATTATATTTTATTTATAAAAATAGTTATTATTAGTAATATAATATTAATATTTATAAAAGATTATATAAGGATCCTATTAATATATTTAAATTATACTTTACTAAATATACTAAGATTAGTAATTACTTTTAATGAAGCTAGACTTTTTATCTTAATTAGACTCCGTGTAGTCACGCAGCTGTCACAAAGGCCCGGCCTGGTGGGCCTAAAATTTCAACATGAGTGACTGCTCCAGCCTTGTCAAGCCTATGCAGTTCGGCGATCAGCCACGCAGGGATGATACTGACCTATGTGGAGCAATCAAATCCTTCTTATGCAACCAACCCTGGGTGTGTGCCCCAATCTTGGAATCACAGGTCTTGCATAACCGCTCAAACGAAGACAGTTGGGTGGCGGAGTGAACATGATGTTGTAATCGCTGCCTGGCAAGATCCATGCTTGCTTTATCTGTTGGTGGTAGGGTAGCGAACCGGTGCCATCCGATATCGTCACGGCCGATCGAGCATGGTTTCAAGCGAAGTGAATGTTCGGGAATGGGAACAATACATCTCTGAACAGGACCAATCCATTGCTCAGAGCACTATAACTAATGTCCTTGTGCTCTGTCTTGCTCTTCTCCAACTTGAAAATTGTTGCTCTATTACAACTCACACTCACTTCCTCCACCATCGCAGTCATGAAGCGCAGACATGACAGCAAGATTCCACCCTCTTGCGGCGGCACCCGACGTGATGAGGCCCCTCCCCAGCGATTTGATGGCCTTCACACCGGGTCATGGGTTAGCCGACTGCCACCCTCTTGGGCTCCGTACATCCAGCTGTCGCGACTCAGCCCTCCAGTTCCCATCCTTCTTGTATTTTTCCCGCATCTGATCGGCATCCTCCACGCGGCAATCACCCACGGAGTGCCTCCCGCCGGCGTTGCCCGGGTTTCCGCCCTTCTCTTTGGGTTCAGCTTCTTTTTCTCAAACTCAATGCACGCTTGGAACGATCTGATCGATGCGCCCATCGATAAGTTGATACGTCGTACGCGCAACCGTCCCATCGCACGCGGCGCCATTACCCCTCGAGCTGCATTCATCTTCTCGGCCTCTCAAGGTCTGATATCATCTTGCTTTCTGCCGTTCCTACCTAGGGAGACTCTGCTGTGTGTCGCGCCAAGTATCATCGCAGACCTATACTACCCTTTTTCGAAGAGGCACACATACTTTCCCCAAGTGGTTCTTGGAATCGGCCTTCAATGGGCTATTGTACTTGGCAGCTGCGCCGCCGGTGTCCGCCACGCATGGGCAGATAAGTCCATATTATGCCTGTTCCTTGGTTCCGTGTCCTGGACAGTCATTTATGACACTGTCTACGGCTACCAGGACTACTATGAAGACATCAGAGTCGGTGTTAAGAGTACCGCCGTGCTTTTTGGATCTTGGGGCAAGCCGATCCTGTGGGTGTTAGGCATCTGTACTGTGATGCTGTTCTTGGTTGCGGGTCATCTAGCCGAGATGAGCTGGGTCTATTTTGCGGTGACTGGTGGGGGCTCTTTTGCTTCGCTGAACATCATGATAGCGGCTGTCAATCTGGAGTCACCAGAGAGTTGCTCGTGGTGGTTCACGTACGGGTTCTGGGGCCCTGCAGTCTCTATCCTTGCCGGACTGCTTGGCACATATGTCCTTGGCTAGAAATTATTCAACTCAACTTCTTCTATAGAGACTAGTCGTGGACTGTTCTCTTTCAGAAGGGAAATCGGTTTGAGGAACAGTTCGGTTTGGAAAGAGCTGATACCTGATTTGGTTAATGGTCTCAGCTCTATGAGTCGATATTAATGTATACCTAGTCAAATGTAGTATAGCATGTCTACTAAGTAGGTATTTACCTTAAAAGGTAATATTCTTGACTACCATGTACCCCCCCCCCCCGCCTCCCCCCGCCCCGCGCCACACACACACTGTGGGTCGTGGCTCTTGGCTTCGGATGTCACATCACACTCAAAAAGTGGTTAGTCACACCCATGCAATCTCCCCTCCTCCCGCAAAGGTCTACATTGCATATAAAGTTGCTCGTAGGCTCCTCCGTGGTTCTGCGAACCTACCCTAGCGTCACTCTCTTGTACATATTGTACTACGTCTATTCAATAGACAGCCAGTTTCTTCCTGAAGTCCAAGTAGCGAGTGGTAGCCTACCGGTTACAGTCTAGAGTACCAAGATAAGATGGAGTCAGTGTACCCAAACCAGGTGATCACGCTGTAAGTCCGATAGCCTTCTGAGCGAAATTCAGGAAACCCATTTTAATTCTAAGATCTCCTCATAGGTTCGATGGAGCGTTGAAAGTTCTCCCGAAGTCACATCCTGAGAGAGGTTTCGCCTTCGAAGCAATGTTCATACTGGACCACCCGTCTTTTGCAAAGTTCAGATCGGCCAAGCCACCTCTCCACATGCACCACCAGGCGGAGTACATCCAAGTCCTTGAGGGGGCACTGGTCGTGGAGGTTGAGGGTAAGGAACACGTGCTGCGGCCCGGGGATGGCGAATTAGCTGTCGCCCCGTGGGCGATACATCGCCTCTACACACTGCCCGCACCGGCACCCGGAGAACCAGTGTCAGAAGACTTCAATATCGTGCGATTCGTGGCGTCCGCTGAGAGAACCTTGGAGGTTTTCCAGATGGACCTCGTGTTCTTCGAGAACTGGTATAAGTACCAGGATGAAGTAATACGCAACAAGAAACAGATTGATATCATCCAGGCTATGTGTGTAGGTCTAGCATTATGTTTTATTCATACCTAGCTGTGGGATCTGGGAACAGAAGACTAACCAACCCTATAGACCTTTGACGCGGGGGGTTCTTATATGACTCTCCCATGGTGGGTGCCTTTCAGAAAGGCCTCTTCGCAGATTTTGGGCATTATCGTCGGGAGATGGATAGCAGGCATGCTTGGATACCAACCCTTTTATCGGAAGTGGTCAACGGACTGGGCACTGGCCGATGCTAAAATGAGATCATCTGTGTTCTATCGACGGTTCGCAGACAGCAAGAAGGCTGCATGATTCCATCAGCTTCTTTCTAGCTGTCACAAGTAACAGGTGTCGGGAACGGAGTTCGACGGTGAGGGCCGAATTGGAAATGCACGATGATATGTTTCACTACGCGTAATTATCAATTGATTATTGTACCTAGAAAAGCAGGGAAAAGCTCGATAAAGACGCTGTAGTGAGCTCACAGATTCATACAAGGAATCGTATCGAGACGTGTGTGGTTTCGCTTCTATTCCGTATACGTCCGAGGACATACATGGTGCCTTCATACGGTGTATCGAGACGTGTACCGGTGGCTTTTTTGATCGGTTGAACAGGAGAAAGGCAAAGTTCAAGACCCAGAAGAATCAATGCTTGTAAGCTATTGTGGAGAACCAAAGCGTGTATCTCCTAAGGGAAGTGGCTTGCTGGGGCCATCGGCGCTTGCGCCAGCGAACTGTTTGAACTACCAAATCCAGCAAGACTTCTCATTACGGACTCTTGATAGGGGTTGAATACATAACAAATTACATCGATACATCCTAGATCACCTCGGAAAGGGCGCCCAACGTGCGCGCCAGGTACTATTTCTTATCAGGCTGTGTCGTGAGCGTCACCAACCGCTCAGGTTTCTAGACGTTCAGGGTAACACTGAAGCAAGGATAAGGACAACCCGTTGGAGGTGGCAACCAACTGACAAAATCGTCTCCCTGTTGTGGGCCAGAATTCCAGAGCAAGGATGCTATTTACCAATTGAATCTCAGCACCCCTGATGATCCAGCACAAATGCAGTCAACAAGCCTGGTCACCACAATGGCACACACCCCCGCTTTATTCTCATTCATTTCATTCATTTGAAATCTGAGTCAGCTGTAGCACCTGCATATATGGGCTTCGCTCAAGCCTTCTAAAAAAATCCCAGCCAAGCAACCACAGCCACCACTTTGACCCTTACGATCGCACGCGCAAGCAACCGCAAGGTCAAGTTGGAGCCAGCCAGCCACCTTTGCTTTCGAAAATGGACACACAGAAATCTGACTTGTGGTACTGCTGTGGTTTGGGCTTCACAGTTATAGTTTGTTTCACAACCTCACTATTCATCTGGCGGCGCCACTTCTCTCCTTTGGCTGACATCCCCGGACCCTTCTGGGCATCTATGACACGTTTATGGCACGCCTACCACCTATTCCAGGGCGATCATAACACCGAAATTATGCGCTTACATGAACAGTATGGGCACTTCGTACGCATTGCACCAAACGAAATTAGCGTGAGCCATCCGGCTGGCCCAAAGCTTATACTGCAAGGACTTCTGCGTAAGGTAAGTCATGCTGGGCTCGAGTAGTCATATTTACACAAGTACAAATCCCACTGGGTCAGAGTCCCTGTCATCATCTCGACCAAGAGTTTTGTACTCTTCATCATCTGAGACTTTCATGTCAGAAGAATTTACACATTCAAACTTGTCATCGTCCTCCAGACCAGATACTGATCTACAACAGGGAAGTTGGTATCGAGTATTTGCCATACCGGACTATCGCTTTGCCACTCCACAGTCGACTCTCGAACCTAGGGAGAAGATGGAGCGGTCTAGATTGTTCGCGTCTGGCTACTCACTTTCACACCTTCTTCGCTCCGAAGAATACTACGACGTGAACATAGGCCACCTTCTAGGTTGGTTGAACAAGTTCTCAGAGACGAAAGAGCCAATGCACCTTGACAAGTACTTTTCGTACACCGCGTTTGACAATGCAGGCGAGGCAATCTTCTCACGCTCCTTCGGGTTCATCAAAGAAGGCGAAGATGTTGGCGGCTCTATCGCCAACACTCGGAGTCTGGCGCGACACATGGGCATTGCCGGTTACTACGTATGGATTCTGCGTCTTCTAGTTGCGAATCCTATCATCACGTCTTCGAAACTGCTGCCCATGGGACACATGTTCAATGTTGCGATGGAAACTCTGCGTCAGAGAAAGACAGATCCAGACGCCCGTTTTGATATCATTGCCCACTGGTTGCGGACCCATCAAGAATCCCCCGACCTTCTCAGCTACCGAGAGGTTGAGGCACAAACGACCACGACCCTAGCCGCTGGCTCGGATACTTTGTCGTGTAAGTCAGGATATCCCACCTCTGAATTGAACTTCTCGGCAATTCAAGCTCATTTTCATTAGGCGTCCTCCAAACCTTTGTCTACTTCATGAGTAAAAACCAGAACTCATGGCAACGTGCCAAGGATGAAGTGAAGACAGCCATGAGGGAAGGCCACTGCCTGGATCAAGTCATCAGTTATGACGATGCTCGAAAGCTGCCGTTCCTGGAGGCATGCATTTATGAATCTCTGAGAATGTTTGGGCCTGGTCCATTCCAGCTTCCGCGGGTAGCGCCCAAAGACGGGATTACTATCGGCTCAAAGTACTTCCCGGCAGGAACCGTCTTGTCGATTAATCCGCAGTAAGAAGAGTACCAAATGGTCCCCTTGTTCCAGAATTTACGCGTTTTCAGAAAGCTGTTACGCCGTGGATACTGACTGTGAGACTAGAGTGATGCAGCAGAGCAAAGAGTGCTGGGGCCCAGATGTTAAGGTCTTCAGGCCCGAGAGATGGTTACCAGATGGAATTTATACCATGTATAATTACTGGCTCGTGGTAGGCCGCTTACCCATTCAAACTTCATGGTACAATTGATTTTACTAATCCAGTTACAGTTTGGCTTGGGTTACAACAGATGCCCGGGGGAACACTTGGCTAAGATTGAGATCTTCAAGATATGTGCTACCATCGTGCGTGATTACAACATACGTCTAGTGAACCCGGAGAGACCCTGGGAATGGAAGGCTTATTTCACCGTTGTTCCTCACTCCTGGCCTGTGTACGTTGAGAGAGGATAGGGTTGGACGTGTGGAGCAGGCCGGCACGACTAGCAGCTCTGTCCCTTTCTTGCTTCCTCTTTTTCAATTACCATCTACTGGTCTTCAAGAACAGAGAGCTTGGGGTGAAGAGCCATATAGACAATCAGAAGACCTCTGTTCAAGAGGCACTGACAACGACTGAAACGAGTCTCGAGGACTCAGAAACCAGAAGCATCCGTTCTAATCTTCGCGCCATGTATGTCCCCAGACCACGACGGACGCGCTAGCGAGACGACAGTATTCCAAGGCGCCTGAGGAGGGGAAGAAGTCCGCCTCGTGGGGCCCGTTTTTGTTCCAAGGTCCGACGATGCCACCGGGTGCGATGGGCTGGGTCATCTTGTGGCAAGTGCGATATCCCCAGCGTGCCCAAGGGGGAGATCGTGATTTTCAAACAGACCAAAGATTTCAAGAGGCCTTTTCCGTCAAGGAAGTGATGGCGAGCACCCATGGGGCGCTGAATCGAGTCTGGGGGGCGGGGGCGTTGTGACAACGAAAGTATCCAGAAATGCAATGGTTCATGCAGGAGAATATCAGTAGAGAACTGGTAGTCCATCGCATTGTTTTGAATTTGGCGGTGACGCACAGAGATGAGTACCAAGATAATGTGACCAAAGTGCTAGGACCTCAGTGCCGAAGGGATGACTGCACAAATCTGGACTTAGGAGGACAGGGGGAGTATTAGTAGTGTTATCTAGCACTAATAAGTATTAATAAGAGTACATTCCATACTATATATTAGTAGGTACTAGAGATAGTTACTATAACGTTTATTTACCTATTTAACTATCTAAGTATTATCCCTTTAAAACTAACTTTAAATATACTTAATATAAATAGTAGTCTTATAATATAAATAATTATTTAATTTTTTAATATTTTTTTATAATTAAATAAACTTATAAAAAAAAGGGTTATTAAAAAAAAGTAATTATAGAGAGAAAAAGTAATTATAGAAAGAAGAAGTAATTATAAAAAGAAGAAATATTTATAAAGAAGCTTTTATACCTTCTTTTATATAAAAGGTAAAGAAATACTTCCTCTCTTTCCTTCTTTCTTTCTTTCTTTTAACTTTAACTTTAATTTTAATATTAAATTCTTTACCTTCTTCTTTTAATTTAATTAATTAAATAATTATATTTAAAAATATAAACTTAATAATTTAAATTTAAATTAATTAAAAGTTTAAAATTTAAAATTATTTAATAAAAAGTTTTTAATTAATTATTATATTTAAATAAAAATTTAAATTTAATAATTTAAAAAATTATTAAAAAAGGTTCTTTTAATAAATTAATTTTTATAATTATTTTTAATTTAAAATACTTTTAAAATTATTAAAAATATTTATAAATATAATAAATTATATTATTATAATTTTATATTAAAAATATTATAAAATTAATTTTAAAAATAAAAAAATAATATAATAATTAAAAATAAAAGAAAATATAAATAATTATAATAATTATTTTTAATATTTATTAATATATAATAAAGTTTTATTATTATATTTAATTATTTAAAACTTTAAACTTTATATTATAATTAATAATAAATTTAATAATTAATAATTAAATTTAAAGAAATTAAATTTAATATTATTTAATTAATATTTATTTTTATATATAATAAATAATTTTAATTATATTATATATTTTTATTATATAATTATTTATTAGTTTTTAAAACTTTATATATAAAATCTTTAATAATTTTATATATATTTTATAATATTTTATAAAAGTTTTAAATATTCTTTTATTTTATTATATTCTTTTATATTATTTAAAATTAATAATTATTAATAATAAAATATAAATTTAAAATAAATTTATTAAATATAATTTTATTTTTATAAATTTTATTTAAATTCTTTTAAAATAAATTTAATATTTTATTATAAAAGTTTTAAAATAATATATTATAAATTATTTTTAATTTTAAATATTTTAAAATTATTAATTATATATTTAAATAAAATTATAATATTTATTTAATAATAATTTTATTAATATATATATATATATATATATTTAAAATTAAATTTTAATTAAATCTTTTAATATAATTTATTTATATTATAATTAATTTTAAAATTTAATTTTATTATATAATTATTTTATAATATTTTAATTAATATTATTATTAAATTAAAATTTTTAAATTTTATTTATATATTATAAAATTAAAATTATAAATATTTATTATATTATAATTATTATTATTAATATTATATTTTAAAATATTAAATTTTAAATATTTTCTATTATATAAAAATATTATATATTTTTAAAGATATTTAAAATAAAAATAAAAATAAATAAAAATAAATATTTATATATTTATTTTTAAATATTTTTAAATATAAAATTAAAAGATTTATAATTATAATTTTTAATTAATTTTTATTTAATTATTTTATTATATTATAATTTAATTTAACTTTTAATTTAATTTAATTTATTTTAAATATTTATTTAATATTTTTAAATAAATTAAATTAAAATTAAATTCTTTAATTTTAATTTTAAAATAATTATAAATTTTAATTTATTTTAAATTAAATTTATAATATTTTAAATCTTTTAAAAATATATTAATTATTTTAAATAATAATATTTTTAAAAATAAAAGTTTATTTTATATAATTTTAAATAAAAATATAAAACTTATTTTTTTAATATAAAGTTAAAAGATTTATAATTATAATTTTTAATTTATTTTTATTTTAATTAATTCTTTTATTATAATTTAATTTAATTTAATTTAAACTTTTTTAAATTATATAAATATCTTTATTTTTATAAATATAAATATTAAATTAAAACCTTTAAATTTAAATTTAAAATTTTTATAAATTTTAATTTTTTAAATTAAACTTATAATTTCTTAATTTCTTTAAAATATATTAATTATTTTAATTATTAATAATTTTTTAAAATAAAGATTTATTTTTATATAATTATAAATTTAATTATTAATAATTATTTTTTTATTTATAAATTATTAAAATTATAAACTTAAAATAATAATAAAATATAATTATTTTATTTAATTATTTTTAATTTAATAAATATAATAAATTAAATAATTATTTTAAATAATTTTATTTATAATATAATAAAATTAATAAATAAATATTTATTTATAAAGTAGAGTTAAAACTTATATATATCTTTTAAAGGAATAATAGTTTTATTTTTATTTATTTTAATTAATTTATATTTATTTAAATTATATAATAAATTTAATATTTATATATAATATTTATTAATATTAAATTAATTTATAATTTATAATATTTTAATTTTTAATAAATTAATAATATTAATTTAAATTAATATAACTTAATATATTAATATAAAATATTATAAATAATTATAAAGTTATTATAAAAGTTTTATATAATAAATTTAATTAAATTAATTTTAAAAATATATTATATTTTATTTTTTAAACTTTAATTATTTATTTTAATTTAATAATAAAATTAAAAATATAAATAATTTATAAAATTTATTTAAAATATTTAATTAATAAATTATATTTTTAATATTTATATTATTATTTTATTTTAAAATTAAAATTTTTATAAATTTATATTTAAATAAATTAATATATTATATTTTAATAATATTATTATTATTATAAATAAATAAATTTTAATTTTATATTTTTATATTATTATATTAATAAAATTATTTTTAATTTTAATTAAAATAATATATATTAATAATTTAAAATAAATTATTAAAATTTAATATATTAAATATTAATATTTTAAAATATTTAATATTATAATTTTATATTAATAATTAAATTTATTTTATAAAAATAATTTTTAAATTAAATATTTAAAATTAATAATATTATAAAATAAAATAATTATAATTAATAAATTATATTAAAAATTTATAATTAATTTTTAAAATTTAATTACTTTTATATAATTTAATTTAATTAATAAAATTATTTTATATATATATATATATATAATAATTTATATTAATAAATATAATAATAATATAATTTATAAATATATTTTATTAAAATATTTTTAATATAATTAAAAATTAATTTATTTAATATAATTATTTTTAAAATATATAAATAAATAAAATATTATAATTAATTTATATTTATTTTTATATAAAGTTTAAAATTTATAATTATAATTATTTAATTAATCTTTTATTATAATTTAATATAATTTTTAATTTAATTTAAATTTTTAAATTATATAAAACTTTTATTTTTATAAAATATAAACTTTAAATTAAAACTTTTAAATTTAAAATTAAAATTTTTAAAAGTTTTAATTTTTTAAAATAAATTTATAATTCTTTAATTTTTAAAAATATATTAATTATTTTAAATATTAATAATTTTTAAAAATAAAAATATCTTTTATATAATTATAAATTTAATTATTAATAATTATTTTATTTATAATAAAATTATTAAAATTATAAATTTAAATATTATATATAATAATAAAATATAATTATTTTATTTAATTATTTTTAATTTAATTAAATATTTATTTAAATAAAATTAAAATTTTTAAAAAAATTTATTTTTTATTTTAATTAATTTAAAAATTTAAATTATATAATAATTTTATATATAATATTTAATAATCCTTTTAAATATAAAACTAAATAATTTATAATTATAATTTTATAATTAATTTTTATTTAATTATATTATATTATTATAACTTTATTTAACTTTATTTAAATCTTTTTAAATTTTCTAACTTTAATATTTTTAAAAATTAAGACTTTATATTCTTTAATTTTAAATTTAAAATATTTATAAATTTTAATATATTTTAAATTAAATTTATAATTTTTAATTTCTTTAAAATATATTAATTATTTTTAATATTAATAACTTTTTTAAAATAAAATCTATTTTATATAATTATAAATTTAATTATTAATAATTATTTTTATAAAACTATTAAAATTATAAATTTAAATAATAAAGTATAATTACTTTATTTAATTATTTTTAATTTTAATTAAATAATTATTTTAAATAATTTTATATATTTTTAAGTTTATTAAATAAGTATTTACTTAAATAAAGTTAAAATCTATATATATTCTATAAGAAAATCTATATTTATAATTAGAGAAATAATAACTTTATCTTTATTTATTTTAATTAATTTATATTTAAATTATATAATAATATTATATATAATATTTAATAATATTAAAATTAAATAATTTATAGTTTATAATAATTTTAATTTTTAATAAACTAAATATAATTTAATATATTAATATAAAAGTATTTTTAATAATAAATAATATTATAAATAATTATAAAATTATTATAAAAATTCTATATAATAAACTTAATTAAATTAATTTTAAAAATATATTATATTTTATTTCTTTAAAACTTTAATTATTTATTTTAATTTAATAATAAAATTAAAAATATAAATAATTTATAATATTTAATAATATTAAATTAATTTATAATTTATAATAATTTTAATTTAATAATAAATAATATTATAAATATAAATTATAAAATTATTATAAAATATTTTATATAATAAATTTAATTAAATTAATTTTAAAAATTATATTATATTTTATATTTTAAAACTTTAATTATTTATTTTAATTTAATAATAAAATTAAAATATTAATAATTTATAATTAATTTATATTATTTATTTAAAATAAATATTATATATATATATTAATTAAATAAAAATAAAAATAATATAATTTATAATTAATTTTAATTAAATAATTACTTTAAATTATTATATTTTATATATTATAATATTTATTTATATATAAATAAATATAATAATAATATATATATATATTAAATAATAAAATAATATATTAATATAAATATAATAATTAATTTTATTTTATTTTTATTTATTTCTTTATTATTTTATTTTATTATTATAATATATTATTTTTAAAATTAATATAATTTTATTTTTATATTAATACTTTTAAATAAAATAAAACTTTATATATTTCTTTTATTATTATAATAATATTTATAATAAACTTTTAAAATTTATATATATTAAAAATAAAATATATAATATATTATTATAAAACTATTTTATATTTTTAAATAATTTATTATTTATTAATATTTTTATAATTAATAATATTAATTAAAATTATATAAATTAATTTTAATATTTATTATTTTAAATTAATTTATAAAATATTTAACTTTTAATAAATTATTATATTATTTTATAAAATATAAAAAATTTTTATAAATTTTATAAATTTTAATATTATTATTTTTAATATTATTATTTTTAATATTATTATTTTTAATATTATTATTTTTAATATTATTATTTTTAATATTATTATTTTTAATATTATTATTTTTAATATTATTATTTTTATAATTATTATTTTTATAATTTTTAAAAAATATTAAAAGAATTTAAAAGTTTTAAAATTTAAAATTAATATAAAATTTAAAATAAATTTATATTTAAAATATTAAAAATTAAGATTATTTTATTTAAATATATAGTTTTATATAAACTCTATTTATAAAACTTTATATTAAGTAAGTATATAGAAATTATTAAATAGGTAGAGGTTAGAGTTAGGTAGAGAGATATTAGCTTATATTTATATTAGCTCTAGCTTACTAGAGATAGTTCATAGTCTCTAATAAGTAGTATAGAACGAGTTACACTGCAGCCAAGCCTAGTATAGCCACTTAAAAAGGGCCTTTTTAAGCCTTTCCACTTATATACCTTGCTATCTAATCACCACCTCTAGAGGAATGCAAACATGCAGCAGCAGCATTATATCTAGTTCAAGAGGGATTTGATCACACTAACGCTTTTTATGGATATATCTGTGTAATTCTTTAAAGCAATCCCCTTTCTAGCTTAATAAGTCGGAACGCTACTTATGACTTTCTAGTCTGATGAGGTAGAAACGTTGAATCTGGCTCATCCTGATATGTGATCATGTATAGGAAAACAACGGTCTACAGGCAGCATGAGCGATACACGGACGGACCAGGCAGAAGTCGCCCATTTGTCAGGCTCAACCGGAGTCGAATAGAGTCGTACGAAATTCAACCCCTATCTGGGCGTGTCGTGATGACCTGGTCAAAAGTGAGCTTGGTGCGAGGCGCCTGGTTTGCACTCTCTGCTGACCAATTTTCCCATGTCCCCCTAGCCGCGGTGGAATCAGCATCGCGTCGGACTTGGTCGCGAATTAAAGCCTATCAGGGGTCAGGCGGAAGGGTAGCCAAGGGAGTTGGTTGGGTGAGCTATGCACGTCAGTAAATTGCGACACTTGCTGGATCAGGATTTCCGCCGCGGGGAACCTCGTCCTGGGTAGCAACCAACAGGTGCATTTGAGTCACACATAAATAGCAAGCTCATGTGCAGATATAGACACAGCTCATTCCGTTAGCTGATTACCTTCTCCAGATCCCATAAGAGACGTGACCTACTTTGTACCTTTTCATTGGCCTCGCCAGTTATACCCACTCACTCGCTCCAGGGCTGCGGCCAGCCCCATTCACACATCGCCCTACTGCTCCACTTGAAACCTGGGCTCGTTCGACTGTGCGATTAAGGTCTTCCTTTCAGTAAGCCCACTGTAGCTTTAGAAAAACAAGGCTTCACTGTCAATCCGAGCCTTTCTATCGTGACGGCGCGAGCATAGTACCAACATGGCCGATGCTCCAGATCCTCTGTGGGACGGAACGCCACACTGGGAGCAGGAACCCGAAGTCGCAGAGAAGTATATTCTTTACCTGGACAAGAATGTAAGAAAAGGTCAGTGAGAGTCAGAATCGCTGGTCTATGTTGCCAAAAGCTCAAATAGAGAACATCCAGCGCTCCCGAAGGGATCTGTTTTCCAAGCTATAATTCCGCATGGCGCTTCCTACTGGACACGAACGGCCCAAATAAAAACAGAAAATGATGACAACCAGGTGTCGTACTTTCTCAAGGTTAGTTGTTTCATTGTCTGAGAGATATAGGGGTGTCCGCTACTAGCCATCCACAACCACAGGTTTCGATCGGCGATCCTGGCAAGGGAATGATGCATGGTGAATACGTGTCCATGACAAGGCTGCACGACACCATGCCGGAGTTCACTCCAACGCCGATATCATGGGGAACCTATGACTCAGACAAGAACATCCATTTCTTCCTCTGCTCCTTTCACAGGCTGCACGACGGGCTGTGCTCACTAGAGACCTTCCCGAAACTGCTTGCTGAGCTTCATACCAAGGGTATATCACCCAACGGTAAATTCGGTTTCCCTGTAGCAACGTACCAGGGACGCCTCCCACAGGACCCGACTGAGACCGACACCTGGGAGGAGTGTTTTGCCAACAACGTCAGGATCATGTTCGACCACGAGCTCGCCGCGCAGGGCCCAGATGAAGAGATCGCTCAGCTCCGAGACAAGGTCATGACCAAGGTCATCCCTCGCCTCTTGCGCCCCATGGAGGTGGCAGGCAGGAAAGTCGTACCACGGCTTGTCCACGGCGACCTTTGGGAAGGGAATGCGGGGACAGATCTGGAGACAGGGCTGCCTATGATATTTGACGCTTGCAGCTCTTATGCGCACAACGAGTGTGAGTCGAACGGCACTGGTCGCATTGATGCGGTTACTGACATTTCATATAAGACGAGATGGCCCCATGGCGGCCAGTGCGGCAGAAAATGGGCAGGCCGTACGTCAATGCTTACAAGAAACACTTTCTGATGTCAGAGCCTACCGAGGACTTTGATGGACGAAACCTCCTTTACGCTATGTTAGTGTGATTTAATGCAATTTCTGCTAATACTAAGTGTGAAGGCACAGGACTGACCTGTCATAGGAGATTCAATATCTGCTCGTCAGCATTATATCCCGGAAACCTCAACTACAGAAACGTGTCAGTTCTCCGATGTTGCTGATGTATTGTATTGTACTGCGCTCACCATTTCTGATAGGCTGAGGCTTGACATGCGCGAGCTTGTGGAACGGTATGGTGAGGGTTATGAGGCCTGGGCAGCAAGAGCCGGGGTTGAAGAAAGTGACCACTGAGTCGTACCGCGTCCTCCATCCCTTTTGTCACCTAATCTTGCGTTTTCAAAGATCTGAAGGATCTCCTTAGTCATTGTGCCGCCATTGAATGATTCACTGTCGAGTCTGATTCTTTTTTCCATGCCCGAGGGTACTCGAGCGGCCCAGCCGTTGCCCACATGTGCATACACGGATCGTTCGGATTATAGTCTTTTGCCGACTTTCTTCATGCTTCGTGTTCCGGGCCGGTGTATCTCGGACTCTTGCATGGACCCGAGCATGTGTAGAGCTTTGCGGATTGAGCGATTACTATGAACCTTCGATCTGGCCCCATCAAGGAGCCACAGCTCGCCTTGTCACTTACTCGTGCAAGACCAATCATTTTCACCACTCATTACGGCTTTTACTACCCTAGGGTAGCCTCGTGATGCTATGTAACTCCTTCGGTAATCCCTCCCGTGGATACCATGTGATCTTGAAGGTCTGGATCCTCCATCGATAGAGGAGTGGGTCTGAATTACTTGATATGCTTGGCAGATTGAGCGTCCATGGGTTTTCTTATGGAGACATTGAATTGGAACGGTGCCGAGATCATGTGTTCGGTTCAAAGGGACTATTTACATTGTCTTAGTCTCACTTTTACTTTAAGAAATATACTTCGTTGCACTGCACATCTGTGAAAATTGACCGCATGCAATGTTGGCTGGAAGACATGCTTGTTGTGGCTGGCGGCCCAAACTTTGATTGCTGTCGACCGGTTATGGCCGTATTTTTGTTAGCCGCTCTCGAGTATCCACCTACAGACTCATACCTGTCAGGGGCAATCCAACCCTTTGGCAAATTGGATCAGCTACATTTTCCTTTGGGTGCTGGGCAGTTCGCAGAAATTCAGGCCTCCTTGAGTCATGGAGACAGACCAGTACAAGTTGCCAACCTCAAGTGATACCTAGGTCGTGATTCAGCGGAGCGGGTCATGGACCGTTCTGACATAGCTTCAATCACCCGAAGTTATCTCAAGCTGGATTGGTCAGTTGAAAATCCTCCAACGTGAATTGACTAGAGAAGACGTATCTCTCGAAGCATTTAGCCGATATTAACAAGGTCTGAAGATAGAAGACAAGGATAAAGCTTTGGCTGGGTTACAACATCCTCTGCTGACCCCTGTGGCCTCTTGAGGGTGTAACCATTTTACTATATAAGACTATGTGGGGATTAGACCCTCTTCAAAAGTCCTTGGAACTGTATGCTGTTCTGGGTTGTTATTCCTGACAATGAGCCTCAGTGGACCAGGGCCAGGCACGGCCAACTATACGCTGGCCATTTCCTACAATCATTCCAATTTTTAAGACAAGTTTGGGTTTTTTGAAGTGAGTGAACCTATGTCCCTGTAGTTGAATGCGTAGATAATGTGTCCTATGATGTCCCATCTCTACGCACTTATGCACGTGGGCATTACATTAACTCGATTCGTGATAATAGAGTAAGCTTGGTACTGGTTCCATCTACGATGTAGATCCTACGGGTGGGTACGTTCAGTACCAAAACCGCACTGAGGCCGAGAAAATGGGGCTAGTTTCTCTTCAGAGTGAGGAGATTTACATAGGCGTCGAGTGAGTATGTGCCCACGCACAACTTCGAATTGGCTACAGTCGACTCCCCTCTCACATGTGTACCGCATCGAATACTGGTAGTCACTGACGCACCACTTAAAAAGTACGGCAGGCACATACGATCCAGGATCTTATGGTCGCAAGTCAGTCAGGCTGCAAAGCTGGGACGCCTTCAACCACGGCCTCTTCGTGGCAAATTTCACTCACCTCCCCGCACCGACCTGCGGCGCATGGCCCGCCTTTTGGACCTTTGGCTGGCCATGGCCGGACCTGGGCGAGTTCGACATCATGGAGAACTGGAACTCGCGCGGCTTCAACCGCAACACCGCCATGATAAACGGCAGCCAGGCCACCTGCGAGATCAAGGCGCCCGACATGTCAAGCGAGATCGAGTCGTACAACTGCGACGCCCATGCGCCGGGGCAGTACTGGTACCAGGGCTGCTCGAGCAACAACTTCAACGACACGGCCTTTGGCTCGCCGGCCGGGGGCGTCTACGTGCTCGAGTGGACGGGCGGCCATGCCAAGATCTGGAGCTGGTCGCATGCCGAGGTCCCGCAGGATCTGGTCCGAGGCCAGCCAGACCCGACAGCCTGGGGCATGCCGTCGTATGCCATCGTAGGCTGCGACATGGACAGCGGGTGGCGAGACCAGAGGATCGTGCTGAACATCGGCTTCTGCGGCGTGGCTGGCCAGGACGGGACGCAGCCCTACACCAAGAACCACTGGGGCCAGTGTGCGGAATCGACGGGATACGGCTCGTGCACGTCCTATGTCGCGGGGAGTCCAGAGGACTTTGTCAACTCGCACTTCTTGGTCAAGGACATTGTTGTGTATCGAGACGCCTCGGCCGATGCGGAAGTGGTGTCAGAGAATCACTACGGTGGCTCCGCCGCGCCTTCAGCCCCGGGAAGTCCCGTTACGCAAACGACACCACTGCCAGTGCCGGGGAAGAATAGCTCTGCTGATAACAACTCGCGTACTGGTTGGGCAGCTATTCTCACACTATGTATCTCTGGCTTTATTACCATGGCATTTTAGTATACTTTGACTCGAGTCGGGCCAACACAAAGCTGTAGTCTTCGACAAGTGATTGTCACAGTACACATGTCTTGCGTTCAGGTAGGCAATTTATTTTGATTTGCACTCTAGATTCTGTGAGTGCCTAGGTAGTCTGGAATGTCCCAGCTCTAGCCCATTGCCTTAACTAGGCGCGCATTAAAGATGACTGACAATAATTGCAGCATTCCCCGCAGTCCTCGGCTGCCCTGGCTTGGTTATAACGTATGCTTGTACGCACACACTCATAGAGCTACGGCTCGACAACCATGAATCAGTACACAGATTGATTCAACCAGAGTGCAGCTGCAATCAGAAACAGGCCAGAAATTTGTAGTGCTAGATAACCACTACACCAGCGTGGCGCATTGCCTTCCGCTCCTTGTGCAACCTCGCAGCCACCTTGACACCAAAGTCACTCTCAAGGATTTGCCTGACATCTTCCAACGGGAGGCCCTTGACCTGTGGGTGTGCAAACACCACAAAGACCTGGCCGAAGAAATAGATTGCGGCGTAGGAGCCAAATGCGTCGCTGGGCAAAGAACTTGAAACCCTCATCATCGACATGAACGTCGATGCAATAATGACTCTGAGTATGCAGCCACCGTATCCATCGTGGTGCCTAGGGCACGCATCTCGATGGGCAAGAGTCCCGTGCCGACCCAGCCGATGGTAGCCACGCCGCTGGCGAAGAAGGCGACGTAGACGATGATCGTCACAAGGGTCAGGCCGCCGGCCCTGTTGACGCTGTCGAATTGGCAAGACTTGCGATGATCATTGCCACAGAGCCGACTCCCAGACCAATAACGAACCGTCCGCCAGCCATTTGCTAGACGCAAAAGCAGCAGCCTGGGTCACCGAGCCGATCAGGGCGCCCTCCAATGATGTGACCAACTCCAATGATGTGACCAACTCCTGCCCGCTCGACGATGGTTCATGGCCGAAGTCGCTCCGGACTGTGAACAGTACTGCCGAGATGACGCCCGTGTCATCCATAGCCCGGCTTGGTTTTGTCAGTTGGGGCTTCTTCTGGGTAGCGTTACTGAGGATCACTGACCAAAGAGGAACTCGCCTGTCGCTACTGCAAATGTGCTGAGCCACACGGCCGTGGAGATGTTGGTGTTCTCAATGGAGTCGTCGTAATTTGCGATTCTGTCGTCCAACCTGTCGAGCTTGTCGACGTGCGACACCCCGTCTTCAAACTCTCCGTCTGCCTTGACAGCCTCCGGATGCTTGGCATCCACTTGACAAGACTCGATGGTCACGAATATCTCGGTGGATACAGAACGAAGGCATATCAGCGGCGGATACTCTTTACGATTCGGCCTACAACTGTGTGCTGTCCCCGAAGCGGACTCGCGGCCTACAGACGCGCGGGCATGACAATGCCAGCGATACGAGCAAGAGTGGGTGCGAGTGTTCTTAAGAACGACTGCCAGGAAACGTAACCCTCCGCGTGAAGTACATTAGCGTGAGGTGGCGGGGCCAAGTCCGCCCGGAACGACAGATGCCAGCATGTGCCTTCTCGGGTGCCATGGGTCACGGCGCACGGTGTCGCAAAGAACTCTCACAATGACACGCTTGGTACATTATGCCTCAATTCACATTGAAAACGGAGTCGTCCTCGCCCCTGGAGCCGCCGTAGAGGATCTCACAGACGCCTGCCAGGGGCACATCCATCACGGCGTCCGTCCCCTGGTTCCAGCACTCCCGCCAGTCGACCTCTCTCTCCCGGGGATAGGGGTGCGTCCCGCTCGTCTTCCTCTGGTGGTGCGCCTTGCTGCTGCCGCGCAGGCCCTCCCTCTCGCGCTCGCGCTCCAGGTTCCTCCGCCTCTCCTCGCTGGTGACGATGCGGCCCCTGCCGTCGACGACGGCGATCTTTCCCGCGTCGTCGACGATGGTCTCGAGGTTGTCGAGCGGCAGGGTCAGGTACTCGGAGTTGTAGAGGGCGAGGGCGACAAAGATGTAGACCAGCAGCATGACCAGGAACGAGGGGATGGCCAGGCTCCACCAGCGGTTCGGGTAGTAGTAGATGCCCAGGACGTGCAGGAAGGGCGAGGGCAGGTACGACCACAGCAGGTAGACGAGGAATACGAGCGACGAGAAGAGGTACAGCACGAAGCCGTAGTACTCGTAGGTCGGCACCTTGGGTGACGCGCGCGGCACGGGCTCGGCGCTGTTGAGGCCCTCGTCGTCGCTGGCGTCGGGCGTGGTCGGGCGCGACGGCCGCAGGAGCGATGTTAGGGACGGGGACGGGGGCAGCGGCGTCGGGGGCCGGCCGTAGTATGGCGGGCCAAAGGAGAGCATCTGCGACTGCGTGGGCGGCGGCGGCTGTTGGGCCGGGCTGAAAGGGTCGTCCTCATCTTCGTCATCGTCGAGGAGGTCGTCCTCGACGTCGCTGGGCACTTCGTTTTCGAGGCCGCCCTCCCCGTCGGAGAAGAACGGGTCCTCCTCCTCCTCCTCCTTCCCTGAGCTCAGCGACATGGTCTGGGGTCCTGTGGTGCGCTGGCCTTGGGATGAATCCACGCCCCGAATCGCGGTTGTTGTCGCGCGCGGTGGTTGCGTACCTAAATTAAGCGCCAAGAACGGCTCGCGGTCCTAACCCTTGCGGTTGATTCAACTCTGGACCCACCCACCCTCTCACATGCTCAGTCAATCACAATGACGCCCTGTCCTACCTAGGTATCTATACCCATACATTCCATCACGGGTGGTTGGTTCCATGTCGATGTTATTAGGCTGTTGGGGTCTGTGGCACCTGTTCCCATTTTCCGTGCCATCTAAACAATCATAGCCCAAGCAGTACGATAATTCTGACGCTCGTGTCTGTGTCGACACATCGCCCTGCGCCTCTCTTGCTCCTCCTATCAACAGCTTGAATGCCAGAAGACCGAGTCTGTCTAGAGGAATTCAATTCGATGAGCGACGGCTAGTTCAAAGGATCAATTGATGACAGGGCGCAATACCGTAGCTGGGATAGGCGTAGCGTGTGGGTCCCGAGGTCGTTTGCCTGCGAGCTCAAGATGGTAATGTTTCACTTGGAGCCAACTACCAGTATATGTTGATCTTTTACAACTCCGATCACCAATATCTCTTACCAATGGATTTAATTTCTTGTTGATTTAGATCTGATGTGCGTACAGTACGGGCAAGGAACGACAGAAAATATCCCATTTCTGGCTCCACAATGGATGGCGATCTTGAATGCATAGAGCTTCAAGTTGATCACATGCGAGTGGTTTCAATCCACTCCTCGTAATCATAAGATGCAACATGTAGGTTGGAAAAAAGCCACATAGATCGAAAAAATCATGGCATTTGACCTCGGTAGGCTGCACTCAGAAAGAAGATCTCGGGTGGTGGTCGAGGCCTGCATGGCCAGTTTGGGGGTCAGCCTGGGGCCGCAGATTTAGAAATCAGTGATCACATTGACCGAGACACCCGCCGTGCCCGACTTATCCAGTCGTACATATCGGGTCCCCATGCGTCTGTATCTGTCATCAAGGCTGGCTATACGCGTAATGTGGCATTTCGCGTGATAAGGTGGCCCATCATAATGACCGTATTCCCGCGTCATGTTGTTGCTTGGCCCCAGAACCAACATTGAGAACGCGTTCGGTGGGCGAATTTGTTGCATGAACACTAGAACACTTCCGTGGTGGGTTGGTAGATATCCAGGGCTTCCCGTCCAGTCAAGCATTATGAGGTCAGGTCGGGTCGGCCACCATCAGCATGTTGAGAGAAGTCGAATGAGATCTAGGTATGGTGGGTTTTCTGTTTTGCTAAAGTTTCGACCTACCTCGTTTACTCATTCGACGACACAAATATACAAGATTGAGACTCGTTCAACTACGTACCTAGGTATCTTTGCCAGCCCGTATTCGCCACCCCAGGAAAGAATTCCGATAAGGGGGTTTGAGGACGGCAGCAAGGAGTCAAGCCAGCCGAGACGATCAGCCCGTGGCGTAACAGCGACCCATTTGTCGTAAGTTGGACTGTGATTCGCTTCTGGGATCATCTGAGCTCTGCCAGCCTTGTTCAATTTGTTTGCTTCTTGCCAGCGAACGTTGTCAATGTGAAACCCATTGAATGCTGTTTGCGCAGTGGCCGGAATTAACGCCGAAGACCCTCGAGGTATTCACGCAGCAGAACAAGTTTCTCGCAGGGGTTGTGGCGACAGTATAGCTGCCAGATGGTATTACCCCCGAGACATCCATCTGGTACCCTCCAGTGCGCAGACTGTATAGTATCCAACGCCTGGATGTCTACATAGTCTGTCCGCGTATAAGTCTCCAGCGTCAGCTATTCTGCATCCTCCCCGCGCAATCAATCAATTTACTCAGGCAAGCCAGCCCCTTTACCATGTCCGCACCACAGCGACCGATCCTGCCGAAGCCAGCACAGACGGCCAACCCCCCCGGGGTTGAGGGTGAAGGTTCCGGCCGTGACGACCCGCCTGGCGGGAAACAATGGCCGCTGCCACGGGCGAGGAAGAACGTCAAGGCAGCATGTGAGACCTGTCGCAAGTCGAAAGCCAAGTATGAAAAGCCCTCAACAGCAGATAGCGGAGCAGGCCTGCCTCCGTCTTCCAAGTCGTGTGTCGCTCTGACGCGAGGACTTTGGTTCTCCCCCTGCACAGGTGTACAGGAGAGCGCCCAGCCTGCTCGCGCTGCGAGACCCGAGGTCTGGAGTGCGTCTATCTCGCCGAACACGCCGAGACACAGTTCCAGGCCCTCAAGCGCAGGCACGACGAGTCGCAGCAGGAGAACGTGGTCTACAAGGAGCTGTACCAGCTCCTCGTCACGGTGAGCGAGGCAGAGGCCCTCGACATCCTGCAGCGCCTGCGGGCTGGGACCGACGTTGAGACGGCGGTGCGCCTCGCGCAGGAGGGCGACCTGCTCCTGCAGCTCGCGTTGAAGCCGGAGTCGCGGTCCAGGTACCAGTTTCCTTACCTACCCTTCATGCCCGGCCCCCTGCAGACCTCTGACAATCCGTATCTGGAGTCCATGCTGTACGAGGGAGCTCTCAAGGGCTTCGACCAGCCTCCGGCTCTCGACCGGCAGCAGTCAACATTAACATCAGCATCAACATCCACCGGCGAGGCAGAGACGCGGCCCGACCACAGTCAAAGCCACAGCCACATGTTCCTGAAGCCCTACCACGCCGCGGAGCTCGTGGACGACCGTCTAGCCACGGCCAGAGCCTCCAATTGGACCACGGTGACGACCGACGACAACCTGTTCAGGCGGCTCCTGCGGGCGTACCTCGCCCACGAGTATTGCGTGGCGCCTGCGTTTCAAAAGGACTACTTCCTGTACGACCTGGCCCGAGGAAAGGGTCCCTTGTGCTCGCCGCTGCTCGTGAACTCGGTCATGGCGGTAGGAAGTGTATGTAGTAGCCTCACATGCATATACACCGTGTCCCATGGGGTGACCGGACTGATGCGGAGCCATATCCGATATAGCACTGCCACCGAGACAACGCCCTGCGGTCACAGCTGTGGAACCCCGAAAATATCGGCTACAGGTTTCTGACGGAGGCGAGGCGGCTGTGGGAGCTGGAGGATCTTGAAAATGTCAAGCTGACCACGTTACAAGCGTCAATACTCTTGAGTCTGGCTTACAACAGCCATGGGATGGGTGAGTGCCAGGGCCATGTGCGAGTGCGAATCAGAACATATTGATATTGTTCATTCTTGCCGTCGTTCCTCCTCCCCACCTTCAAGCAAAGTACGCCCGCTAAAGAAAGTGCGTCGTCGCCGCCGCCGTCGTCTAGACAAGATCGGAGACATCTTCATCCGGCACGCTGTATCGATGGCCAGGAAAATGAGCCTCTTCAGGCCCGAACCACCCCACAAGAACAGCAGGACCCAAAGGGCGCTTGAGTTCACGGCGTGGGCCTTCTTCAACTTCCAAACGTGAGCGGGGCCCGAGCGAAACGGACGCGTGAAGCTGCCATAACGCATCATCAGACCCCAAACACACACATACACACACCCATACGTATCCCGCACACAGAAACATCACCGCTGACCACCGCCCTACGACAAAAAAGTGCTGCAGGATACTACTTCATGCGGCGGCCGTGGCTCAGCGACCCGCCCGAGGTGGCGCTGCCGGACCCGGACCAGGACCCGGGGTGGTACGGCGAGTTCGCGCTCGAGTACCCGTCGGCGCCGGGCCCGACCCCGATGCGCTGGCCGCACACGTTCCGGGCCATGTGCGGGCTGCGCGTCATCATGAACCAGGTCGCGCACGAGGCTTTCCGGGACGACGACGACGACCACCACAACCACCACCCGCCGCAGGCGTCGGTCGCGGGGTTGCCGCGGCACAGGGCGCTGGGGATACAGGCGCGGCTGAGGGAGTGGTACGCGGGCCTGCCTGAGCCCTTGCGGCCCAGGATGGCCGTCTTGCCGAGCCATCTGAGGCTTCAGTGAGTCTGGGATCTGGGAATAGTCCCCCACCCCCTTATTGCTAACTAGTATGCCCCGTGAACGAGGACTTCGGGACCGGCCGGCACTTCTCTTCTATGGCTTCACCACCTGAGATACATATCACCTGCTGACATGAGCCCACAGCCTCGAGCACTTCGCGATACACCTGACCCTATCCACGACAGTGATAGAAGAACAGGCAGAGATCCACTCCTCGATAGACCTGGGGCCCTCCGCCGCCGCCACCACCACCAACAATGACCCCGACAACGACGACGGCGACGACAACACCAACACCAACACCAACACCACCACCAACACCAACACCAACACCACCACCAACAAAACCACCACCGGCTCCCCCGCCGTGGTGGCCCGCACGGGCCCAGAGGCGATGCGCAACCTCGAGACGGTCGCCCGGCTGTACTACCTGCGCCACGGGTTCGAGGCCTGCGACAGCTCGCTGGCGTACTCGCTCTCCCTGCTGGCGAGCGTCTCGCTGCGCGCGCTCGGGGGCGGCAGCGGCGGCGACGGCGGGCGGCTCGCCGCGGGGGGCGGGCGGCCCGAGGTGCTGCGGTCGACGCTGGTGCTCGCCATGAAGGGCCTCCACGAGCAGGGCCGCCACACGCACGTGTGCAGGGTGCTGTTCAGGCTGCTCGCCGACCGCATGGGGCCCGCCGAGGCGGCCATCCTGGGGCGGTTTGTGGGCTCCTCGGCGGGGGAGGGGAAGGGGGCCGGGGCCGGGGCCGGGGCTGAAGCTGACGCTGACCTGGTGCTGCGCACGCGGTCGAGGTTCCCTGTGCCTGTGGTCAAGAAGGGGGAGGATCTCAACGGGGCCGTGCTGGACAACCTGGTCCAGAAGTACCGAGCTGTCACGCTGGAAAGTGGCGGCAGCAGCCTGGGTGGGCCTGGCCATGGGTAGTGAAGAGGATATTATTTTGGCGTGAGGGGAGGGATCCCGTCAAAATACGACCATGAATGGTTTCAGCCTTGGGGGGTATTTTCTTTCCAGACCACTTACTCCTGAAAGAGGCGAAGCCAGACGGACCAAGCCCTCGTCATCCGCGCAGCATGGAGACAGTGTGCTGTTCCTCGGCAACACCACCCCACAAGATGAGAGAATGATCAAAACCAATCTCAAGCACCAGAGCAATGATCTCCGTGAACCGAATGACCCCAACAGCCAGCCCTCCACCCACCATTCCCTCACATCTCCCCGCACTGCGCAATAATCACGTCCAGGTCCGGCACGTCCCTACCGCGGCGGCCAGTCTTGGTGGCCTCCATCTTGCGGACGACATCCATCCCCTCGACGACCTTCCCAAAGACGACGTGCTTGCCGTCCAGGAACGGCGTGGGCACCGTGGTGACGAAGAACTGCGAGCCGTTGGTGTTGGGCCCCGCGTTGGCCATGCTCAGCAGGCCCTCGTGCTCGTGCTTGAGCGAAAAGTTCTCGTCGGCGAAGCTCTTGGTGCCGTAGATGCACGTCGAGCCCGTGCCGTCGCCGTGCAGGAAGTCGCCCCCCTGGCACATGAACTTGGGGATCTGGACGGGGTGGTTAGCATTGCTGGATGAGTGGGGTGGCCGGACAGGGTGCCTGCAAAACGACTCTTTTTGACGTGTCTTGTAGAAACAGCAGCAGCAGCAGTAGTGATATCTGGGCTCCTTGGCCAGGACGTCGAGGAGACACTTACAATGCGGTGGAACCGTGAGCCCTTGTAGCCCTGCGGCTTGTTGTTCACCTTGTACTCGCCCGTGCACAGCTGGCGGAAGTTCTCGGCCGTCTTGGGCACGACATCCTTGAACAGCTCGAACGTGATGCGGCCGAGGGGCTCTCCTGTGTAGACACCACACTCATCAGCAAGCAAGACTGACAAGGGAGAGGTGACGGCCCGTTTTGCTCCTCCTCCTCCTCCTCATCCGCAGGCCGTCCTGGTCCATGGCACAAGGGCAGCCAGGCTGGGCAATGCCGGCTCGCGGCTCACGGCTCGCAGACAGACCAGACACGGTGGCAACACGGGTCGGCGGCGCCCAGCGATGTCCCGTCCCGTCGTCAACCAAACGGGCAGCCCCTAGGCGAGCCCCAGATGCGCAGACCGCCCGCAAGTGCCTCCTCCCCGGACAGTAGCAAGCAAGGCGTCAAGACCGTCCAGCCCACAGGGAGTCACGGCGCCGCGCCCAGCCAGAACACCGACGCCAGGCAGGATTCGAAGAGTGCGCGCGCGGGCTGGGGAAGAACTCACCACCAAGCGTGATATCAAAGAAGACCCTGCAGGCATCGCGGTGTTAGCCGTGGCGACAATAATCATAGCATCGCACTAGCAAGAGAGGGAAGGAGGGAAGGGAGGCATCAAGCAGCCTTGCAGGACAAGGCCAGCCAACCAGAAAGCAAAAAAATTCTGTCGCTCTGATCGGCGGGACGTGTGTTGGTGTGAGTGAGATGGGACACTGTGGGGGGGGGGGGCGAGCAGAGCCGATGGCATGATGCTGTGTGTGTGTGTGTGTGTGTGTGTGTGTGTGTGGCGGCCTCCTCTCTCCCCCGCTGTGTATTGCGGTGCAGTAAGTGGTCCGTGGTCTGTCTGGGAGACTCACAAAGGGTTGCCATTCTCAGGCAGCTGCGTGGGAGCCATAGCTGGCTAGCTGGCTGGCTGATCCTCTCCGGCAGGAATGAGTGATACACGGCTTGATGCCGAATGCTTGCTGCTGTATGGGATTGAATAGAATAGCGTGTCGGCAGTTCGTCGAGCCGTCTAACCTGTCCTGGCCGCGTGACGGAAACTCGTGTGTCGTCTGTGTATGTGTTTAACGTCGTGGTGGTAGTAAAGTAGTGTAGTGTAGCATGCAGCTATGTTTTGGGAATAGCATCACACCGAATGGTATGGTATGGGTTGGAAGCTGCAGCAGCTGCCGTTGGATTTGCTTGGCAAACCACCGACCTGACCCACCTTTCTCTTCCTCAGGTCGTGCTTTCCCGCCTGCAAGGCCCGGCCGGCGCCAAAGTGGGCCACCGAGACCTGGGGAGCTAAGGGGGCTGGCAGCTCGGGATCTACGGCGGGTATGCCGCATGAGTTGAGTGAGTGCCCGGTGCGATGCGAGGAATCAAAGCACCATACATACATGCACAACGGGTCTACTACACTATAGTCTACAACATTGCTAATAAACAGTAGAGGACACACACAGAAGCCCACATCCGACGAACTGTGCGCAGGAACAGACAGAGAGAGAGAGAGAAGTCAACCAACAACCTTTGTTCGTCCCTTACTAAGCCCACTTACCCACGAACAGAATCCCATCTTCGCTCTAGTTCAATCCACTCAAGTACCGCTAGCCCCTACTAACTGACCAGACCAAACGGGCAAGCCCACAGGGCGTCTGTCCAGAGTGTAAATAGACACAGGTTCAAGCCTCAGACCGCAATCTAAGGAGCCGCCAAAAGGCAAGGGGGAAAACTAACTGACCAAACCATCACTTATTATTAGTTAGTCGCCTACCTACCTACCCTACACTCAAGCTAACCCTCAGGAGAAGTCCGCCACCCGGGAGCCACGCACGGTCTCTTCGGAACGGGGGAACCGGCGTCGTCATTCTACGGGCCAGACGGTGTTTGACCAAAACAGTCCGTCTCAGGGCCAAAGTCAAAAAAAGATAAGCATACTAGTTAGAAGTGAGTGCCGGCCGGCCCGGCCGTTAATGAGACACGCGACGAACTGCAAACGATGTGCAAATGGCCTCATTTCATCCTTCCTGACCCGACTGTGTTCCACAACCAGAAAATTCCCCGGAGCTGTCTCCCATTCATACAAGCCGGGGTTGGTTACCAACTGTGGTAATTAATCAGTTTGGGCGAATCGATGCGTGATATATCTCCCACAGCTAAACCCGACCGAGCCAGTCGCATGGCCTTGCCACGGGGCAGACAGGCAGGCAGTGCGCACGAACGACTGGGGAAGTTGGACGTTAACTGTAGGCCTGTCACCAGATATTGACGAAGGATAAAAAGCTTGTTTTGGGCCTGGGGGTGACTACCCCAGGTGGTGCAAGACCACACGAGAGAACAAGCACCCAGGACACACCTGAGTAGGCTAGGCGATACCCACAATGGGTGACACCGCATCTCGAGATCTCGTGGCGGAAACCCGTTGCCGGTGCCCATGCATCCGGGACTTTCCATGAGGAATTTTCTCTTCCTCAGGTGTTACCCACGAGCCTGCCAGTCTGCTTGCCGGGACCCCGAGCTGCGTGGCTGTGCTCCGAGGTGCGGGTACTGGTTGTGGGACAAGAAGAATCTCTCTGAGACTTCATTTTCATCCTTGCTTTACTGATGCTTCTGTTCACGACATGATGATTTTTCCATTGCGTCAAGGACTGATTCGGATGCTCGGCACCCACACCCCCTCCTCCAGGGCGACGTGGACACAGAGGCTCAGATTGGGGAGGGGGTCGGCGTGGATGGGCGGAAACGGTGCACGGGTGCCGAGTGACAAGTGGTCGGGTAGCACATTCATCATCATATCATACACACACACCAACCAGCTTCGAGCCCTTCGGCTCTAGCGGATGCCACGGCCTCGCGGCTTGCACGGCTAGATAAAAGTCTTGTTCTCGCCCCGCCCGGTGGTCCCCGGGGGGGAAGAACGTATAGACGTTAAGGCGTATAGCGTGTGGTGTCAGTGACAGCGGCAGTGATAACGGTGAGCAGGTGACTGCGGCATGACAATTTGTTGTCAAGGAAGCCCAAGGTGCCAAGAGCCCATCCCGCACGACTGGTGATAGGGCTGTGTTGTTCTAGCTCTGCTGGGCTTTTCGTCCCCGCGAACCGGATGGGTCGTTCTCCAAAAAGCCCAGAAGCCCAGAACGCCCAGCTTTCTGGGGCAAACAGCACTGCCTGACTGCCAGGCCGCCACATTGGACTTGTCGCCGTCATCGCCGTCGTGGACCTGCTGCTTATGGTTGCTTCTTTCGTGGTGCTGGCCGCTGACGGGTAGGCATGGGTGGACTAATGTGTGGATTTGTGGATGCCGAAACAGGATTGCAGGCGATTTGGCCCCTCCATTGACACCCTTTGTGAAGGATGAGGAGGCTAATGGTCTGTGTTAGGCGACCCGACAGGGGGGCAGGGGGGTTGACGCTACGGCTGGGACGGTATCTCGGGCTGCATCCATCGGCTGGTGTTGATGAATCTCGCGAGTCGGAGGTGCGTATGGCAACTGTCGTGAAATGTTAATTAGAGTGACCTCCATGACTCAACTATTCTGCCTCGTGGGCCAACTGTGATTTGGAATGCACCGCGTTATTCCCGATGCACGTGTGGCATAGTGGACCGCCACGTTGTGATGTGCGAGTACACGCACCATCATTACCCTGAAGGGCAACCCAGCGCGGGGGATACACTGCAGAAGCGCTCGTGGACGTCAAGTGGACGTTGGGGGAGTGCGATTCCGGGACATGATCGACATGGCACCATGCAGACACAGCAGTGACTGCCTGACTGCTCAGCCAAAGGCCGTGCCGTCGTGGTGATTGTGCTGGTGAGATTCGATTTTGAGATGAGATAGATTAAAGCACAGGCCGTGTGAGCCAAACCCACATGCCTCAATTTCTGCAAATAACTCAGAGGATCTGCCCACCCTACACTGCTCCGTATTGGCCTCTGTCGGCCTCTGTCGCCGCAACGCACAGTCCCGTAGCCAAGGGGCGGGGCCGACGCATTTCGCATAGGAGGTTGCATTTGCTGGTCGGATGCGGGCCCCCGATGGTCGACCGACCGCAAAGGCCGCGCGCCGTGTCAGCTCGTGGCACCAACCTGATGCTCGGGGGTTATTATTGTCTGTTGTTGGTTTTTGTTATAATTATCTTTGTCGTGTTATTGAAAATGTCGCAATACCGACCCCAGAAGGAATGGGCGAGCGACAGACGCGGCTGACGAGTTGCACAGCAGCTGTGGCACTCTTGTGATGCAGTGTTGCGACGACTTTCGACCCCAGAGCGGTCTGTATTACTGGGCGCCGGGTTTTGGGTTCTGGGTGTCGAGTCTGATGTTGCGGCACACGGCTGGCGTGGACTCTGCCTCAGAAAAATGCGGCGTGTGGCGTCCCGTCAGCCCGTGCAGCCGCCTGGCGCTTGGTGTTGGTCCCGCGGCTTTGGGGTCGGGAGTCAGGGTCGGGAGGTTCGTGTGCCTGCGTGCCTAGCATGGCGGTTAGACGGTGCTTATTCTTTATTGTTGATTACCTAGGTGAGTATCTAGGCAGTTCTCGGTTCCGAGGGCTGGCTTGGAATGTGCCGACAAAGAAGCTCCTGTCTTGTTTGGATAAGGTTGATGGTGTTGGGCTTGGGAGAGTTGGGTTGACTTTTTGGAGAGGCAGAGAGGTTGCTTCTGCCCGTTTGTCTGCTGTGGAATGGAACGGCTCGGCGACAGCGAGACCTGCCTCAGCTGCAGGGCACGGCCGACCTGACTCTTGACTGCTTGTGGTTGGGCCATTTTCGGCGGCGGCAGTTCCATCGCGTGGCCACAAGCTTTGATGCATACTACCTAGCAGGTACTGCACAGTTGAATGCAGACGGGTGAGTCGCTGTCGCCGGTGGATTTGACGTTGGATGGACCAGGACCAGCAGCAAGCAGCCTATGGTGCAGCGTGGTGTCGCATGGAGATGGAGCAGAGATGCAATGCACCAGCAAATTACTGTGTACCCTGCGCATACACACTTTGGTAGCATCCTGCCCGGGCTGCTATCCGCTTGCGCTTGCTTGGGGAGAGCTCCTTCCCAGCTTCCCCAGACTCTCAGGATGCAGGCAGGACCCACCTGGCCTCTGTCATTTTTCATTTGTCCAAGCAGTGGGAAGGTGGACACCAGGGCAGCAGGGCAGGTGGTCCCCAGGAATTTTTAGAGGAGCCCGCAAGTAGAGATGCAGATGCATTGGCTGATTTGAGTGTAGGATTGCCAGGCTGCATCCGAATCGGAGGAGGAGACGACAAGGAGGAGGAGGGGGCTGGGCTGAACTGTCAGATGGGAAGTACATAGATAGACCCGAAATAATGACTGCATCCGTCATTAAGTCAGTGCAATCCAGGACTGAGACTGAGATTGAGACTACCATCTGCAGGGCGAGGCATCTCTCTTTCCTTTACAGTAGTATTGAATTGATGTTCCCGCCGGTTGTCCTCCCGCCCTGACGTGGATTGTGAGACCCGTGCAGCAGCTGCCGTGCCTCCTGCTCATCAGGCTTGCTCCTGCTCCTGCTGGGCTGGCTGGCTGGCTGGTCCTTTCCCAACCCCAGGCACAGATCCCCCTTGATGGCAACCTTGTCAGATCTGGGCCTTGCATCCATGCAAGCCACACTATGCTCTCTCTCGTCTTGATGATAGTCTCATAATGTCACTCAATATTCATCTGTCCGTGTCGTCGGTCAGTCAGATGGGCACCCCCAAACACCCAAACAAGCACAGCAGGCAAATCAATAGTCCCGTCGCCTTTTCTCTCGCCTCTCGTCGCCTCTGCCTGTCAGCAACTCCCGTCTGCCGGTGATTCGGCCCAATTGCCATAGGCGGGCTCATGTTCTGAAACTTGCTGGTCCAGCTGGGGTGAAGCGTATCCGAAGCACCCTCAAAAGGTACCAAGACCGAGGCCAAGCAGCAAGAGGAGCCCAGGAGCCCAAGCGCCAGACAGACAGAAGGAGACAACAATGGAACTGTCGGTAGCCCTGCAACCAGGCTGCGAGGGTTACCCCTGCCGGCCCGCCCCAAGGCAGTCCAAGCGCGAGGGAGGGGGGCGTCACAGACCAAAGCCAACCTCGACAGGCTCGACAGGCTCGACCCGCTGCACACGTCCAGACTCCACCCTGTCAGGCTTGTGGCCGCTTGTCCCCCCCCAATCCTCCTCCTTCCCTCTTCCTGTGCCTCCCGTTCCGGGGTTAGCGCCCGAGTAACCCACACCTCTCTGGGTAAGGCCTGCCAGACAGAAAGAACTCACAGAGCCGTGAGCCTGTGCAGTTGCGGTCGGTCCAGCCTGGCCTGCCTGCCTGTCCAGGTGGTAAGGGTGGTCTACTCTACATAGGTACGCTACTGAGTGTACCAGTCAGTCGGCTAGCCCACCAGCCCACCAGCCCACCAGCCCACCCGCCCGACGCACTGGCTGCCGGACTGGAGACTGGAGACGTGCTGTAACTGCGCCGCCCTCGCCCGCTTTTCATTCCCTGCCCTCGTCTAGAATCCAGCCAACCTCCAACTCTGCCCGGGGTTTCATTTCATCACATTGCTCCCTCCCACCCGCCGCCACTTTACTCTACCCTCTTACTTTTAGTTACTTCTACGCCGCTGCCGCCTCCTCTGCTCCTCCTCCTCCTCCTCTCCACGTCAACCCTCAAAACCCACCCACCCCATCCCCGTCCGACTCGGACCCTCCTTCGGGAACCAAAATAATAATTCGTGGTCGCAGAGGGATTTATTTGCGCTGGCTTGAATAGATCGCTGATTTCCTCCTCGGCTTGTCTCCGTCAATGGACCAGGTTCGACCCGCCGCCTCTTAATTGACTTTGCTGTCGGTTGCCGCGGCTCGTCGGTCGCTTAGGCATGCCCCGTACGCCCTGAGCAGCCCAAACCACCACAACCACAGGCAGACAGGCAGACAGACAGACGCTTCTTCTTTCACCATGGCCTTCGACAACATCGACCTGGCCGCCCTGGCCAACATCGCCGTCCGCACCCTCCAGCACGAGATCCGCCAGGCCGCAACCAGCGCCATCTCCTCGGCAACCCCGTCGCCCGACCCGACCCTGGCATCCTCCGGCTTACCCTCTTCAACTACCCCGTTCGATGCCCCGACATCAACACCCCCGATTGACAACGGCGGCAACAACGGCCAAAATGGGCAGGGTAATGGAAACGGTGGTGGCGGCGGCGGCGGACAGGGCTCTTCGCCACTACTCTTCTTCGTAGCCCTCGGCTTTGGTGTGGTGTTTACGAACCTCTGGTGAGCATTTGGTTCAACCTCACAGCTGCGCATCGCATCGCCGCTGCGGTGCAGTGCAGTGCAGGTGCAGATGGCACATTGTTCTAATTCGTGATCGCCAACAGGATCATTGTCGGTGTTAAGTACTGCTTCCGTTACAATGCCAGGAATCGTAACATCCGGATGACGGGTGAGGACGGCGAACCCATCAACCTCGAGAATATGCCCCAGCACCCACGGCGCCGCCGCCGCGAGAAGAAGCTGATGACCATGGACGAGGTCAACGAAAAGTTCCCCATGATGAAGTACAAAAACTGGGTCGCAAGCCGTGCTCAGGAAGGCCTGCCCACTCGTGGCGGCATTTCCCAACCACCAAGTCGCGCGAATAGTATCCGGGACGCAGACGGCATCATCCCCACGATCAAGGGGCGCGAATCTACCGAGGACAGACCGGCGACCAGTGGGACATCTATCGTCAGAGAGACTACCCGTGAGCCGACCACGGAGCATGCCGAGAAGGCCACACCTACCACCACCGCAGACGGCGAGGCACAGTCAACAAATCACGGGACTACCAACGCCACAACAGCACCAGCAAGGACGGACACCCCTGCTTCCGATGATGAGCACTACGAAGACGAGGACGACCAAATCCACGATGCACTACCACCAGAGGCGCTCGAGTCATCCGGCGACACTTGTGCTATTTGCATCGACACCCTGGAGGATGACGATGATGTCCGCGGTTTGACTTGTGGCCATGCTTTCCACGCCGTGTGTCTCGACCCGTGGCTGACAAGTAGGCGTGCCTGTTGCCCGCTCTGCAAGGCTGATTACTACACACCTAAGCCGCGTCAGCCTCAGCCCGAGGGTGCCGAGGGGATGCAGGCTGGGCCGACCGTCTCGATTGCCCAAGACCCGCGGACGGCAAGGGCAAACATGCCTTCTCGACCTGGTGTTGCTTGGATTTTCTCGAGACGACAAGGACGGATGGGTGTACCGGGCAGGAGTAGAGATAACAACGGTTCGAACCAGACCCAGTCGCGCAGCAACACCAACGGGAGACGACAGCGGCGGCAACAGCAACAGCAGCCGCAGCAACAGCAACAGCGTACTGGATTCTTCTCACGGTCGGGTACGCAGCCATCATCACGCCCGACCCCAGCGGCGGCCGATAATGCCGCAGCACAGACCACAGAAGCGCGCTCTGGAGGGTTCCTTTCCTCCATCCGGTCACAACTGCCCAGCTTTGGACGGTCCAACGCGCAAGAGCAGTCGGCCGCAAATGCACAAGTCACACCGTCGGCCTTGGAGGCCGGTACTCGTGCGGATGCGGCGAGATGACACCAGGCATAAGAGCATTAGAATTATGAATTTGACGTTATTATTTTTGCCACAAAGAAAAAGGGTCTTCAATCCCACCCCCTCTCCCGAGTACATTTGCCGGAACTTGTCGACCAATCCCAATCGACATCTGTATATCAAACAACCATCATCTACCTCAGGACCCAGCAGCCCCTCAAAATACTGGATCTCTGTCTTTCCGATATTGGCCACTTCATACTAGGGCGGTCTTTTTCAGTCTACTGCCATTGTGGTGCGGAAGAGATACCGTGCGGCTGCTGCTGGACCAAACTCATATTCTGACATATATATGCATACGTATCGCACAGCTTGGCGTGACATCATCGAACTTCTTTCCCGGGTCGTCCAGGACGGGAGTGTGCTCGTCTCGATGCTTCTCCACCCCGTGGAGGGGTTCCCCATGGATTGGTTGGGTCTCTCGAGAAGACGGGGGAGACTAAGGCCACAGGGAGGCATGGAGGCTCGGGATTGAAAGCCATCCCCAGGACGCGGAAGGGAGGAAGGATGGATGGACTGGAAGCATGGATGGGTGTGGATGGGTGTGGAGGGGTGGGGTGGGATACCAAGCGCACTGACCTTTTTTTGGTCTCCTTGCCCCCCCTCCCCCCATTGTGGACTGTTGTTGTTCCTCGATGGATTTTGAAATCTTTTTTTCGGGGAGTTCTAGCCGTACCTTGTGTTTCTGTCTGTACTACTGGAGCTCCAACGGCGTTTGCATCTGGGACCGGGTGGGTGTGGGTTGGTCAGTCAGTCAAGTCAGTCGTTCAGTCATTCTGCGAATGGGATCCCTTTTTCTTTCCCTTCCGCCTGCCGTCGCTGATAGGCACGGGGGGTGGGGGGAAGACACAAAACACAAAGACAAGAGCTGGGCCGTTCTGGTCTGGTCCTGCGGGGTGTGGTGATATGTTTGTTGAGGTCTTCTTGCCCATGCATTTGAGGGTGGGTGATTGGGTGTGCTGTATATGTGCATTTCTCGAAACGGGTGGGTATCTACTGTCCACGGGTGTGATGATCCCGCGCGGTGAGCTTCAGATACGAGCACCTGCCTACTTGGGTTCCTGGTCCACACGCCCGCCCGCCCGCGGCGTTGTGCCCCAAGCAGGACGAGCCTCTGTCCGCCTGCCTGCCTGCCTGCCTGCCTGCCTGCCTTTCTGCCTTTCTGCCTTTCTTCTTCCCTCACAGGTAATTCCCCTTCTGGAACCGCCCGCCAAAGTCGGACGCCCTGTTCAGCAGCTCCTTGCGCTGCGACGCCGTGATCCTCGCCCCGAGGCCCATGTCCTTCTCGCGGTCGAACGCCCTCTTGCTCGGGTCGTCGTCCTCGTCGTCGTCGTCCCCGCCAGCCTGCTTGCCGCTGCCGCCGGCCCCACCCTTCCTGGCAGCCCGGTGCTCCTCGACCAGGCTCCTCCCGCGCGTCTGCTCCGTGAAGGCGCGGATCCTGTCCTGCTCCGCCGCGGCCGCCCGGTCTCTGGCGGTACTACCACGACCACCACCACCACCACTGCCGCCCGACCCGCTCTTCCTCTGGTTTTGCTCGTCCGCCCCGTCGCCGCGCCCCAGGACCGCATCCGCGAGCCGCTTGGCCTTCTGCTCGGGCGTCTCGGTCCAGATGCTGCTGATCCCTGACCCGCCGCCGCCGCCGGAGGGTCGGGAGGAAGCCCCCGCGCCGCTGGCGAACTTGCGCGCCTTGATCTTGGTCGTGTCCCGCTCCTGGTAGCCTGTTGGCTCGGGCGGGGCGAGCATCCAGCCGTCGCGGGCGGGCTTCTCTGGGGCGGCTGGGGCTGGGAGGGATGATGGGCCGGGGTGGTGGTTTCTTGAGGAGGGGGCGGTGCCGGGGAGGGCGGGGCCGTAGTCGTCTTCTGAGTCTGAGTCTGAGTCTGAGCCTGGGTCTGGGCCTGGGCCTGGTGCTGTTGTTGGGCGGGTGGATAGGTCTGCTGGTGGGGGTGCTGGGCCCATCACGCGTCTTGGCTGTTGTTGTTGTTGTGGTGCGGTTGGTGGTGGTGCTGGGCCTGTGTTGTCATCGTGGGAATCGGAATCGGAATCGGAATGGGCGGCGGCAGCGGCTGTGGGTGGTAGTGATGGCCCTATTGATGGTCTTTGTGGACCTGCCGCTGCTTGTTTTGGCGCACTTGGGCCGTAGCCATCGTCTGAGCCGCTGTCATTGTCGTCTAGAGATATCTCATTCTCGTTGCTGGGCCTCGGGGTCTTGGCCGATGGTGAGCCTGGGCTTTCGTCTTCGGGGCTGCGCTTCCGCTTGGTGAGGTGTGGTGGTAGCTGGGGCCCAATTGACGACATTGTGAGGGCCAGGCACTCTTCCGCTGTGTTTCTGGGGGTTTTGGCGTGTTGTGGAGATTCTGGTGGTATCTGGGTGGGTGTGGATTGTGGCTTCAGAAGAGAAAGAAGTGTGAATGAAGAGGAGAGGTGATGTTAATGCAGTGGAAATCCATGTAGGGATGTACCATAGGTCCACAGCATGGGTTGCCTGGACTAAGCTATCCAGGATTCCTTATCTTATCGGTGGTCCTCTGCCTAGGTGAGGGACCAGAGTACCAGCTCGCTTACCCCTGCGTGCTAGTCTAGCTGCGGATAGCTCTCGGTGGGCTGGGAAGGTGTGCGTAATTGGGGGGGAAGACAGAGGAATGAGGATGTTGACTGACTGCCTGACTGGCTACTGACTATTCCACCCACTTAGACCAATTCAGTCGAGAAAAGCCACTGTCTGTCTGTCTGTCTAAGTTGCCGCACTCCCACGACCCATGCGACCGTGCTTATTATAGTCTCTCTCTGTGCCCAGCTTGCCAAGTGACAGACCAGCCAACCCACCTTCGGCACCTCTAGGCTACTTATCATCCCACCGCGCGATCTCGATAGCTCCGGACTTCCCTGGAGTGCCTACAACCAAGCCCGGAGCCATGCCCAGCACCAGCCCGTCCCGATGAGCGCATCGTCAGAGGAGAGGGAAGATGCTGCTGGGGAGGACATGACAAATATCGCCGACCCTCCTGCAGCAGTCCAGGATGCTGGAGACGAGCAGCAGCAGCAGCAGCAGCAGCAGCAACAGCAGCAGCAGGAGGAGGAGGCGCCAGCAGCAGACCACCCCGCCGACAACCACAACCACAACCACATCATCTCCGATCTGCTGGAGGAGGAGCGACAGCAGGACTCGACCCTGCCGCCCTCCGAGGGCAACGGTCTCGCCCACAGGTACAAGGAGCTTGCTGCTGAGGACCAGCTGGACGCTGCCTCCGACAATGGCTCCGTAGACGCGCTGCCCAGGAGAGCCGGAAGTCCCGCCGACTCCATGCTCTCCATCCCGGATCGCTCTCCTTCAGTTCAGGTAAGACAGCCCGCAGCCCCTCCCCGCGTCATGTTCCAATCCAAAAGCTAAGTCATCATGCTGCTGTCAGGGCTCTGGTATTTCTTCCCCCAGTAGCAGCGTCCTCCCATCGCTCGCCTCGAGACCACGCATGGGCAGCCCGACCCCGTCCTTCCGACCATTCGACCGCCGCTTCCAGTCGCGCATCTCTACGCCGAGCAACCTGTCCCCAAGGCCATCCTCTCCGGCTTTCCTGACAAGCCATAGCAGGCATGCCTCCGTCACTAGCCAGATCCTCCTGGACACTGGTGACACCGACACCCCGTCGCCGCCATGGGAGGTCGTCAGGTGGACCAAACTGAGGAAGCTGAACGGGTCGGCCTTCTCAGAAGTCGGGAAGAGGAACTTTGGATCTCCGACATGCATTGCCGTCTCGACGCACATAGTCCTCGGCACCTCCAAGGGCATAATATTAATGTTTGACTACAACCAAAATCTCAAGATGATCATCGGGCCCGGCACCAAGGCTGTCGAGTGCGGCGCCATTGTCTCCATCGCAATATCGGCTGATCATACTACTCTGGGCGGTGGGCATGCTGACGGGAGCATCTTCACCTGGGACACAACGCGTGCATCTCGCCCGTTTCTCCATATCCCTCCCCTGGACGCCGCGCAGACGCAGAACCGCACGATGGATGGCCACATGCCGGGCGTCGCCATTACTCACCTGGGATTCCTGGGTACGAGACATACCGCCCTCGTGTCTGCTGATGACAGGGGCATGGCCTTCTCACATCTTGCAACGCGAGGCACTGGGTCGTTCGGTCGCACAGTCAAGACTACTAGGATATTAGGACGGTATCCGGACTCCAAGCCTCTCGCATCCGGCAAGACTCTGAAGCCTAGTACGGTTCTGGCATTTGCGCCTTTGCCTCTTGGGACTATCGAGCGTGCCACAGATGCTATGGGCCTGACTGCAATGCTGACCCCTTATCTCCTGGTCATCGTGTCTACCACGCCCATCGCACAGACACAGCACAAGTCGGCGAGGCCTAAGGAGGTTGCCGCTCACAGTGCTATGACCGGGTGCCTCTCGTGGTTCCCCGCTGTCAAGCTCAAGGTCGCGGATCCGGCAACCGGCAGCCAGACCGCCAAGGCAAAGCTCGTGTACTGCTGGTCTAATGTACTGACCGTCTTGGACGTCGATGAGATACCCGCAGAAGACAAGGACAAACCGCCAAGTCTCAAATTCAAGGCAAGGAGCCGATGGAAATGTGAAGAGGCGGTTGTGGCCGTGCAATGGCTGAGCCGGTCCGTCCTGACAGTCCTCACCATCAGCCAGAGGTTGATCGTCCTAGAGGACCGCAGCATGCGAATGACCGAGGCTTTCGACCTCATAGGGCGACACATATACCATTTCGACCTTTTTTCAAAACAGCTGCACACCTTGGTCGAGCAGCTTGACGAGGAAGACACCTCCATGCACGGCGTGGTTGCCGACGCCTTCTACATGAGCTTCAAGGCGTACAAAAACCGGATTTTCCTCATGGGCTTCAACGATGTCTCAATCGGGGCCCTGTCAAACTGGGCAGATCGTCTCATTGCGCTGATGGAGAATGGCGACTACGTTGGCGCTATTAAGCTGGCCACGCTGTACTACACCGGAGATGCAGACAAGCTCACTGTGGGATTGCCAGAAAACACCGAGGTGCGGCACACCATGGTCAAAGACAAGCTCCTGGAGCTTATGAGCGCGTCCTTGAAGTATGCCTTTGGCCAGCGACAGAGGGACCCTGAAGCTGTAGACGACAGCCAGCTGCAAGAGCTGAGCGAGACCTGCTTTACAGCTTGCCAGAGCATCGACAACATAGATTTCCTATTTGACGAGATGTACGAGTGGTTCGAGGATGCCGGCGTGCAAGGCATTTTTCTCGAAACGATGGAATCGTACATTTTGGAGAGGACTATCTCATCGGTCCCGCCCACTGTTGTCAAAGGCATGGTCGCCCACTTTGTTGGCAAGGGACTCGAGAGTCGGCTCGAGGAGATGATTTGCCATATGGAAACAGCAACCATGGACCTGGACCAGGTCACGGGCCTGTGCAAGCAGCACGGCCTTTATGATGCTCTGATTTATGTCTGGAATCAGGCGCTCGACGACTACATCACGCCGCTCATTGACTTGCTGACGCTTTTGATACCCTTGATGCGCGGGGCGGACGACGAGCCCTCAGGAAACATCTTGGACGAGGAAGCCTCCAGCGTCAACGCCCTGAAGATATTCCCATACCTTTCCTACATTCTGACCAGTCGGGTTTATCCAACGGGCGAGGCGATCGAACATGCACGATCCATGAAGGCGAAAGCAGAACTTTATTGGTTTCTCTTCTCTGGAAAGAGCATAACTTGGCCCAAGGGAAGCAACAAGCGTTTCCTCACCCGATCCAACCAGACCGACGAGCCATCATTTCCATATCTGAGGATGATCCTGAAATTCGATGCGCCAAGCTTTCTGAGCTCACTGAACGAGGCATTCGAGGACTCCTTTTTGAACGACTCCCCAGAGAAGCAGGTGAACGGAGGGGCCAGGGGAGATCTGCCGGAAGAACAAATATTTGGCCTCACAGTTGACCGCCAGTATATTGTTTCTATCCTGATCGAGATCATGAACCCGACCGATTTCGCAGCTGAGGACACCATTTACCTGGACATGTTCATCGCAAGGAATCTGCCCAAATATCCACAGTACCTACTACTACCAGGGTCAGCCCTGACCAAGGTGTTGACTGGGCTTTGCAATTCCCCAGGGGCGGATCTCGCAGACGATGCTCAACTGAGTGCTGAATATCTGCTGTCCGTATACAACCCATCCGACCTGCCCACGCTCATGCCGCTGTTCAAGAAAGCCGGCTTCTACCGAATTTTGAAACGACAGTACAGACTCGACAAGCAATACGGTAAGCTGTTGCAGACGTACTTTGAGGACCCAGATGACAAAGATGCGACATTCGACTGTATCGCGAACTGTCTTCGTCAGCAGACGGGGCTTTCCAAGCGTCAGATTGGAGAAGTGCACCAGGTTATCAGGGATAATTCAAGAGACTTGGTGCAGCTCGACCCTTCACGGGCAGCGAAGGTGGTGGAACTATACGCACCGGAGCTCCATCGCCACATCCTGGAATCCAGCAACGACGAGCCAGAGTTGCAGTACAGCTACCTCAAGGCCATCCTGGAGCCTGCGGTCGAACGCACGGAGGACTTCAAACCGTCGGCCGAAAGAGATTTGATCGAGCAGTATGTCCAACTCATGTGCAGATATGAGCCCACCCATGTCTCAGACTATGTGGGGATCGTGCAGTCGACCAATCTGCGGCTAGACAAGCTGTTACCTACCATGGAGGAGACCGGCGTCATTGACGCAGCGGTTGTGCTGATGGCGCGCGAGGGTCAAGTACACGAGGCCATGGAGAGGCTTGTCAAGCAGTTGAACACGCTCGAGTCTGCTCTGCAGGGTCTTGTTACTGGGAGTAAGGAGGACGACGCCTATACAGACATCCATGCCCCTACTGCAGATCTTCTGAAAGGCCTGCAAAAGTACACGCATGTGGGGATCTGGCTCTGCCAAGGGCAGACCAAGACGGCAAAGAGATTGACGGCTGGGCAACGCAAGAAAAAGTCCATGTCTACAGATGATCTGTCACCCGATGAGACATTGTGGCTCAGCCTCATTGACGCAACAGTCCAAATCACGCGCCGACTATCAAGCTCGATCCAAAACATTGCCAATCAAGCGGCCCCGAATGCCGAAGAGGGCAAGCAGGTCAACGCGATCGACACACACCAACAAGAAATCGACACGGAGCGGTTAGTAGGCCTCCTCCGCTCCCTCGTCCAGCACACCTTCACAGCCCTGCTCGCCGCCACGTCCACGCCCTCGACGCAGCAGCAGCAGCAGCAGCAGCAGGGCGGCGGCCCCACCCGCGTCCTGTCCACCACGGCGTCCGCGGTCGGCGACAACCTCGCCTTCCTCCGCATCCTGCGCGCCTTCCTCGCCAGGGCCGCGGCCTCGTCCCCGACGCTCGCGGACCTGCGGGCCGTCCTGCAGTCCATCTTCGCGGCGTACGCGTACGAGGAGTCGATCCTGCGCCTGTCGAACCGGCTCCTCGAGCGCAGCCTCTTCGTGGGCGTGCGCCGGGCGGCGGGGCTCCGGCAGCGCGGGTGGCGGCCGCGCGGCTCCACGTGCGAGGCCTGCGGCGTGCGGCTCTGGGGGCCGGGCGCCATCTCGTCTGGGATCATCGACGCGTGGGAGGAGAGGGCCGCCGCTGAGGAGGGGAGGCGGCGCGCCCGGCTCGCCGGCCCTGGCGGCGGGCGGACCGCCGAGCGCGGCAAGGGGAGGGAGGAGGTCGGGCGCGAGGGGATGGTGGTGCTCGATCATCACCTTGGCGGGGCGAGGGCTTCGGGGGTTGACGGGGGTGGTGGTGGCGGCGGGGGCAAGGGGGGCAAGGACTCGTCTGTGCCCATGACGCCTGAGTCGTTTGAGGCGCGGACGCCGCACCGTCGGGGCGGCGAGGGGTCGGCGCCCGAGGAGGAGGATGATGACGAGCAGCAGCAGCAGGAGGAGGGTGGTGCAGAGCAGCAGCAGCAGCAGTCGCCGCAGGCCGGGGGGTCAGCCGCCCAGCAGCAGCAGCAGCTGGGGTGCCGGCCGCTGGTCGTGCTGGCGTGCCGGCACATCTACCACCAGAGCTGCCTCGAGGCGCTGCAGCCGCGGGATGAGGCCACGGGGGCGAGGAGGCATGTTGATGAGTATGGGCGGGAGAGGGAGTACCGGTGTCCTATTGATGGGTAGGTAGATTTAGTGAGTAAGTAGAGAAAAGAGAGGGGCTGGCTGCTGAGAAATGCATTTGTTGTTTCTATCTATCCATGACTGGATTTGAGGAATACGTGTGTTGATGTGTGTTTTGCTACGATCCATGTGCTTCTTTCTGTGTCCTGGGCATTGGGTTACGTCCGTGTCGTGCGTGGGCTGGAGATGAGGAGCTCGCTTTTGTGGACTCTCGGGTCTCGTGATGGTGGTTGATTCGCACCTGGGGATTGATCTCAAACTTGTTATGGCATTTTTTTGGCTGGAGATTCCTGTTGTGGCTTAAGTATTCTCTGCCTTGGGACCATCTCACACGACGTTTTGTCCACACTGGAGGCTGTTCTATGGAGGTTGTCATGAGAAATTACCCTAGGACAGTGAGGACACTGTCCTATAGCAGACCGTCTCATCACGCAATGGGCTCTGCCCAAGTGATCGAAGCTTGTAGTCACCGAACACAGTGTCTACCACCGACGCTGAAGCTTTCTCGATTTTCGACCTGGTCTTTGCAAACGGTCTGCTACAGCTGAGACCTCAAGTGTTTTTCACTTCCTCCCTATTTGCGTTCATGCACCCCCACTCCCGCCATCCTTCCGCCTTTTCTCGGTTGACTTGACAGCCACCTCAGGTCCACCTTTCGATTTCTACTTAACTTCGAGCAAGTTATATCCATTAGTTAAGTTTACTATATGCAAACTTTTATAGTAACTTCGTAATCTCTTATAAACCCGTCTGCAGCCAGAAGCCGCCATTCTACGCTGGCAGCCACGGCGTTGGGCCGTGCCTGTTCGCGTCGGCGCCGTCGAGGTTGAAGCCATCGCGGGCCGCAAGCTACTAACCTAGTCTACCGCCGTCAAGCACTCCCACAATACTACTAGTATTTTTAACACCCTGTCCAGCCCATGAACCTCTCTGAGAGAGAGCTCGCGGGCCATCAGACTCGACCACACCTTTTTCCTTCTCTTTGCTCGTTTCCACCAACCGACTTTACTCTCTTCAACGTTGGCCTCGAGACCTCCACGATTAGTCTTTCCCCGTCTTGCCATCGCCAAGCAAAAGAAAGGTACGCACTTGTGGCAGCACAAACGACCTCAACCCATCAAGGCCACATCGAGCACGTCCACGCGTCACAAGCCCCTCCAAGCCACTGTTCGCAACAGCACCTCCGACCGCTTCCTCGCAAGTGGATAAAGAAAGCTCAAGCTTCCACAAGGCGTCAAAATCCACTCGTGAATCTGCTACGTAACGAGAGGCGCACTGCGTGTACACACAAACCTGGGAATCCTCCTCGACCTCCCCACTCGACGGACTTTTAGGGCAATTACACCCTACCCATCGCATCAAATACGCTTTGAGGCCTTCCTGTTGATCAAGATTTGTCAGCTTGGGCCTGTTCATCCGGCTCGTAATCACCCCTTCGGACACACCAGGGCTCTGTGGTCGCCATGGACGCCACGATGGACGACGCTGGCACAACGCTGCCGACAGCCGAGCTCACTTCAGAGCAGAGCGGCATGACAGACATCGGCATGCAGGTGATTGAAATCGACTCTTTGAATGAAACTGTCAGAATGGAGCTGCGCAAGTCTGAGATGAACAACGATGAAACGACAACCCTGGCGCTCAAATCACTCCTTCCAAGGCTGACTGGCCTTCAGAGCAGCCTACGCAAGCATTTCGACACGCTTGCTAACCCTCTGATTCGAAAGCTTCACATTTTCAGTCTGCCTGAGGAGATTCTAGTGATGATTTGCAAGGAAGTGAGAGGCGACATCCAACCTGTACGGTTCGTTCGTGCTGTCGCCAATTTCAAAGACATCAAGAGTCTTCGTTTAACCTGTCGACGCTTCTGCGGCTCCAGTTCTCATCTGCTCATTCACGAGCTCAGTGTATCACTGACAGAATCGTCACTCAAACGTCTTCACGAAGTCTCCCTACACCCTGCTATCTCCAAGGGTGTGCGAAATCTGCGCATCTGTGTTGCCCTTCAAAACCCTGCTTCCCCAACAAGCCTGACAAACTTTATCCACCAAGTTTATAGGAAACTGAAGAAGGACTATCAAGCAAGCCTCCTTAATATGGTTAATCACCTGTATCTTTTCGACGCTGATGCTGATTCCATAGGGAGCAGTTGGAGGCCGGGGTATGGGCCTCCGAGTTCGTTCTACACAGACCGGTCTATCAACAATCTAAGAGAGCACAAGGAAGCTTTGTTGTCATGCGACAACTACTTGCGAACCAGAGCCTTCTCGTCTAGCGATGATGAAGTTATGAACTCCTTGCTCAAGGTCCACAAAAAGTGCATCCAGCTTCGCCTAGATCAGGAGAGGCTGCTTCACTCTGACTTTGCCGCATTTGCCGCAAGGGTCGCCACAGCAGTGAAGAGGATGCCCACGATAACGGATTGCTTCATCACTGACCTCCCTGACGAGTTTGAAAAACAGGAGTGGGACGAAACTCTTCAAAGCAAACGCTACTTCAGTGGTATCCAAGAAGAGTTGCTTGAACCCAAGTTCTGTGAGGTATCTGAGGCGACTTCGTTGCTAAAACGACCGCTACTCTACCAATTGCCGGTCGCAGTTGCCCGAGGAGGGAATCGCCTTACGAAATTGGAAATGTTCCTATGTTCGAAAAAAACACAAAAGGTGGCACTTGGCGAGCAACATATCAGGGAACTGGGTGGCGTGGCTGAACACTTGGAGGAACTGTGGGTTACATGTACTGTGGCCATGCGAGATATTCATACTGAGCGCAGGGCGGGGGATCCGGCCACCCTAACCGAGATGATGTCCCTACTTTTGCCCAGCAAGAAGCTCAGGTCCGTGAGTCTTTGTTTCCGGAGAGAGGGGGGCGGGCCTCAGCGGTACGAGGCCCACAGTGCTGGGCCGTTGCTCGCGTTGCTTCCTTGGGCCAACCTCAGACGCATATCGTTGCAGGGCATCTCCATCAACTACAAGGAGTTCAGGGGGTACCTCGAGAAACTGCAGCCCGGGGCTGTCATCATGCTGTCGTGTGTGCACCTCCTGAGCGGCCATTGGGCCGACCTGCTTGATGTGCTTCGAGAGAAGGCCAACTCCGAGTCATATGCGGTGACACTGACGAGCCATGAGGATCAAAACATAGATCATTACAGGTTCGAAGTGATGACCAGGGAGCATAGGTGGGGATCAGTAAACACTGCGAGTGAATATATCCAAGGCAAACTCGCGGCGAACCCCTTGAGACCACGTTGAACCTAAGACAGCACAGAGGAGGATGATTCGGGCTCAGACGAAATGGGCACAGAGTAGTGGCCGTGCCAAAGCTCCAGAGGATGACCTCGGGATGGGACCTGTCAAGTCTTCAATGGGACAGCTGAGTCGTTGGTATCCAACGACGCATGAGCCCTCGGCGACCATGACCAATTTGGCGGCAGAAGGAAAAAGGAGCAGAGACACAAAACGGGGAAGGAAAAAACATGGACACGGGTGTTGCTACGGAAGTCGTGAGTGGAGGAGTCGAGACTCAAGAGAAGAGTCTCCAGTCAAAGATGCCCACCTGGGCAGGCTGGAAAAGTCTAGTTAGTGAGAGGAGGCGTGGGCTAATATTGGCCAGACGCAGTCTGGCAGACCTCTGTGGTCGGCCGTCTTGGGCTGCTGTGCCGAACAAACCCTAGCTCCTCTCATAATTGAAGTTTTGATGAACCATGATTCCATTGCTTTGCACCGATTTCGTCCAGCTCGTGTCTTCATATCTCGTAGCTACCACCTCTGAATTCATAATTCTGAGACTCCTACCCTCCTAATCCCCTGCCCTCCTAATCCCCTGCCCTCCTAATCCCCTGCCCTCCTAATCCCCTGCCCTCCTAATCCCCTGCCCTCCTAATCCCCTGCCCTCCTAATCCCCCGCCTCTCAACCTCAAACGTTTATTAGTCTCCCATTCTTTCAATCTCGGGGATAATTTATAGGTGACTGACTACACGTCGTGATCTCGGATAGAGATAAGCATCGATGGCATCATTAGTCAACATCAAATCACATAAAACAAAAGACAAGTCTTCAAAACTTTAAATCCCCCCTTTATACAGGGGGGTAGAGGAATGAAAATTGGTATCACTATCCCATCTACCTAGGAAACATCAAAAACGCCACGATGCACACATGCAATGCGAGAGAAAGAAGAAGAAGAAGACCACATCGGCCCTTCACCTCATATTTCTCTGATGGGTGCAAATGCAAGTTCTGAAAAACCAGGGGAAAAACAACAACAATGGTATCTTGAGCGGGCCCAGCCTCGCCGATGCAAAGACAGGAAAAAAGGAAATGGGGAAAATGCAAAAGTCCAACGCCATCATCCATCCATCCCTTCTCATGAATCCCGTTTCCGCGTTTTTCTCATTCATAATGCCTGCCCTTGAGAAATAAAAGGGGGAGAAAGAAAAATCATTTCCTTCATATGCCCATACCATTCTGTCTTCATTGTGTCTCATGCCCTGGCTGGTCCTGCCTTGTCCTGTATTGAATTACCGGGTGACCGACCCCTTTATCCTTGTTTTGGTCTCTGCCCGCCTGACCATGCCAGCGCGAATCCGGTTCGAAATGGTGGTTGGTGATTGGTGGTGGTAGGTGGTGTTGGGGTTTGGGTGTGTATGTATGTACGTTCCGGCCGTCATACCGGGCGATGATGGTGAAGGGGTGACGATGGTTGATGCATATGGACAATTTGAATAGAGAAAAGGGAAAAGCGGTGATTGGAGTGAGGGTGAACGGAGGGGGGAGAGACCCTTATGAGAGGTTGCGCTCGATGCGGGATCGCCTCCTCCTGGTGAAGGGCTCGACGGCCGGGGCGACGCCCGGCGTGGGGATCACGAGCCCGCCGTTGCTGTCCTGGCCGACCACGCCGGCTGCGGCGCCGCCCGCACCTGCGGCTGCGGAGGCAGTCACGGTGACGGTGGCCACGCCCTCGGTTACGGTGACGGTGCTGAGCTCGGTGACGGTGGCGCCGCCGGCCGCCGCGGCGCTGGTCGCCGACGTGGCTGAGGTGGTGACGGTGGAGAGGGTCGATGGCGCGCCACCTGAGGCGGCCGGGCGGCCGGTCGGAGCTGGGCGACCAGGAGAAGCACCGCCCGCCGAGCCAGAGTTACCGCTGCCATTGCCATTGCCGTGACCATTGCCGTTGCCGTTGCCATTTCCGTTGCCGTTGTCATTCCCGCTGTTGCCGCCGCCGGTTCCAGCCAGATCCGGTGGCGCAGACATGCCAGTGTTGCTGCTCGAGTCGGCAGTGGCGCCCTCGACGCCGACGGCGAAGTTGCCGGAGAGCTCCTGGGGCACGGCGGCGTTGTCCCAGGACTGGCCCTTGGAGAAGGTGTTTGAGAACTTGGCCTTTGACTTGGCGCCGGCGCCGGCGCCCTTGCTGCAGGCCGGGGACTTGACGTCGCCGAGCTCGTCGGCGCAGGGGTCGACGACCTCGACGTCCATGCACGAGGTGTACGTCTCGGGCTTGGCGACCTCGACGCCCTTGTCGCCGACCATGGCGTTGGCCTTGGAGAGGGTGGGCCAGTCCCAGACCCAGTAGAGGGTGTAGTCGGCGCCGACGGTCAGGTCGGAGGGGAGCTGGATGTCGGACTGGCACCACAGGTCCTCGCCCATGGGGTTTGCGGCCGCCTTGTTGAACTGCTTGGTACGCGAGACCGAGATGTCACCGCCGTTCTTCTGGTAGCACTGGCCGTCGTCGTAGTTCCTCGTTGCCAGGAGGCGGCCCCGGCCGTCACCGCCAGTGCCATCCGTGTTCCAGACATTGTGGATGGACATGAGGGTGTCGTTGGCGCCGGGCTTCTCTGTACCGTAGATGTAGATGGTTCCACGGTTGCGAGGCTTGTTCTCCTGGGTCGCTGGGAGCGTGACATGGCCGTTCTCCTGGTGTCGCATGGCAATCCAGTCACCTGGTGCGGTTACCAGCTTGGGGTACTTTGGGTTGTTGTAAGTGCCGATCTTTTGCTGGGGAGCGCAGAGCAGGTCTGTGGGTAAGATGACAGCGCCCTCGGCACGGTCGTTGGGAGGGATCTGCCACAGATCGTCCGAGACATCTCCCTTGAAGCCTGGGTCGCCTCGTCCAATGTAGCCACGCTGGTATCCCTCGGGTGCGATCATGGTGCCGTTGGGCGCAATGCGGTTCAGTTGCTCAACCCAAGAGTGGGCAATGGTGGCTGGGATGCCCGAGAGGACAACGGCAGCCGCCAGAGCACTCTGCTCCAAAATCGAACGGGAAAACATGTTGTCGAGTAAATGTGAGTTTTGTCTTTTTTTGGGTGGTCTGCTTAAGTCAATCAAGCTGGGTAGAGTACACGGCTAGCGTGTGTAAATTTCGCAGAAATTTGGAAGCGCAAAAATGTGTGCGGCAAAGGTTCAAAGGTTTTGAGTGTAGTTGTTGAAGATGCCTGGGTGAAATTGGTCCTCGGCCGTGGAAATATAAAAGGTCGAGACGGGTGGCGTTGAATGGTATTGTTGTTGTGCGAGCACAATGGGATGAAAGGGGTGGGTTGAATGAGGTTCGGTCAAACAAAGCTGGGCGTGTCAACGGCCGGCGCAACAGTCAGACCTGCTGATGAAGAATAGAAGAAAAATGAGAGAAAAGTGGTGGTATGATCACAACAGCATTGTGAGTAATGAGTTGATTTGACGGCGGGAATTGGTCCAAGAAAAAGGTGAAGGCTCGGGTGGAAGCCTGAGATGATGACGAAGCCAACCAAAAGCGAGGCCCTTGTGCCTTTACTTTTGGACAATCGAGTGGGTATCGTTGAGCAGCCGAGCGCAAACAAGGTCAAGGTGAGCCGAGAATAAAGGCCCGGTCAGGTGGTCAGGTGGTGAAGGCCAGAATTGATATGGGCCAGCTGGGTCGGATGGGCCGAGGAAGCGGTCGCAGAACGGGGCCTCGATGAGAGCTGCAGATCAGATGATGACTTGCAGAGAGATGAGTGTGGATGTGCAGAGTTTGAGTTTCGATGTCGGTAGAGAAGGACAGAAGAAGGGAGAGTTAAAAAACCGCTGGAGTGGTAGACGTGGTAGACGGGTTCGGATGGTGACGACGGGCTGCATGCAGGTGGATGGAGCCGATGGAATCACTCGGCATCCGGACAGGCAGGACAGGTATCCGTACAGACAGTAGGTGACTGCGAGATATCGTGTTTGATCCCCGTGGTGGGCCCCAAGGTGTGAGGGAAGGCATCCAGGCCTCTTGGGAGGAAACGAGTGGCCGTGGAGGGTCGAGGTTGAAAACAAAAAAAGACCTGTTTGCAGAGGTTGGGCGCGTGTTTTGTGGATCTCGGCCCATGCGACCCATGTGCGTGGCCGTGGCTGCGTGGCCGCGGCTCACGGGCAGGTGGAGGGGGTGAGGGGGTGGTGTTGGTGGCACGCCGCCACTGGCCCCCAAGACTCCAGACTTCATCCCATGTCGAATAAGCAGCAATTTACAAGACCCCGGGACTAAGAATACCGGCTAGAGTGCCAGACGGTGCAGCAAGGGGGACGCAGTCGGGGCAGACGGGGCAGTCTCAAGCATTGTGACTGTCGCATGTGGGAGCAGCCCATCCAGCCATCCCGGTGCTACTGTGGCAGACTGTGGCAGACTGTGCTAGTTGGGCAACTCCCAGATGCTGGTCGCAAATCACCCATTGCGCGATAATGATATGCGACCAGGATCTAAATTATGGGGCCGGTCTGGCTGGGTGCTGGGCAGGCTGGCAGGCTCTTGCTTTGTCTGGTCTCATTGTGTGTGAGCATGTTAACAAACAGCCAGAAGGGACGAGTAAACGCTTGCCGTTTCTGGTGAACCACTGTTCCTGACCTTCTAGCGCCCGGGGGGCCAGGGATCATGTACCCTCGCACCAATTGCTGTGCCGGCAGTGACCTCCCCGCGGCTAATAGACCAATTTGTCAACTCGTCAGTCTGGAACACTTGCCCCGCGGAGCAGGGATGACCCACCCCTGCGCTCGCTTACCCCTAAGGGTGGACCTTGGGGCCCGTGCGCCCGAGCCGTTTGGCCACTCATTCCGCAGTTCTGCTTAGCTCGTCTGACCGACTGCCACGCCTCGACATCCAACCACTTGCACAGTCAGCAACCACCTGTGCCCAGGCAACCAGGCAGTCTTGATCCCTTCACCGGCCTGACCGACCGACCGACCGAAGCACAGGCACACAGGCACACAAGGCACATGTGCCAATATGAGACACCTGCTATTCAAACACTGTCCAATCTGCCCTGATACCACCACCCTCCGCGCTTGATCGCACACTGTCCTGTGGAGTCGGCGGCTATGGCTGCACCACGTCGACTGCCCAAACACCACAAAAGCAGCTCGCAGCCAACCATCCTGCAGCAATCCCCACCCGCCGCCGGCCACCATGGCCCACTCCACCGGCCACGTCGACGGCCCAGACCGCCCTCTCACCACTGGTTGACTTGTCGCTGAGCACTGCTGCCGCCCTGGCACGAACTTGCACGGAATGGCACGAACTGGCTGGCCTGGCAGGGCGCCATGGAACCATCATTAACACGATGCTCACCCTATTTCTTGACCCCCGGGCCCCGACCACCTCGTGTCTTGGACTACACAGTATCGCACTATCGTGTCCTGTCATCCTCGTCTGCCGGGTTGTCGACGCCTACTCACCGACCCCCCAAATCTCGGGACTTTGTCTCGGCGCAACACCATCGGCCACCCAACAACCCATCATCCCCGCTCCCGCTCCTGCGACAGTCCTGGTCCTGTCCATGTCCACGGCCCAGTCCACCAACATGCTCTGCCTAGCTCCGCCAATACCGTACACCCAGCAGCCTGACCCGGGCTCATTGGGCTGAGATCGAACGCCTAGGAATTCCGTGCGGAATCGGGCACTTCCCTTAGCTCGCCCGACTAGCCAAGGTCCAGAATTCTACCGGGTTTCGTATTTTCTACACCATTCACACGCAAGCCAGACCTCCCTCGTGAGCCAGCGCCCCAGGGATCAATCCATATCGTCAGTGACTGGACGGTTTCCTCGCATGAGCTTCCTCTTGGCCCACTCGAGTCAGCTCATCTTCTGACAAGCAGTCATCCTGTCACTTGTGCTCGGATGGTTCGCGGCATTTGCATCAGTCGTCCTCCCGGCTGGCAGACTTCTGAGTATATCTCCTGATATCCCACGATCATGGTCTTCTGTCGAACCTCTATGTGTGGCCAAGACACGCCGTGCCTGCCAGGCCAGAGGTCCGAGTGTCTACCGGCATATTGATTCCCGCGGATGGGGGCACTCCCGTCTCGCCGTCCAAGAAATTCCCCTTCCGGTCACTTGCTGTCACTCTGACTCTCTGCATGGAGGCGTTAGTCGCTCCTCATTTGCATGGGGTGCTGGGCCTGGTCCGACCGCACTGAAACACCTCCCTGCCAAGCGCCCATTTTCAAGCTGCCGATAGGCTGTCGATCTCTTTGAGCCTCAACACCCAAAGCGCCGCTACAGGCAGGGGTCCCCGGTCCCGCGGCCCCACAGCTTCCCCGGCAAGGGCCCAGAGACGACGACCACTTTATCTCCGTCAACGATGCTCTGCGCTACAGTCTGCAGGATATGGACCCGCAATACGCGCTCAAATCGAGCTGAGCGCTTCCTCGTCGCTGCGTCCAAAAGACACCTTCTCGGCCTTGTTTCTCTTGCTGACAAAGGACGAAACATACACGAGCTTGCTCGAACACCACAATCCGCTTTTTAAGCTTCTCATCCGTACCGGGCGAAGGTGAAGGTGGTGATCGTCTGATATCACGACCCACAGTAGCCAATTGCTGCCTTTGTTCTGTTTGCCCGGAAACTCGAAATGTAAAAGCAAAAAGGCCAATCGCGGCTCCGTGCTTGAGTTTCAAGGCCCAGCTCCAATCAGGATCCCAACCCAAGGTCGACTCTGGGTGGGAAACGTTTACTGTCTGTGCTGAATGAACAATCAGCAGATATTACCTGCATTCTGCATTGCATTAGAGGCCCGAGGCTGTCCTCCGGGCACTCGTAGTTTGTGACAGAAAGATTGTAGACATTTTCCAGACTCCATGCAAGGCCGCGACTAATCACTCGCCACAATTATCCCATGACCAACCCACGCACGCCTCAACACAATAAGCCAGTGTGCCACACACTCGCATGTGGGTATCGTGAAACGCCATAACCCCTGGGTTTCATCCGATACCCGGCAAACGTCCCGAACATCCCAAGCCTGTCAACCGGACCCTGTCCATCACGCCTATCACATTTGCCCCACGCCTTTCCGTCCAATCCAAAGGAATTTAGCATCTGACCTCCGTCGACGACCCGGGCCCAACCACCAACTCCCAGCTTGACCCGTGAGCCAGTCAACCAGCCACGCGACTCCAAATCTGGCATGCCGGCCCACGCTGCCGACGCCCATGACTGGCTGACCGGAAGACTGTGCGCCTCGGTCACCCAGAGCAGCAGGCATCTGAACGTCAACTCAGGCGGTAGCGGAGATTCTTGTGCTGGCCGGCGGGTGCTGTCGTCACGTACCCCGCCATCGAGCCCAGCGACGAGTACGCGTCGTCCCCGTCTGCCTCCTCCCTGGAGCGCTTACGGCCGACCAGCGGGCTGAGACCGCCGGACCCGCCTAGATACTCCTGCCCAGACCTGGAAAGCCCGTCATGATGGCGATGCTGCTGCTGCTGCTGCTGCGGCTGTTGTTGCTGGTGGAACTGGTGGCCGAACGTGCTGTCGTCCCAGCCCGCCGCGGCGGCTGACTGGCTGAACTGCGCCGAGGCATCCTGGCCGCCCCCACCGACGTCGCAGCTGGTGGGCGTCGGCGCGGACGTGTTCCAGAGGTCGTCATCGTTGGCAGAGGCCCTGTGCTGCTGCTGATGCTGATGCTGATGCTGCTGCTGCTCGAGCCGTTCCCGGGTCTCGAGGCTGTTGTGCATCCGCTGCAGCCCGGCCAGGTAATGCTCGCTGGACGGCGTCCTGTTCTGCCTCCCCGCCGCGTCGGAACGCACAACCTGTGCGCAGGCGTCATACGGGTTCTGCATCTGCCGCGCGCCGTCATCAAGGGGGTTTGGCCCCGTATCCCCGCCGCCCAGCCCCGTCTCGTCGGTGACCGCCATCGAGAGCCCGCCGGCGAGGTCCGGGTGGCCCCAGTCCAGCGCGGCCAGGGCGTTGTTGCCCGCGTGGGCGGCGCTGTTCATGCTGGACCACTGCTGCGTGGCCAGGCCGGTCAGGTCGGCGGCTTCACACCCGGGCAGGGTGGTGTCGCTCTCGTCGTCCTCGGGCTCCTCGTAGAAGCTGTTGTTGCCCGTGTTGTAGGGCATGTAGGACTCGGCCGAGAAGGACCCGCTCGTCATGAAGCTCGCCTCGGTGTTGTTCGAGGTCGTGGCCGGCATGAACCCCAGGCCCTGGGCCCCCAGGTCCTGGGCGTGCACGCCGATGCCCGACGAGGCGGCGTCAAAGGCGGCGACGTACGACGAGGTGAGCGCCGCGGACGGCGGCGGGGTGACGAGGCCGTTGGCGAAGCCCCCGTGGAGGCTCAGGTTCGACGGCCCGTAGGTAGGCATGGGGGAGACTGGCATCGACGAGGGGTTCGAGTGCGTCCCGCCCTGCGGCATGCCCAGGTGCACGTTCCCGCCGGGCCACGCCGCCGAGCTGAAGTTCTCGGCCATCTGCGCGTTGAGCATCTGCTGGTACGTGGGCGACGGCGACATGACGACGCGGTCGCCAATCTGGTGGGAGGGGGCGGCGGCGGCGGCGGCGGCGCTGCTCCCGCTCAGCAGCATCCTCTCCTGGTGCATGGGCGACAGCGGGTCCACCGCGGTGAGGAAGCGCCAGTTGGTCCCCGCAGGCGTGGTGCACAGCTTCTTCTCCTTGTCGAAGAAGTGGATCGTGTTGAAGGTCCAGAGGATCACCGCGCGCCGCGTCCAGTTCAGCTGGTCGGGGGCGCCGGGCGGCGCGGGCGGGCTGGACCACAGCTCCTGGAACATGGCGGTGGCCTTCAGCAGGTCCATCTGCGTGACGACGTCCTCCTCCTTGGCGTCGTCGCCGCCGTCCTCCCCTCCCTTCTTGCCGCCGCCGCCCTCCTTCTCCCTGGGCAGGAAGTACCGCGGGTACGTCGCGCACAGGTCCAGCGCCTCGGCCCACTGGACCTCGGGGAAGGGGACGGACCAGACGTTGCCGCGCCGGCGCTCGCGGCAGTCGCAGGTCGGGTTCCGGTCGTGGCACCCGCGCACGTGCGTGAAGACGTAGCCCATCTCCAGGTCGTCCTTGAACGTCGTGCCGCGGCCGTTGGAGCACAGCTCGGGCGGCCGCTCGAGCCGGGTGCGCACGCACCAGTGGTGGCTCTGCAGGCTGGCCTGGGCGACGGTGATCTTGACGAGGGGCCGGAACGCCGAGCCCTTGGGCAGCTTGGTCAGCTTGGTGATGCCGTGCACGTCGAGCGTCAGGTCCATGTGGATGATGTCGCACTGGCCGTGGGTGGAGCCGGCCCCGGCCCCGGCCCCGGCTCCGACGCTGGGACCCCCTGCCGCCGCCGCCGCCGCCGCCGCCGAGTGGACGTGGGCGTTCTGCAGGTCGTGGTGGTCGATGACGCTCTGCAGGCTGGCGTGCAGCTCCGGGTGGTCGACCTCCCACTCGTCGCAGACCTCGCGCACGGAGCTGGACTCGGTCTGCTTCATGTCCCAGTTGTACTCGTGCAGGAAGGTCTGGCGGATGCTGCGGTCCTCCTTGTCGCGGGCGCCCCACTCCTTGCGCCCGCTCGTGAACTCGTACCGGTGCGGGAAGTCCCAGTGCGGGAGGAGCCCCTGCTCCGGGTGGTACGTCTTGACCTTGATGACCTCCTCCTCGCGCTTGACGCCGTCCTCGTCCGTGTAGAAGCGCGTCTCGGTCGACGACTGGTCCCGGATCAGGTCGTTGGACAGGTACAGCCAGCACATGGACGGGCTGACCTGCACCGTCTGGTTCATGCCCAGCAGCTGCCCGAAGTACTCGTAGTTGGGGCGCACGTCGGGCAGCCGGTCCTCCTTGAGCGCATTGAGCACCGGGTCGTCCTTGAACGACTTCTGGTCCGTGTTCTCCTTGTACCACCGCCCCGGGCTGGACTTCTTCTTGTCCTTGCCGCTCTCCTCCGAGCCCTTGGAGAAGAAGAAGTGGTCTGCGTTCACCCAATACAGCACATTGGTCAGCACGGGTCATGAGATGTGCTGTATTTGGAACAACAGGGCAGGGGATATTGACGACAACAAGGGTCTTACGGGGACTTAAGCCGCCGGAGACCGCCGTGGGACGCACTGCACTTTTGTGCATGGCCAAGAAGATCTACGGGTTCGAGATCTCTGCACGGGATAGTCCCACCTCGACCAGCTCGCCGGGAACCCTTGGACCCCAGCGGCACACACAAGCAAATGACATGTCATGCAGAATTCCCGCAAGCAAGATCAAGAGAGAGAGAGAGGGGGGGGGGGTTGAAAAAAAAAAAAAAAAGCTCACAGGCGGGGTGGAACCGGAAGAAGTTCTTGATGACCTGGATGTGGCTGGACACCTGCTTGCGCTCGCGGTACCAGTCGTGCTTGACTTTCACCCAGCACTGCTCGTCCTCGCGGTGCGGCTTCTTGGGCGGCTTGCACTGGCACGGCTTCACCTCCTGCATGGTGTACTGCGGGGGCGGGGGCGCCCCCGGCGGCAGGGTCTGCTGCTTCCACGCTATCCAGATGTACTCGCAGATGAGCATGTTGCGCCCGTGCTGCTTGCCGTGCATGTGGTACTTGCGGCGGCCCATGTGGACTATCAGGAGCAGGGCTGTTTGGTTCTTCGGGTTAGCCTCTCTCTCTCTCTCTCTTTCTTTTTCTTAGCATGCTTAAATCTTCGATTTTGCTTTCCCCATCTGTGAATATGGCTTGGCTTGGCTTGGACATGGGCCATGGTGCGAGGCTGAGAAGGGCAGGGATAGAAGGAGGAGGAGAAGGACGGGAGAGCGCTGGGAGTCAGAGGAGGGGGGAACTGAAAGAGGAAGGGTAAAAAAAAGAAAGGGCAAAAAAGTACCGTCAAGAAACGCATCCTCAAGGATGTCGGGCCACTTCTGCTCGTCCTTGCCCTTCTGCTTCGTCCGGTACTGGCGGAACTCGGGCGACAGGTAGACGGGGTTCACGCTGTGCCTGCTGCCCGCCCTCGCGAGGTTGTGCTGGTGCCGCCGCAGCCTGAGCGCCGACGTGCCCCCCGCCGCGACCAGCGCCGCCGCGGCGGCGGCGGCATTGTGCTCGGAGCCGAGGACGCCACCGCCACCGCCGCCTTGGTGTTGTTGCTGCTGCTGCTGCTGCTGCTGGTTGTGGTGGTGATGCTGGTCCTGCTGTGATCCCGGGGCCGACGACGACGGCAGACCTGTGGACCCGAGCGCCTGCGTGGGCAGGATCGGGGCCGCCGGGATGGCGGAGAGCGCGTGGCTCAGGACCGGGGTGCAGGAGGCTGACGAGGCTGCTGATAGCGAGGGCAGGGCGCGCTGGCCGTAGGGGTAGTGAGGGTGGTGGTGCTGGTGGTGGTGGCCTTGGTGGTGCTGGACGTTGCCCGTCGACTCCTGGAGGGGCTCCCTGCCGCCCAGCCGGGCGAGGTAGTCATCACGCCTGCTGTTGCTGTTGCTGGTGTTGCTAGTGGAGTCCTCATACGGTGAGGGCCCGACGGCGTCGTGGTGGACGACGTACTCGTGCATGGGCTGGCGCGGGTGGGAGTGAGGGTGAGAGGGCGGCGACGGCGGTCTCTGGGAGGGGAGCACGGCGCGGTGGGCATCTAGGGCGCCCAACATTGTTGTGGTGCGCGGCGATGTGGTCCCGGTCGATTCCAGAGGGGCCGGGGCAGGAATTCAATCAAATGCTTCACACAAGCAGGGCTGTTTTGTTCTTTGCCTCTTTTTACTTCGTGCCCTTTCGTTTCTTCTCGTGTGCGGACAACTGCCTGACGGACTGAAGAAAGAATGGAATGGGTCCGTTTGGAAAAGGCACACAGAGAGCGTGAGAAGTTACAGTAAAAATGAATAATGGAATGCCTCTACGGCGTGTTTGGAAGGAACGTGATGATGTGTGATGACAACTTCTGGGAGAGAAAGGAAGAGAAGGAATGAACGCTTTTGACTGAGGCGAATGGGGGCCTCTGGTGGGTTTGTTGAAAGGAATGCCCTCCAGGAACAGGGGAATTTTATCATGGATATTTTTGGGAGAGACGAGACAGAAACACATACATAGATACACACAGCCTCTCTCTCTCTCTCTCTCTCTTACACGGACCGAGTGACTGACTGGCTGACCAACTGCTAGCCCCGGAACTCTCGCGTCAACCCGTTGTGTTATTTCCCCTGTCCATCCCCAAAGGGAACATGAATCCGGGATACCAAGAACAACAAGGCACTGGGGGAGGGTGAGGTACCTCGTCCCAAGCCCCCAGCCTAAACATATCATATGACATTGGGAGAGCTCACTCGTTAAGAAAAACACCACCCCCTTCTCCCCTGGCCCCGCAGAGAGCAGGGCAAGGAGTACAGAAAGAAGCCTAGCCAGTCTCGCCCGCTCGCCCAAACGGGCTTCTCTTGCCTTGCCGGGTTGGCCAGGCCAGCCCGGTTGGTTGGGCGGCCTTGTGTGAGGACGCATAGCTTTAGGGCGGAGCGAAAGAGCACCACCCATCCCGAACCGGACGGGGCCCATGGCCAGGATTGACCGGGGTTCAAAAGATCTCGCGGGTACGCACGCCACTGGGTGGCCCTCCCCTCTCTCGGCGGCGGGTGGGGGGTAGGAGGGGAGCAGATTCACCCCCGGCCCTGGCCATTGAAGATGTTTGGAAAATACCGTCCCGGCAAGAGGAATGCAGGGGTGATTGTGTGGTCTGGGAGCTTGTGGCACCGGCAGCTTATGCAGCGTATGTGGTCCGGCCACATGGGCTTCCTAGGGCGGGGCACATCCGCCGGGAGGCATGACATTGAGATTAGCGACAGACATCGTGTTCAAAGCGAGAGCAGAGGGACTAGAGAGAGGATACTCAATCGTAGGGGGCGAGGGGGGGCAAAACTGAGGTCCAGATTGGGCTATCGGGTGGGGCGTGTCAAAATTGGCGGGTGCTGGTTTGTGGTGAAGATCTCCTTCAACCAAGGGATGGACAAGACAACGAAAGTACTCGCTTGTCGCCTCCCCTTGTGCCAGCAACAAAGCCAAGAGAAAAAAAATAGAAAGAGTGAGCAAAAGATGGGGGGGAGTCCAGGTGGTATTATTTTAGATCCCGTCGGATAGGCCGTTTTAGCCCTAGCTAGCCCTTTTCGCCATCCGACGACACGTCTCGTCGAGTCGTCATGCGTTATCCTCGTTGTCATCCCCGATCTCGAACTTCTGTCTGGCACTTCCTTTCCCTGCGGTGAGCTTCTGCAGCTCAACCTTGTTGACTTGGCCCCCGATCTTCTTCTGCATCTTGGCGATTTCCTCTTCTGCGTCGATGGCTTCAGCCTCGGCGTAATCCAGAACCAACTTGCGCCCGAGCAGATGGGTGTCTTGGAGCGACTTGATGCAGTTCTCTGCCTCCCGTGGCGACTCGAATTCCGCAAAGGCAAACCCTCGTCTGTTGTTTATTTTCGCGTTAGTAAATGCGGCGAAATAATGAGTCAGTGAGGGAGGGGGTGTGGGCCACTAACGAGGAACTGTTAAACTTCTTGGGAATGCGGACGACTCTGAGCTTGCCGTAAGTCCCGAGCAAGCGGCGTAGATCGGCCTTGGAGGCTTCAAACGCCAGGTTCTTGACGACGATCTTGGTCCTCTGGCCTGCCGCCTTCTTGGCCTTGTCTTCACGTCGCCTCTCCTCGGCCGCATCATGGCCCTTGTGCGATGCCTTTACGGCGAGGGTGTGATTATCCAGGACAAAGCCATTCATAGCCTTGACAGCAGCCTCAGCCTGCGCCTTCGAGCGGAAGTGCACAAAACCGAAACCCATGCTCAACACCTGACCCGGCTTCTTGGGGTCAGTCTTTGTCTTCACCTGTGCCTTGACGAATCCGTCCAGGGGCTTGAACGCATCCGCCAGCTGTGCCGTGGTGGTGTCGAAGCTCAGGTTCTTGACGTAAAGTGATGTCGTTTCTGGACTATCCTGGTCCTCAGCCTCCTCCAGAAGATCCGTGCCAGATAACTTCTGTACGCCAGCAGCGCGCTCAGCTTGGGGCTGCTGAGCGGGCGGTTGGTGGCCCCCAAACAGATCTGCGGGCGCCTTCTCAAGGAACAGAATGGACGAGCCCAGCCTCCTATAGGCCAGCTTCGCAAACGCGGTTCTGCACGCAACGGGCTGTGAGAACTGGACTATTGCAATCGTCTTACTTGGTGGCATCAAGACCTGGAGCACATTGCCGCCGGCAGCATCCTCGAACAGCTTTCGTATCTCCTCCAGACTCGTGCCGAAGGGAATGTTCTTTACCAGAATGGCCGTGTCTCCTTTCTTCTGGGTCTTGAAGGCCTCAATATTTACTCCGTGGGTTGCAAAATAAGTTTTGGTCTCTTGGATGATTGATGTCTCAGCTACCGCCTGTTTCACGGCCCCATCAGTCGAGTGGGGATCGAGGAGCTCTGATTTGGAGACTCCCAGGCGATCTGCAGTTGACGAAAGCACAGCATCTTGGTTCATGTAGAGTGAGTTCCAGTTGAAAGTAGTGGTCGATGCTTGTGCCTTCTTGCGCAGAAGGTTTTGCTTCTTGAGTGGCAGTTGTGAAATGGCAAAGTCATCCAACTGCTGGTCCTTCTTTGGTTGACCTGGGAGGACGTGCAGGATACGTCCTTGGAAAGGCTTGCCATCCGCATCCTGCAATGCTGCAATGGCAGAGCCTGGGTCCGAGAATGAGATGTGGGCGAACCCCTTACCTTGTCCCGAACTAGAGACAGGAATGTGTACCTAGATCTGCGTCAGCGCGTTGAATCTTTGATCAAGCTGAGACAAGATGACTGGAGGGGTTCGTCGTTCAGACAAGTCGAAGCATCTACTAAAATAATCGACCCAAAATATAATCATGTGCCTTTGGCATAAGATGTCCCTATCATGGGTTCATCACCACGACGGATGTAGTTGGAAAGGGGGTTGAGAACCAAGGGAAAAGCTTGCTTACCTCCTCAGTTTCTCCGTACTTGTTGAAGTATTTGGAGAGCTCGGCCTCGGTGGCCTTGAAGGGCAAATTCCGAACAAAGAGCCTACCTGTGCGAAGGACCTGTTCCGTTGCAGTCTCCTCGCCCGTCTTCTCAACAGCATGCTCGCTGGGTGACTCCGAACGAGCACGCTCGAGCTCTGCCTTCGCCGGAGGCGACGGTCCACTCGCCGTCGCGGATGGGGTCTGGGTAGAGGGTGCGGGAGGGCGCGGCCTTGCTGACTGATCATCCGGATCGACGAGGTCAAGTAATCTGTTCGTCCGTGACCTCAACCAATCATCATCTGTGGCATCAGTTGGTCCTGTCGCGTCCGGCATATCTTGATCAACGTCCTGCGGTGGATTGATCACTGGCGGAGGAGCATGGGCCTGCGCGGCTGGTGCTTCCTCCACCGCTTCGTCACGGTGCTTAGGCTTCTTGGCTGGGATGGTTTCGTATTCATCGTCACTCTCGGCATCCACCGGAACGACTGCCATCTCCACATCCTGCTGTTCACCGGGCTGTTGACCGTAAATTCCTTCGAGTTTGCTCGAGGTGGTCTGTCCCGGACGCATCATGTCCAAGTACTCTTTCAGCTTGGGGTCGGACTCGTCCACGCCCTCCCTCTTCCTCTTTCTGCCATTGGCATCATCCTCCTTGGCCTTTGGCTCGGGATCGGGGGTGGGCAACTTGTTCTGGGTACGGGGCGCGACCTTTTTGGCAGTCGGCAGGGAGGGGTCCGAAATGGGTCTCGCGATCTCGACCGAGATCTTGGACAAGCGGATGTAGGAACGGTTGAAAAACTTGACAGCCTTGGCTGCGTCCTCTGGAGTCTTATAGCCAACATAGCCGATCCTCCTCTTGGGGATCAGCTTGATGTCTGTGACTTCGCGGCCGCCGGTAGCAAAATGTTTTCGGAAATCGGCCTCAGTGATGGTGGGCGGCAGGTTCTTGACGAACAGCCGCGACGACTCTACGCCTGCAGCAGACATTCTGATCGACGGATGGTACTGATCAGAAGAATCGCCTGCTTAGTTGCGCAACACCTTGCCTTGCAGCAACGAGCGTGTTGTTGGGGAATGGTGATGTGGGAGAGAAAGAAAAAAAGAGGGAGGAGAGAAGACGAGTTGCAGTCTTCAAACAGTGGCAGGAAGATGCGCGGTCAGTTGCAAAATAAGCAGGCAAAACTTTTTGGCGGGTCGAAAATTGGAGACGGCGTCTTCCCCACACTCCGTTTCTACGGTCGGACGGTCGGGAGGTCCGTGCCCCACCACCGCCTTCCTTGATCGGTCCTTCCGTTCAGGGGAGCTGAGCTGAAGCGGCCCAAGGCTCCCCAAAGGCTACTGCGGCTCTTTGTGTGATAGAGTTCCCCGGGCATCAAACGACACGCCCGCTCCCAATCGCCTCGGCTGCCCTCTCTTCGACTCCCACCCACGCCGCAACGACCCCCAAAACTTCCTCAGATCCCTCAAGGTACGAGATGAGATTCCACAGCAGCGTCTTCCACAAACCGTCAGAATCCGTGGCAGTTGGTTGGTTGGTTGGTCGCACGGGAATGGGCGAAGCGCGCCGGCTGGTCCGCGTTCGGAAGCTTGCTGGCGCAACTCGGCCCAAATGCCACTACCACGACCCCGCCCTGCTTGCGACAGTTTGCCCTGTTCTGTCCCATCACGACTAACGCCTGGTGATCATATCAGCACTCGAAACACACCCGCCCACAAACAGCCATGGCAGTCGAAGGAGGCGCTACTTCCCCGGGCCCTCGGGAGAAGCTCGATGCTCAGATCAAGAGCGCTGACATGGTGAGGCCGCCACCTGTCTATCTGGGTGCGACTGTGGCAGCACCTCGCTAATACAACGGTCAACAGACGGAAGACATGCAGCAGGAGGCCATCGACATCGGTAAGCTGGCTCGTGACGGCTCGCTGGGAAGGACGGGGGTTGCGCGGCACAGGCGCTGACAGCAGGAATAGCTCAAGAGGCGATGGCGAAGTTCACGATCGAGAAGGTTCGGCAGACATGCGTCTTCCCCTCGAGATGAAGACCACCATCACCGCTAATACGATGGACGACAGGACATTGCGCAGCACATCAAGCGAACGTTCGACGAGCGCAAAGGTCCCACATGGCATTGCATCGTCGGACGCAACTTTGGAAGCTTCGTGACCCACGGTATGGACGTTCTCTTCCTCACAATTGACCGACAAACAAAAGACGGGAGACAGGACTGACTCCCCAGCACGGCAGAAACCAAACATTTCATCTACTTCTACCTCGGACACTGCGCCATCCTTCTCTTCAAGACGCAATAGACGACGGTCGCCAGACATGAAGAACAACAATAACTCTTTACACCCAACAAGCCACGGCACAAAGTAGTAACTAGCGTTGATTTTCTCCAGTGCAAGCAAACAACGGCGCCCTCCGGATTTCCACAAATGCGGTCGGGGTCGGGGATCAAGGGAGTACAGGCCCTGGGGTTGCGAACCTGGTAGGGAAGAAGGAGACATTTCTCTGTTTTTTTGCACGTTATTTAATGGGCAAGAAGAGGAAGAAGAAAAACAACGAACCCCTTATCTATTTGCGGTCTAGGCTGGGAGCGACTGCACCATCTTTTTTTTCGCTTCGCAATAACATCTTGTTTAATCTCTGCTTTCGAAAAGAAAAATTCATCTCACACAAGAGACTGAACCATTACCCCTGATCTCCATCGATGATCTCCCGGACTTGACCCACGCAGTAGTATTGACAGCAGTGGGGGAGAGGAGCGCCGCGGAGGCGGACGCGCAGGAATGCTCAGCAAAGGTCTTGAACCCTCAATCACGGCAGGGGCCGCTCGACATTCCAGCAAAGCAGGGGCAGAAAACAATATTGGGAGCGGTACATTCCGTCGAGCGTCTCTCTTTTTTTTTTCGTCCCCCTTCCCCTCAGGAACAAGACGAGCAGCCGGATGGCAACTCTTCGCGGCATTACCCACCACGCAACTAACTATGAGACCCTGGTTTGCTCACCATCTCGGAAATATCACCAATAGCGCCCCCCTCCCCCGATCGTCATACCGTTAAGCTCCAGCAGTACCCGCCGCGAGCCTACGTGACCTGACTGAGACTTGCCGTCCCTACCAAGTCAGCCCATGCACGCTCGTAACAAGGCCACCAAGCACATACATACACATATACACTCATACACACACACATATACACCGCCGCCGTTCTCCGCCCGAAACTATCTATATACCTTTACCCGTGTGCGGACGTAACGTAGTGGTGCCCCGGCGGACGGTGTGAAGGGATCAAGTAAAGCCCCAGAGGCAGAAGCTAATGAGAGAGAGTCGGTAAGCAAATCCGGGCGCGTGACTGATCGGTGGGAAGTTACGCACGCACTGCTGCACCCGGAGCAAAGTATTGGTGTAGTTAGTCCTCAACGGGCAGACGGCCAACAAGGGCGCCCGCGACGTTCATCTCAGCAGCAGAACCTTGGAAGTCAACTCCCCTCCCCTCCCCTCCCCTCCCCTACGGATATTATGCCCCTCCCCGGGCCTCGCATTAATTGTCAAATTAGAGGGAGAGAGAAAAAAAAAAAAAAGAGAGAACAAGTAAACAAAGGACAATAAGACAAAAAACTAAGCCTTATGCAGATGCATGGATGCATGGACGGACGGGATGCCACGAGTCAAGCCCGTAGCACCAGGCCAACCCTACCACCGAGTATCCATAGCCGCGGGTCTCCGTACACGCGTATACCCGACTCGTTGCGTGCTTAGAGTTCGTCACAGAGGCGGGCGTGGTCTGTGTTGTTGTTGTTGTTGTTGCATAATAAGCCAAGGGTGAGAGTTGTACTCCGTAGGGGCAAAGAAAGAGCCCCCGGGGTGGGAAAATGCGTATCAACCTTGGAACCAACCAACTCATGCACGACGTGGTGGCTTTACTGTGTGTGTGTGTGTGTGTGTGTGTGTGTGTGTGGCCCCAACAACCAGGGAGGACTGAATACCCAAGGGAGGAAGGACACACAGTAAGTAGCACACGCGAAAATAGCATGTATGTTGAAGCGGGCCATCACATCCCATCATATCAAACCTCACTCTCAGCAGTAGTCAAGTATCATTATTTCACGAGAAGTTTCTTTCTCTTCAATTCTTGGTATCATGAGTCCCTGCCCTATCCTGTCCTATACACAGGAGGGAGGAAAGGGGATGGGGCTTTTCTTCAAAACTACTAAGTAGGTGGGAGGAACGAGAACGAGCAGAAAATGAAAGAAGCAGCAGCAGCAGCAGCAGCAGCAGGAAGAAAGGAAAATGCTATGACCGTGAAAACACCTTCTTCCCTGAGACCCCGGCGGAGGGGAGGGTAGGGGGACTTGTGGTTTCCCCATTCCCCTCAGCCAAACAATGCAAAGACCAGACCCGTTTTGTAAATGCTTTGAGAGACGTGATGATGTGAGGATGCGAGGGGACAGTATTTAGTCCCGATGTGCTGTGTATGCATTTCCATGACGCGAAATTATGAAGAGAGAGGGAGGGGCGGGGGGAAGAACAACACAACCAAAAGGAAATTCGCCATCCTGGAAATCTGCTGCTGCTGTTCCTATGCATACCCATAGTAATATTTCTCGTTTTCCGTATTTCGTTCGTCCCATCGTGGCTTTTCTTTTTCTTTTTCTTTCTTCTCCTGGCCCCTCTTCTGCTCAAGCTCAGACCTTCTGCGGGACCTGGGAGTAGATGGAGCTCTTGAGCTCGTCCAGGCTCTCGTGCATCTCCATCAGCTTCTCGTACTTCTCCTTGTTGAAGCTGCCGGCCCGGGACAGCTCGCGGTGCAGCTGCTGGTACACGACGTAGTGCATCTTGAACCTGCGCGCCTTGTCCAGGAGCTCCGTCGACACCCGCTGGCGCTTCTTGTCCGCCATGGCCACGTCGATGGTGTCCTGGTCGGCCTGCTGCTGCGCCTTGCGCTTCTTCACGTTGATGTTCCTCCCGTTCGCCACCGTCACGCTGCGGTCGGGGGACCGGTCGCGCTGCCGGCCGTGCCGGCTCTCGTCGGTGGATGTCTGGTCAAAGTCCGAGGCGTTGGTCGGGGGCGAAGAGGCAAGGGGCGAAGACTTGATCGGGCTGGTGTTCTTGTACTTGCTGGGCAGGCTGCTGCCCGCGTTGCCGTTGCTGCGGGATGAGCCCTGCGAGGCCGAGTCGGAGCGGGGTCGCTTGTTGGCCAGCTTGGACGAGGGGGCAGTGGTCGCCTTGACGTCCCTGTTCACCCGCTTGCTCAGCGGTGTGCCTGAGCTGGAGCTACTGTCGTCCTCGGGGTCCTCGCGGGGCCGCTTTTGGACAGCCGGTCGAGCCACGACCTGGGACCTGATGATCTCCTTGGGCGCAGCGAGCTTGGGCTTCGTCTTGGCGGCTGCGGCTGCGGCTTCCTTTTGCCTTGCCTTCTCCGCCAGCCTTGCCTTCTCCCTCTCGCGCTCCCTCTCACGCTCCTTTTCTCGCTCAGCCTTCTCCCGCTCGCGCTCGCGCTCACGCTCCCTTTCGCGCTCCCTCTCACGTTCCCTCTCACGCTCTTTCGCGCGTTCTGCCTTCTCACGCTCCCTCTCACGTTCCTTTTCTCGCTCGGCTCTCTCTCGTTCTCGTTCTCTCTCCCTCGCCTTCTCCCGCTCCCGCTCCATGTCCGCTGCCTTCGACTTGGCCACAGTTTTCGACATGGGCGCGTCTTCCGAGGAGGAGTCGGAGTCCGAGATGATCTCCTTGGACAGGATGCGGCCGCCCTTGGCCTTGGCGCCCGCCTTTGCACCAGCCTTCGTGGGCGACACCTTCGGAGTCAAGGCCTTCTTCTGTGACAGCAGCTTGGTCTCGGTCTTGCTTGGTTGCCTCGTCTGCGAGGAAGATCGTGGCAATGGGGAGCCAGCCTTCTTCTTCTTCATTTCGATACCAGACAGGTTGCCGTCTCCATTCCTGCTGCCGCTCGAGTCTTCTGCGTCGTGGACCTTGATCTGCGGCGTATTGGCCTGGGCAGTAGCCGCGCTCTTGGCGATTGTTGCCTGGAGTTTGCTAAGACATTTCCCCTTCCCGCGCTCCTCCTTGGGCAGCAGCCTCTGCCATACAGGTTCGGCAGTACCCACTCGCATGCGGTCGTACATCTTGATGGCGTTGTCGATAGCCTTTTGCCGCTCGTCATCGTCGTATCCATATCTGAACACGTCGAGTTCCTTCCAGTACATCCTCTTCAGAGTGTACTTTTGTCGGGTGCTGTCGAAATCGGCCACCTTGTTCAGGGCAGGCTTGAAGTCGCTGTCGTCACTCGGCCACCTGGACTGGAGCTCCTCAAACGTCATCTCCCTGACGGCCAGCTCGTGCACAATAGGCGAGCGGAGCTCCTTGGCCTTCTCCTTTGCCAGCTCGTCGGCTGATAGCGTGGCTCCAAGGGAGGGAGACCCGGTCCCGCTGAGGGCAGGGCTGGCGGCACCAGACCTGCTGATGGTGGTGGTGAAGGTGCTGCCCTTGCCCGAGGGGAGCAGTTTCGCCTTGCTGGTCTTCGAGCCTCGCTTCACGCCCGAAATGGGAGTATTGACGATCTTGGTACTGCAGGGATGCAAGTTAGCTCAGACCACTTCCACAGCCTGGTCCGCACTACACACCCGTTCTCCAGCTTGTCATTCTTGGCCTGTGCCATGGACTTCTTGAGTTGTGCGATGTCGTCGGGGAGGTCGGGATGTGGGCTGCGAGTTGCAGCGGGGGCGTTCGCCGGGGCTGCCTTGTCCTTGACCACCACGCGGCCAGCGGCCAGCTTGGGGTACTTTCTCAACTCGGGCCTCATGAAGAGAGACATTGTGGGATGTGGCAGCTTCTCTGCTTCTTGTGCCGAGTCTGAGGGGTCGGTCAGGTAGAGGTCGAGGCTTGGTATCTCGGCGGTTTTTGGGATCTTGTGGACTGCTTCCCTGCCGCAGAGAAGTGACTGTAGGTTTTAAATACCAAGTCAGCGGCCTGTTTGCCCCAAGTGATTGATAGGGGGTAGTAGAAACATTCAGAGTGAAGCATAGTTTCGTCCAATTGAAAATACATTGTCCCCGTTTGGGACCCTGTTGTGAAGCTATTGTTGTTGCTGTTGCAGTCGAACAATAGGAATGCCTCTCCTTCCATCCCAACTTGAGAGGGGGGGGGGGGGTTGGTTGTGGGTGTGAGACTTCTTTCTGCCTGTCACTTACGGGAACATTTCCCAGGGACAATTTGACGTCGCCCCCATTCTGGACACGCTGAATCAAGTCCTCAATCACATTGTCACTGAGAGTGAGGGCAAAGGCCTGCAATGGGAGGGTATCTGCAAATTTGGCCGAGCTCTCCAGGTGGAGGCCGGTGTCGGGTATGCTCAGAACCATGGCTGCAGACGATGTATGTTCCACCTCGAGACCGGGACTCTGCACCACAATTACCAGCAGCCGAAGCTGTCAGGAACCGGGCTGAGACGAGTCTATGGGCGTTCTCGTTGTGCCTTATACCCCGTATATTGAGAGTAGTCTATTCGGGTCTGGATTCGAAGGGTGGGAGGAAAGGAGGGATTTGTTCGCGGGTGGTGGGCGGGCAAAGCTGGGCGGGCTGGTCGGTCGGTCCTTGCAGAGAGAGCGGGTGGATGATGTCTTTGGGTGACGGCAGTGATCGTAGGTACCGTGGAGTGTGGGCTGCTGCTACGAGGGGAGGGCTTGTCACATAGCGGTTCGATAGGTTGTCACCGGGAGAGAACAGCAGGAGAGAAGGTTTGAGGGGATCTCGGAGGGAAGTGAGCAAGCGAGTGGGCGAGTAGGTGAGGAGGAGAAGAGGTTCGGCGGGTGAAGGAGAGGGCGAGGAGGGATTCCTAAGAGAGGCGGTCGTGGTACGAGGTACATGGGGATGGGATCCAAGGAGAAGCGGAAGAAAGAAGGTAGGGTAGCAGGCACGGCAGGGTACCTGGTCCAGCAGGTACTCCGTACTCCAGTCCCAGTCTCCAAGCCCACCTGGGCAGCGCGGCGGCCCAGAAGGGCAGAGTGTGTGTGTGGGTGGGCGAGGTGTGGGCATGCCGGAGTGGACCGCTCGCAAGTCTCCCCGAGGTCACCCTGCCGGGGCGCTGGCTGGGTGCTGGGTGCTGGGCCCTGGGCGCCCTGACGTGTGCAGGGTGTGGTCGGCGGACAGGCCCCGCGAACCCGTTCCCCAGCGGGCTGTGACAGGCCCACGGGTTCCAGGGCTGGCCTGGTGGCAGGCTGGTGCCCGCCTGGGTGCCTGGCAAGCCTGGTAGAAAGAGGTACTGGGGTACTTGCAGAGTACCTGACAGCGCTGGCGGGCAGGGCAGGGATCTGGGGTCGGCGGATGGGCACGATGGTTTAGCTGCATCCATGGGCGCATGTCATCAGGTCTGTTCTGTCTGTTCTGTCTGTCTGTCTGGTGGCTCGCTTGCCTCACCTGGCCCTCTCGCTTGCTTGCCCTCTTCTTGTTGAGCGAGGCAAGCGAGCAAGTGAGGGAGCGAGCAGCACAGGACGGTCCATTGCTGTCAGGTCCCAGAGGCAGACCGACCGACCGACCGACCGACTGACTGACCAGCCGCACGTGCGGGCTGGCTTCGCTTCGGCTGGATGTCTGGGCGTCTGAAGGGGCATCTAAAACGGCGTGCCTTGTTACCCTTGGTCGAGATCAATCCATGCCCACGGCCACGGCTGTCGATGGGTGCTGGCTGCTGGGGTGTCGCGGGTACGGGAGTACGGGAGTACGGCAGTACCTGGGTACATGAGGCCCTGTACCGTGCAGGCCGTGCGGGGTAAACTGTACGTGGACGTGGACTGTCAAAGCCAGGTGCAGATGCAGGTGCGTTCTGGGAGAAGTGTAGAGCACACAGTCAGCCAGCCAGTATCTAGACTACTCCGTAATCCGCCGTCTTCTTCTTCTCTTCTCTCTTGGAATCGTTCCCTTTGGCATTGCTTCTCTGTCGTCTTGTAATCTCCAGCAGCACACCGCAGGACACAGGCTCGACAAAAAAAGAAGCACGTTTCAAAGGGCATTGGCCAGGGTGAGGGGGGTTAGCCTACAGACCCTACACAGTCTGGTAGTTGGCCTGGGCTTGGTGTGTTTTATTTGCCTGCCCAATGTCCATGGGTGCGTTATGTGCAGTACTGTGCCAACCGAAGTGGCTTTCCCCATCCAAAACTTCTTGTCGTGCCTTGTCGTGCCTGTCGTGCCTGTCCATCGGCCAGCCCTTGTCCAGCCCACCCCACACCTCATTCTCGCCCGACACCGCCAATGGGCCCATCCCGAATCACCACAAAACTCCCCGTCGGAGCACGCAGGGAAAAGGAGGTGAGTCTGCGCAACAGGCCGCCGAGAATGAATGATGCAGAAGATGAGGATACAGCTCAACACGAGAGGGAGAGGGAGGAGACAGAGGAGACAACAGACAGCACAGAAAAGGGGTGCTTAATCCATCCAGACACCACCACAGCACCACAGCACCACAGCACCGCAACCTGCTGCAAGTACTTACGTTAGAGTTCAGGGCCGGTCTGCCATACCCACCCCTATTGGGAGTTGATTCAGATCCATCTCTCGCATGTCTTGCCCAGGCCTGCCTTGCCCCTCCATCGGGTATGGCGACAATCGCTCGTCCCTCACTCAGCAACGCCGGGGTCTTCGGCTCTAGCTGGCCAAGGGTCCTCCTACACTAATGTAGAAATCGTCGTTTTCTACACAGTGTGTTGGTCTCGTCGCGGCTAGCCTGTCGACCCGGGCGGGAAGTCCCAAGATGGCCCATCCCAGTCCACGCCTGCCCATCCGCCACCCCAAGAAATGTCACACCCAGCACAGCGGGATCGCTCACAGAGCGACTGAGGGATCATCCCTCTCGTGTGACGCCGCCTCTCGCGTCCGTCGCCGCCCAGACATATCGCCCGCCCACCAGCTAGTTGCACATGGAGAAACAGGAGACTGATCTCGAGCAGAAGAACCCGGGAATCCCAAGATGCAGCGGACTGACTTGGTTGCCCAAAGTCTATCGCCGTCCCCGCCACAGGCCAAGACCACTTTACCCTGCGTATCATCGGTGCGACTCGGGCCCTACCGCGGCCGAGCACCCCGGTTTGACTTCGGGTCTTGACATCACACTCGCTGCCCTCCGCCTTGCCTTGCCGCATGTACACACCACAAAATGCCTCCACCGCAGCACAAAACAGCGCAACAGACCACACTCCGAGATCCGGCAGAGAGGCCAGGTCCAGCTCAGGTCATTTGTCACGCTGTTCTGCTGCCACAAACTAGAGGAAACTAGACTGAGCACTAGATACATGATGCGTGTGTGTGTGTGTTAATGTGCACCGGCGTACGACGTACGAATGATGGTCAATGATGACGATGGCGGATTTTCTGTACCACCAGGACCACTCGCCCACTGTTCGAGGCATGTCAGCAGCCGGGGGGTGCGGGCAAGGGAGGCTAGCCACTGTCACAATGGGCCGGGCAGCGCGGGCAGAACCCGGTTTCCCACGACCTCGTTACCCAAGCTACATATGTCTGTGTGTGTGTGTGACATTGCGGCCAGCGGCAGCTATGAGTTTGTCGACGGCCCTGGGGTCCCCTCGCCGGGTAAGCAGCCAGCCAGCAGACGGATGCGAGGCGACGCACATGTGCAGGCCCGATGACATACTCCGTACATACATAACCTTCTTTTTTTTCTTCTCCGCGGGCAATCACTAACTAATGACTACTGTATGTACGGCGGCGGGCCAAACTTTTTGGCAGGATTCACACGAGCGTACGAGCCCAGCGACCGAAAGAGGCAATTAGCCCACCATCCTCAAGAGCCTCACGCGCTTGCGCCTGCTCAGTCAGACGACACGTGAAGATCTACTCGCATGGGTGTTTCGAGTCCTGCGCCTGCCAGGGATCCATTCCATCTACCTGCTCCGTACAGCCTCTTGCGGGATCCGGTGTACAAAGCCGGTGCTCCAGCCCCCGATATCTAGCATGTCGTCCCGACCCCACCCCTGATGGCGGCCCTGGCAGGAGCAAAGAAAAGCCTCTCGGCCTGATGACTGGCGATTGATTGCCCAGCCTGCTACTGCTACTGCTACTGCTACTGCTAGTCGGGCAAGCGGGACCGCGAGGCGCAAAGAGCACAAAACCGAAGCCGAGTTCCGGGGCAAGGCCTAGAGGCCTTTTCCTTGACCACCACCACCACCCACCCAACTCACAAACGGGTTTAAGTAACGGAGCCTCAGCCTCCAGATTGGGGTCCGCCGGCTCTGGGCCAAGGGAGCGAGGGAGACAGAGTCACAAGAGAATAAAGTACCACGTACGACTCTGCCCCTCACTCCCCCCCCCCCCAAACCCCGCTTTCTCCCGGGGATGGAGGGACGGAGGCATTTCTATCCTCCAAGCTTTTCCCTCTCTCTACCTATCTAGACCGGTGAAACAGCACCACCTCGGAGAGGCTGAGGGCGGGCTTCCGGCCACCACGGCACATGCGCCCTGGGCGCGGGGCCGATTGCGGCCTAGCCCTCATGCTTTTGGGCTTCATACCCGGGTCAGTTCTGCGCTACTGTGTATGGAATGATGGTTTTCTCTATCACCTGCCCCAAAATCCTTCCTGGAAAGGGCATGTTATGTTTGCCTGCCACTGGGTGTCTGATCGTGCTGGCAAGCGGGGTGTACACTGTGCAGAACAGCCACAGCACTTTACACAGTATGTGCAAGATATCGCAGCCTGCCAGGGTCTAGTCTAAACAGACATCTCTCACCCACACAATAGACGAATGATCGATCTGTCGATTCGGACTCCCTCTCTGTCCCTCTATCCCTCCCCTCTTACGTTCATTCGTCTTCCCCTTTCTTTAAGCTACGAGTGGTGGTCCGACATCAATATGCAGCCTGTCCTTGTGGGGACGTCCTCATTTACGCAACGTGAGTAAGTAATCCGGCGGCAAGCAGAGGAAGGGCCGGAAGTGCAGATGGAGGAGAATTTAGAAAATCGAGCCGCGGGTGCCACTCCCACACCCCCCTGCTCCCTGGGGGTCCCAGTCCCTGGCATCCCGACCCGACCGACCTGCCCACTTCCTTGCAACATACACGCTCACTGGCATGTAGTGTAGCGTCCTGGCACTATAGCGCAGATCGGAACGGTTTGACATCTCTGCCAACCCCCCGTCCGCTCTCTCCCTCCCTGGACTGATCGGCAGAGCCATGATTGAGAGGAGATCCAAAAAAAGAAAACCCCACGGGCGGGAAACATAAAACATCCTGCTCACTTACTCAGTCCGTCGATGACCAGTCCTTGTTGATGATGATGCCAGAGATTGACTGAGTGCTGGTACATACATACTCTCATCCTCATCTGTCTCTTTCTCTTCTCTCTATCCTCAAAGTCCCCCCAGAGGAGAAAGACACCCCAGCCGGTTTTGGCGACTCAGCGGGCATGACGCGAGCCGGGTTCCAGGATCGGGCGCTGCCGCTTGAGATCCGCGAACCCGATACTCCGGCGGCCAGGAGGGCCAGAAACCCTAAATGCTCTCTCTCTCTCTCTCTCTCTCTCTCATGCAGGCGGGAGAGGTAGGACGGGCAGAACGGACATGCAGAGTTCAATTGATGCGCTCGCTCGCTCCCTCCCATCACAAGCCACCCATCTATCTATCTGCGTGGAATACCGTCCTGCAACACACCTTGATTGCTAAGTACCTACCTACGGAGTACTTCTACTTCACTTTCCCCTTCTGGCCACAACAAACAATCTCCCCCACCTTCCGGCTGTCGGACCGGGGGGCTTCACAACGAGCAGGAAGCGAGGGAGGGAGATACGTGGCAAGCCAATCTAGTTAGCATGGGCAATATAGAAGAGGAGGAATGCTGTCCGCGGTG